CTTACATGACTGAGTTTCAGTCATACAATGACCGAACACCCATTCCTCACCAGTGTACATTTTCCACCACCAATGTTCCCAGTACTCCCACCCCTCCCCCCTGCCTCTATGGCAGAGAGTTACCCTCTTATTCTCTCTATTTATGGGTATTATGGTTTTCAATACAGATTACAGATAATGTGAGGGCATCATATTTGGTCCTTTTTGTATTTTCAGCACATATCTCCCATCCTGAATGATCTCTCCAACCATCGATCACTTATAGGGATCCCATCTCTATCCCAGATGCCTTCTAGCTCATAAGGCAGGCTTCCAACCATGGAGTAATCTTCCTGTCCCTTGTGTCTACTTCCTTGGGTGTTAGTCTCATATTATGATATTTTATATTCTGCAAATGAGTGTAATTATTCTATGTCTGTCCCTCTCTTTTTGACTCATTTCACTTACCATAATACTCTTCATGTCCATCCACTTAAAAGCAAATTTCATTACTTCATCTTTCCTAAAAACTGCATAGTATTTCATTGTGTCGATGTACCAAAGTTTCTTTAACCAGTCATCTGTTCTTGGGCACTCGGGTTGTTTCCAGATTTTGGCTATTGTGAACAGTGCTGCAATGAATATACAGGTAGAGATGTCATTTCTACTGTGTGTGTGTGTGTGTGTGTGTGTGTTTTCACCCTCGGAATATATTCCTAGAAGTGGTATTGATGGATCAAACGGTAGCTCAATTTCTAGTTTTTTTAGAAATGTCCATATTGTCTTTCAAAAAAAAAGCTGAACCAGTCAGCATTCCCACCAACAATGAAGGAGAGTCCCTTTCTCCCCACATCCACTCCAACAGTGGTTGCTTTTGTTCTTTTGGGTGTGTGCCAGTCTCTGTGGTGTGAGATGATATTTCATTGTTGTTTTAATCTGCATCTTCCTGATGATTAAAGATGAAGAGAATTTTTTTCTAGTGCCTTTTGGCCATTCAGATTTCTTCTTTGAATGAATTTCGGTTCATTTCATTGCCCCATTTTCTTATGACAATTGGGTGTTCTCTTCTCGTAGAGTTCAACCATTGCCTTGTATATTCTTGATATTAACCCCTTGTCAGAAGGGTATTGAATGAATATCCTTTCCCATTCCATAGACTGTCTTTGTATCCTGGTCGCTCTTTCTTTGACATGCAGAAGTTTCTTAATTTAAGACTGTCCCATTTGCTTATCTCTGCTTCCACTTGCTTGGTCAGTGGCATTTCACCTTTGAAGATACCTTTTGATTCAATGTTGTGGAGGGTTTTGCTGACCTTTTCTTCAATGTACCTTATGGATTCTGGTCTGATACTCAAGTCTTTAATCTATTTTGATCTGACTTTTGTACATATTGTTAGTTAGAGGTCGAAAACTTTTTTTTTGCAGGTAGCTGTCAAATTTTGCAAGCACCACTTATTAAATAGGTTTTCCCTGCTCCATTTCATATTTCTTGCTCCTTTATCAAATATTAAATGATCATATATTTGAAGGTGTATGTAAGGATATTCAACCCTATTGCATTGGTTCACGGATCTGACTTTATTCCAGTGCCATGCTATTTTAATTATTACCGCTTTGTAGTTTCCAGTTGCAGAAGGTGATACCTCCCATCTTTCTTTCCCTCAAGAATTACTTTAGCTATTCATAAGGTCTTATTGTTCCATATGAATTTCAGGAGTGTTTGATCAATTTCTTTGAAAAATGCCATGAGTGACCAAACAGGTATCACATTGAATCTGTATAATGCTTTGGGGAGTATTGTCATTTTGACAATATTTAGACTGCCAACCCATTAGCAGGGCATGTGTTTCCATTTTCTTGTGTCCCCTTTTATTTCTTGAAGTAGCTTTTTGTAGGTTTCTTTGTACGGGTCCTTTACCTCCTTAGTTAAGCTGATTCTGAGGTACATGAATTTCTGAGGCATGATTGTGAATAGTTTTTTTTCATATTAATTTCTTCCATCTTATTATTTGCATATTGGAAAGCCATGGACTTTTGGGTATTGATTTTATAGCCTGCAACTTTACTATACAAGTCTATTGTTTCTAGGAGCTTCTTGGTAAGGGAGTAGGGGGTCCAGGGTTCTCTAAGTATAGTATGTCATCTTCAAATAATGAGAGCTTGATTTCTTCCTTTTCTATCTGGATGCCCTTAATATATTTTTCTTGCCTAACTGCTATGGCAATTACTTCCAGTACTATAATGAACAGCAGTGGAGAGAGTGGGCAGCCTTTTCTTCTAGAGGGAAGGCTTTTAGTTTTGTCCCATTGAGAGTAATGCTTGCCATGGGCTTGTGGTAGATGGCCTTGTCTGGTCTAGGATTTAAAAATAACCACCATGATGATGGTGATGCTTTCCATGCTCCTTTCCAAATAGGAGTTTTTACTACGGTTATGATGTCACTATTTTTCTGAAGCATAATGGCATAATGGTTGCAATTTTGCATGTGATTCTGAACTATAAGAAGAGAAAGCATTGTCCTGAGACCTAGCTACTCAATATAACTTGCAAGTGTTATATAAATTTTTCTTAGGAAGAAAAAGGGTGCGTTATAAATTTGATGAGAAAGTACACATGACTACTTAGATTATAACTAAATAATTGAAAGTAACAACAAGAGACTGTTTTCCCATTTATTTCTCATTAATAACACTGAACCCAAATATTGGTTGTTGACTCAGCTGTTCAGAAAATTAATGTATCATTCCAGCTTAGTTATCTCCATCTAAGCCTTTATATATTAGGGAAGAATCAGTATGTCTCTAGTTTTTAAAGAACATATTTGACCATCTAGCTTGCAATCCAAAAACTGTTTTATACAGGACATTTCTTAATCCCATTTCAACAAGTGTAACTGACATGATAAGTAACTCAAAAGTTGTAAGCTTGTCATTTCTAATCCCAAAAATCTCTGCAAATATGCTTTTACTTGGCTCATCTATCAAGTGAGGAAATTGAGGCCCAAAAGTTTCCATACCCCACACAAGGTCACAAAGTGAATATCACAGACCAAATTTGAATCTGTTATTGAATTCCTATTCTTTTCATTGAGCCCTACCACCTGTTTAATTTCAAGGTCATTCAGATAAAGGCTAAAACTGTTTTATTCAACAGGTGCATTTTAGGATTAAAATATTAAAGTATATTCCTGCAGAATTATCATCATTTTCATCTCTGTAAAATCCATATTTTGTTATTCTTTAATCCCTGGTCATCCAGGATAGGGAGTCAGTAGGAATGAGAGAAAAAGGAAAGTTATTTGTAACCATTAAATTTCTACACAGTGGCTTCCAAAAGCTGTTTTTGGACACTCGTGTTTACTGAGAACCAGTTCCCAAAATATCCTGTATGGGCTGTTGTGGTTACTGCTGGTTTGCACGTTCAGTATGATGCATCTCAAAGATGCTTCACTCATTTCTCTGAGCCATGACTTACAGAAAGGATGTACCATTGCCTCTTGGGAGTCTAAGGCCACTTGCTCTCTGTTCCTGAAGTGTGTTTCATGGGTCAGATATAATAATGGTGATGTATTTGACTTCTTTCATTTTATGAGCATTATCTGTTGGAGATAAGACTTTAGTGATTTGTTACCAAGCTCCTTTTGAGAGAAAATTGTCTGAAAATTGAAGTGGCTTGGCACTCTGGAGGTATAGCAATGTGACAGTTTCCTTTTTAATCAAGTTTTTCTAAGCTTTAGCAAACTTCCTGGTTTCTGGGTCTGTGCTTTGTACTAAGACCTCCTTAGACACAATTGAGTCCCACCACTCCTTACCACACACTCAGCAGTGCTCAGGATTTACACCTGGTTCTGTGCCCAGGGAGCTTGGGGACCACATGTAATACTGGGACTTGAACCCAGATCAACTGAATGTAAGGCAAGTGCCCTTCCCACTTTACTCTCACACTGATCCCACTTTTATATTTGTAGTCAGAACTGAGTAACCTGAGGGACTGTAGTCTCCACCTAGCAACTCCTCCCTCTTCTTGCCCCACACCTGGTACCTTCTCTTGAAATGACATCATCAATCACCCAAATGTACCATAAGAAGGTTAGTAATAATACCTGCAGCTGTTCATAAATTGAACCAGTATCTGGTAGAATATGTTAGTACCAGAAAAGATATAAAACTTTTCTGTACAAATTTTCCATCTTATATAGAAATTCTGTCTATAGAATCCCGTCTCTTGAAATAAAATAAAATATTAGATGTTACAATATTTATATAGCTTTGCTAGATAAATAATTCTTATGAGATTCAACAGTATACCTTGATTAGCTTATTTCATAGTCTTTCGTCCGTTCACAGGTAGTCAAAAATGTAAGACCAATTCCTGTTTTTGTAGAAATGTGTAAAATTGTAATAAGGTTTGACATCAATAGTAATATATATAGTGTCAAGATTACACATTTTTATTAGGTGCATAGTTTAGTTTACAAACTGCTGCAGAAATTATTACCAACATTCTGATGAGGAGGAACTGGTGGTTTTGGGCTAGTGATCAATGAGTCATTGCTAGGTACCAGTTGTGGGGTAAGAAGAGGGAAAAATTGGTATTAAAACTTACCATTTAAGTTTATCAAAACCTATTCAACTTTGATTCCAAATATAAAAGTTTTCAGGACCCTGTACTACATAAAAGAAATTGACATTTTAATCTAGAATTTTAAAGACGTATTCAGAATATTCCATGACTATAACAGGGCATTACTTTTTTGCTAATCAGAAATGTTTATTTTTAATGGTATGTACACACAAACAAAATCTCCCTGTACCTTGAATAAACCTTGCACTGTAGGAGTTTTGGATAAAATTAAGTAAGTTTTATATTTTGAAATAAAAACTAATTTCTATTTATAAAATTTATGGTAGCCATATATATCTGAAGGTATTGACATGAGTATATGCAAAGGACTGTTTCTATTCTGTTAGAAACATAGAATTTATTGCAGCTTTCTAAATATTGTTATTTGTTTTAAAACAGGTTGTTTGGTATCAAATCAGTTATTCAAACAGACTGTTCTAGCACTTGGAAGATCATAGCAAACCCAGACCTGTCGTGGTATCATCATGCCAACCCCATCCTCCTGCTGGTGATGTACTATACGTTGGCAACTCTGATTCGCATCTGGCTTCAGGAACCCCTCGTAAGATAAAAATGTTAATGTTTTCATGATCTTGTCTGCAAAGTAACTTGGACACTCCAGAAGAAATGGCTCATTGCTATTAACTATTGGCTATATTTCAAAATTACACAATCTCTCTCTCTCTCTCTCTCTCTCTCTCTCTCTCTCTCTCTCTCTCTCTCTCTCTCTCTCTGTCCCCCAAGAGTACACAGTGTGCTGAAATTCAGTGAGATGCATGTCTGCATGTCTCTGTCCATCCCTTGCTTAAGTGCTACCTTTAGAAAGATGCTCTGTGTTCTCTTTCCTGTGTAAAATCTCCTTCCAATTTCTCACACAAGCCAAGGAATGAAACCCAGGGATGTCACCCCATTGTTTGTATAACATGTATAACATCTTTACCACTATGGAAGTTGCATAATAACAAAATTATGGATCATAATCCAAATATTCTTATGTTATGTTTCCTTCAATTTTCTTCTAAAATGTGAGAGTGCCAATAAAACCCTTATGGTGATTATGGCTTTCTTTCCCTCCACAAACACATATACAGATTTATTCATCTACATTTAAATAATCTTACACTGTAGCACTGTAGGACTGTCCTCCTATTCATCAAATTGCTCGAGCAGGCACCCATAACATCTCCATTGTGAGACTTCTTGTTACTGTTTATCCAATAGAAAAAATATATATATCTTTTGAGGATGTATTACAAGTTAAGAAATACTGTAAATGGCTCGAGTTACTCAGATTTTCACGTACCCTGAGCTCTGTGATTCCCTCGAGCTGCACTGTAGGTGCTAAAACTCTCATTCTATCATGAAGGTGAAGCCTGTGGGCCATGAGACAGTTTCTTCAGCCGTAGATTTTCTAGAGACAAAGGAAGAGAGCTAGGAAGACAATTGAAATATTCACATCCGCGGTTAATCTAAATGTTACAAATCATGGGCATGTAGAGAATATGACCCACTTCACACTAACATCAACATTTCAGAAGTTCTGTACTTAAGAGGACTGGGACACAGAACCTTCTCATTGACACCATGATAGAAAACAGATGCTTAGTAGTAGGCTAGTTCCAATTGACCTAGTCTACAACTATAAATTCTGAATTACAAAGCTATGATACATTTATGAGAGAAAGAGAGAAGGTGACACAACGTAGCGCTGGAGCACTGTCTTCCCATTGTTCATCGATTTGCTCCAGCAGGGCCCAGTAACTCTCCATTGTGAGACTTGTTACTATTTTTGGCATATCCAATACATCAAGGGTAGCTTGCCAGGCTTTGCCATGCGGGCGAGATACTCTCAGTAGCTTGCCAGGCTTTCCGAGAGGGGCAGAGAAATCAAACTCAGGTCGGCCGGGTTGGCCGCTTGCAAGGCAAATGCCCTACCCACTGTGTTATTGCTCCAGCCCAGATCCTAAATTAATACATGGGCTCCCACCTGGTGAGCACAAATCCTCACCCAACACATCTGTGTGCTTGCCTGGCACACTGAAACATAGGAACTGGGCAATAATATCAAGTGTCCTCCATCTGCTCTAATATCAATGATGATTTAATGCCCTTTTTGTTGGGATATCTTTGTTGGGAAACTACTGAAGCACCAAGTATGTTCTGTTGTCTGGGCTCATTCTTTATCATCTCTTCTCCATCAGCTGTCTAATGTTTGAAAAACTTGTTTGGCAAGACAACCATGTTGCAATTTCACTGTGTTCTTGCATAATATAGCGTGTAAGCCACAGATAATTATTCCCTTAATCTGTTCTTAATTAAAGATTGACCAGTGTTAACTGTGCACTACTTTTGAAAGCCATTGAGCAGCTCCCCTCCAGTTCCATTTAGAATGGATATGAGACATGGTGGATAGTTACCATGACATGGTGGATAAAGGCCCTACTCCTCTCATTTATAATCTGAGAAGGAATAGGGTTGTTTATCACTTACACGAAAGCATTTCTGTCATTACTTTTTTTCAGATTGCCTTGATTCAAGCCCATATGTCACATACATTAATGTTTAAAACGTAACTATTGAGCAAAATAAAAGATGAAAAGGGAGAGGAAGAGGGGCTAGGCAACTTGAGGGAGGGGCTGGGCACACTAGCAGTGAGTGTGGTATTAGAATCATCTTGATAAACTAGTATTAATAGTACTATCACTGTCACTGTCACTGTCCTCCCGTTGTTCATCGAGCAGGCCCAGTAACATCTCCATTGTGACAGTTGTTACTGTGTTTGGCATATCGAATACATCACGGGTAGCTTGCCAGGCTTTGCCGTGTGGGCAAGACTAAGCCAAAAAATAAAAAGTAATTTTTAGGATATGCTTTAAGATTAAAAACTTGCTCCTTTTACTTAAATGCTGAGAGAAGCACTCTAAGGAGCTTGTTGAGGTCAGCTAGGGCACTTACTTTACATGTGGCTAATCAGGGTTTATTCCCTGGCATCCCGAGCCTACCAGGAGTGATCCATGAGTGCAAAGTAAGAAATAAGCCCTGAGCACCACTGGCTGTGGCCCCAAAACAAAACAAGCAAAACAGAAGAGTTTATTACCTGGCCTATTCTGTGTCTCAGGTGCTGGAGGAGAAGACCAAGGAAGAGGACAGGTCACTGGCCTGCAGTCCCATCCAGATCACTGCAGACAGGAGGCGCAGCCTGTGGTATGCTACGCATTACCCGACCGACGAAAGAAAAGTAAGCAATGAGAAGCAAGTTTCATTTCTTAGTTTATTTTGCTGTTTTTGTATGATCATGCTGATTATGGGTCATAGAGTACCATCTGCAAACTGGGATTGCTGTTGATAGAAATAGTTTGACTAAAGTTTTACTGAAGAAATATTACAGCCTTATATGTCATAGGATCACATAAAGTGCCTGACACTAAAGTATGACAACTGTCCCAATGAAAAGCTCTCAGTCACTAAGTGTGAGATGAGCTAACTGGTTTCCACCGCACACCTAATAGATGGTTGTCCAGGTGTGGGTATTTATTTGGCAGTCAACTAATGAGGTGAAAAGAAATGACAGCGTTTACTGAAAACATTTTTTGCTAGTGATAAAATTTGAGCTATTAAAAAATTAGAATACTAGAAAAATTTGTATCCACAGCTGGAAACTTGGAAAGTTCCTAGTACTTAAGGACTTGTCTTGTGATATCAGAAGGGATACTGACAAGTGTGTTCTTTAAGTATTGAGTAAAGAATTGCGTCAATATTAATAAAACTGTTTTGTCAACTTGATATTATAGTTTGTGGGTAAAGGATCCAGTCAAGGTGCAAGATTAGTGGGTTTTAATGAGTCAGCATATGAAAATTCATTGACATGGTTTCAGATTTCACATTACAATAATCATCAAGAAACCACCACTTGTTGATTTTGGTGCAGTATCAAAAATTATCCAGTTATTGGATAAGCTATTGAAATGAGTTCTTCTTACTTTTCCAGCTACATACCTATGTGAAGCAAGATTTTTTTCATGTACTTTAACAAAACAATATATCACAACAAACAGAATGCAGAAACAGACAAAAATTCTTTGTCTTCTTTTGTGTCATGCATGAAAAAGACATGCAAAAAAGTGTAAAAGAATGTCACTCTTTTTACTATTTATTACATTTTAGCTAATTTAATAAAGTGATCTATGCTATCATATAATTTGTAGAAGTGTTGTGGGCCATATCTGGTGATACACAGGGGTTCCTGTTGGCTCTGTACTCAGTGATCACTCCCAGCTGGGCTATGTGCAAAGCAAGCACCTTATTCATTGTATTATCTCTCTTGTTCCAATGGGTTTTTAATTTTTAAGGAATTAATAAATCCTTTAAATTCCTCAATTTTATAGTATGATATATAGGGTCCTCTTGGATCCTCAGTGATTATAAGAAATAAATGAATCCTGACTCACAAAAAGTGGGAAAATCATTGACACAGTAAAGGCTTATTATGTTGGTATAACCCAAACTACATGAGACTAATATAATCTAAAAGAACTTTCATATAATAATTATCTTTACAGAGTATGCAAAAATATTTAAAAAATCTTAAATTCTGCAAGAAATTATTTTTCACTATTATGAAGCTTCTATTTGTAAAAAATAAATACTTTTATGATTGTGCTAATGTCTCAGAGGGTTACAAAACAAATGAAATTATTCCACAAGAACAAAACTCCTGAAAAACAATCAACTTTATTATTCAGCTTATGTATGGCTTATGACTGCTCATTGGTGTCTTAAATATAAACTAATATCAGAAGCTAGGGAATAATTATAATAAACAGAAATATCCAGTTCCATTATTTTTCTTTTTATATTCTTGCATGGCACTTTTAACATAACAGCATGAGATTAAAGAGAATATGTGTGTATGTGTATATATGTATACATACATATATACATGCATTTATACACACATATACATATACAAAGAAATACTTGATTGTTGTGTAAATATTCTTTTGGTCGGAGATGCAGAGATAAAACATGCAAGAGAAATGAATTAGCAGGAGGGTCATGAGCCTGAGCGATGCCTGACCCTCCGTGCTAATCCATTTCTCTCGCATGTCTTATCTCTGCATCTGCTACTGAAAAAATATTCAGGCAACACTTGATAACATGTATATTTATAAGAACATTAACATTCAGCTTACATATTAACATGCTGTCTTGCATTGCTTTTTGCAGCTTTTGTCAATGACCCAAGATGACTACAAACCATCTGATGTTAGTATATCCTTAGAATTATCATTTATATTTGTGTAAGTGATGTAAAAGTATCATAAATAGAATTATCTTCTTAATTATATTTAAATTATCTGTTGACAAAATTTCCAAAAGTTTTAAAATAATTTCTTGCTGAAATTACATATGTTTTGGGGGGCTGTTAAAGTATTAACTCACGTAGTATGAACTTGAATATAATCACGCAAAATGTATTTAAACTTTCAAAAAACACTTTTAAAAAATCATTCTGCTTGGAATATATGCCAATTACATAATAACTAATAAGTTTTGCATGTCCAGAAATACACATACATGTTCATATGTGCTTGTATATGTTTATATCTCAAAATTTGCAAAACCAAATTTGACTTGGGAGAAAGAAAGAAATTGCACTTAGAGCACAAAGTATTGACATAAAAGAGTTTTCACTTCAAATATGGGGAACATGGTACATTGTGTGGTGTTAAACAGGAAGACAAAATGGTATTCACTGCACTGTGGAGAACAGATTGGAGAGAGACTGCAGGATTTCTATGCCCAAGGACAGTCAAAAGAGTTGCTCAGCCTTTACTGCTGAGCTCTGCCTGCCCCACCTCAGGGAGAGGGCAAAAGAGCTAGGCAGGAAAAGTGCAGTTGCTCTCACAAGTGTGCCTTTGTTCCATGCTCCCTTCCAGGGCCTTCTGGTGACTGTGAATGGCAATCCCGTGGATTACCACACCATCCACCCCAGTCTGCCCATTGAGAATGGGCCTGCCAAAGCCGACCTGTACTCCACCCCGCAGTACCGCTGGGAGCCCTCTGATGACACCTCGGGTGAGGAACCCGTTCTGGGCTCATACCCCTTTCCTCCTATTCAAAAACTTGCCATCTCTCTTCTGTTCACTGAATTTAGCTCCTTTTCTGACAGAAGTATTGCCCTCCATGGTCAGTCTGAGTAAACTTATTTCCCTATATTATGCCTGTATTTTGCTCCAACATATTGCTGTGTATGTTCTGTTCTTATATGCAGAATGAGCTGCAAAATCAATGCTCACTTTTAAAAAAAAATATATTTTGAATATAATACCTTATCTATAGTGGTATACTTACATGTACATATGTCAGTATATATACCATATATATATACATACATTTTAGTCTTTCGATATAATTTGATGTTATAATGCGGGTTAACAGTATTACAGGTTAGTGGTGGGATATTTTGTTGGGCTGGGAAGGTAGCTCAGCAGTAAAGCACTTACCTTGCACTTGAATCTTGCCTGACTCTGTCCCCTCAGCACACCAAAAAAAATAATAATAATAAAAATAAATAAAATAAAGTCTCCTTTATCTATTATAAAACAGAAAAAAAGCCCAAACTTGAACCAGACCTCTTTCTTGGTTTAATATGTTTAAGTAAAATGGACTGTTACTAGAGATGATTAATTGATTGACTGGAGGAGGAGATCTACCCCCATTTTTTACACCTTCATGGATTTTTCTTTTTTGTTTTGTTTTGTTTTGGAGCCATACGCAGTGATGCTCAGGGGTGACTCCTAGCTCTGCACTCAGGAATTACGGCTGGTAGTTCTTAGGGGACCGTATGGGATGCCAGGATCAAACCCATCAGCTGTAGGCAAGGAAAGCACCCTACCCACTGTACTATCTCTTCAGTCCCAGAATTTTCTTTTTTAATAAAAGAAGAGAGAATAAATAGTAACCGATAGTTAAAAATATATGGCCCTGACTAAAAATGGAAATTTCTGGAATGCCTTGAAGAAAGTGACTACTTGGAGATACTGTTTGTTCTTCATATTTACAAGGCTGGACTGTTGTCACCAATCCTGTCACAGACCACAGAACTACTATGGCAAAAACAGCAAGTTGAAAAGCGACTATGAAACTGTAATAGATTTTTAACTTTTTTGTGAGGAATGAAAGTTAGAGTTGTCTTATACTGTATTACCTTTAGCAAATTGTAATCAACTATCTAATCTGCATTGTTAATGCATGAAGGTTGCTCTAACTTGCTTTTTCTCATCATTTTTAGGCATATTTGACTATTCTTTCCTAACTGTGCATCTATTCAGCAGTACCAATTGTTACATCATCCAATATTTTTTCTGGGTCTCTGAGCTCATGCTAGCAAAGTGATTGGTCAGTTTTCTGGTTTTCTGCATCTTTACAATTTCATGCTCAGTTTCCTCTTTGTATTAATTGTCTATTACTAGACAATATCCTAAATTATTGTCTTCAAACATTTCTTTAGGATTTCTGTGGCTCAAGGATGGGGGCACCATGCTTGACTTCCTCTGACTCAGAGTCTCCAGGAAGGAAAAGCTAAACTGCCATAGGGTTGTCTGAGGACTTGCCCCAGGAGAATCTCCTTCCATGCCCATTATCATGGCAATAAAACATTAGCCTCAAGAGCTTGAAAACTGTTGGTCAGAGCTTCAGTTCCTTGCCATATAGGTCTCTTCCTCAAGCAGTTCACAACAAGCAGCAGATTGCCCTCAAAACCAGTGATTGAAAATGAGAGAAAATGCTCAAAGAGAAGCTACAGTCTTCTTTAACTTACTCAAGGGTACTGTTCCATCCCTTTGAGTACTCTAGTTTTTAGAAGTGCATCAAAAATACTGCACCATACTCAGGAGAGAGGAGAGGGTTAATGCAAGTGCATGGGTGTGATGAAGTATTGATCATAGGATCATTTAGCAGCTGTCTCTGTATCCTCTCTAACTGAGATTTTCTTGCTGCAGTTTCTAACTGTTAGATCCCATTACCCTTCCTAGGAAGAATCTATAAATCTGGTTTTCATTCTAAAGGCTTTGTTACTTCAAATAAACTCTGAAGCCTTAAGTATAAGGCTGTGCTAAAGCCACTCACAAGCTGCGCTGGTTGGGACATTTATACAGAATCCGCATATTTGCATGAATTGTGGCATAATGTATAATTATGTCCTTGTAGAAAAAAAAGAGGAGGAAGAGGATGACAAAGAGGAATATGAAGAGGAAAGAAGCTTTGAGGAGAAGAAAAGTGTTAAAGTTCATGCCATGGTCTCTGTGTTCCAGTTTATTATGAAACAAAGTTACATCTGTGCCCTTATTGCTATGATGGTATGTATGAGACAAATGTTAGGTGCTAGAGAAATGGTTTGCAAAATCTTCTGTTCAAAGTGAGCTTCCTGGGGCTGGAGTGATAGCACAACAGGCAGATCGTTTGCCTTGCACATGGCTTATCTGGGTTTGATTCACAGCATCCCATATGGTTGCCCGAGCACCATCAGGAGTAATTCCTGAGTGCAGAGTCGGGAGTAATCCCTGTGCATTTCTGGGTGTTACCCAAAAAGCAAAAAAATAAAATAAAACAAAGTAAGCTTCCCAATATCTTAACAGTTAATGATTGAATCTTATAATACAGATTTCAAATCTTACTCTCTTTAAATCTTGATGTTTTTTCTAAGTAATATATCTCTCTGACTTCAATTTATCAAACCAGACTGTTCTGTATTTTGCCATTTTAAAAGGATATATTGGATAGATTTTCTAAATGATATTAAAGGTGATCCAAAGAACATGTTACAAATATATTTTATAATGGGGGTCATATCCATATCTTATATTTAAATAATATTTTCCATCTTAACTAAAATACAGCTTTTATCAACACAGTGCATATGAGCATCAACCAGTCAGAATTCCCTAGAGTTTCTTCCCGTTTTGAGCCCTTGTTTGATATATGTTTCTACGCTACAAAGGGTGTAGTTTCTATTATCCCTTTTTTTTCTTTCATTACAATTGTAAAAGTAGTCTAAATAAAAATTAAACTTAAAATATAGTTCTTTGGCCTATAGATGGAAGATTAAAAAGGTTCAACACCTATTCTTTCTTTAAAAACTTTTTTCTCAAGAACTTATTTAATATTATCTCTTCCAAATCTTGTGGGAAATGCTAAAATGCCATGGACAACTTTATTTTGGTTTTGGGGAACCCACAGCCAGTGTTTTTCAAAGCTAACTTCTGGTACTAAGGAATCATTTCTGGTGGGGCTTGAGGGGCCATAAGAGGTCCTGGGTACCCAGGTCTGCAGCAAGCAAAATGAGCATTCTGCCCATTGCTCTCTCCTTCAAGCCCCCAAATTGGACAACTTTGATAATAAAAAAAAATAAAAATGTTCTTCGGCTTGAAAATAATACTTAAACAAAGTATGACCAGTTATTCAGTTAGCATGTCCCCCAAGTGAATCTGTATGTAACTCAATACACTTGAGGATTGGGGAAAAGAAGCTTCCTCAATTTAAAGATTACTTCTTTTTAAAAAAAATAATTTTTATTAGTTAAACCCATGGGTTACAGTTGTAGACTTACAAACTTTTGTGCTTGGGTTTCAGTTATACAGTGATAGAGTACCCATTCCTCCACCAGTGCTCATACTCCACCACCAATGATCCCAGTAGCCCTCCCGCCCCCCTGCCCCACCCTACCTCTGTGGCAAAGCATTCACTTTTGCTCTCTCTTTCCTTTAAGGTGTTGTGGTTTGCAATGCAGGTATTGAGTGGCCATCGTGTTTGGTCTGTAGTCTACTTTCAGCACGCATCTCCCATCCTGAGCGTGCTGTTCCCTTTATCTGGTGTTCCCTTCTCTACCTAAGCTGCTTCCCCCCACCCACCCCAGAATTGTCTGACGGCTTCCAAGCCATGGAGCAAACTCTGGTACTTATCTCAACTATTCTTGGGTGTTAGCCTCCCATATTCCACAAAGGAGTGTGATCTTTCTTTGTCTATCCCTCTTTCTGACTCATTTCACTTAGCATATACTTCCCATGTAGAACCACTTATGACTTCTTTGAAAGTTACATATCATAGGTCAATATCACAAGTGTCACATCTCCTAGTTTCAGTCTAGTGTACTGTTCCTGTATAAGTATATACTGTAAAATGATCAAATGACCACAACATATGATCATTTTATATACTGTAGAATGATCACCAATGAATCAGCTTAGGAGAAATCACCCCCAAATAGATATAAATTTTCTGTGACAAAAAATGTTAAGATTGACCTTCAAATATGCAAGTCTGACTTTCTAGTATGCAATGCTGTGTTTTAAATATAGTCACTAAGATTTTACACCATAGCCCTGACTCCGGGCAAGCTACCGAGAGTATTCGATATGTCAAACACAGTAACAACAAAGTTTCCAATGGAGACGTTACTGGGCCCACTCGAGCAAATCGACGATCAGCGGGAGGGCCTTTACTTGTTTTATATTAAAAGTTTCTGCTTATAGACTATCTTTACCCATTTGAATCTTTAATTTAAACTGCAACACAATTCCTTTCCTTAAACAGCAAGCTTATGATAAATGTGATGAAGAATTGTGATTCTAAACTCAAAATAATATACAGGTTTTTTATTCTAAAAATAAGCCAGTTAAGTTTGGCCTCTTTTTTAATTAAAGCACTTTAAATAAAATACTATGAAAATACATTTTTTATTTAATAGAAAAAAATTATCTTAAAAAATACCCAGAAGATCATATCCTTCATTAGAAACAAGCCCTTGTCTGGTGCTATTTCTGTTGTTCTAATAGAGCTACAAAATCAATGTTTTTAACTTGTCTTCCTTCTGCGGAAAGCCCCCAGTGCAGCAGTTTAATCAGGCAGAAACAAAAGTCCTGAGACGACAACTCTAGTGGAATGATAAATGTATTTACTCTAAAATACAAATTAAAGAAACAGTTAAATCAGACAAAACTTCATGTTTTTGCGTACATCAATGTACCCAAAATGTTTTCTGTGGAGTCTATAAAATGCCAGACGCTGTCGTCAGAGCCAAAAGGAAATATCCTGAAGGTCTTCCAAGACTTTTATTTTCTTTGATGTTTATTGTCAACTTCAAAGGAGAATGTAATGCTGTCCATTACCCAGATTTAATTATTAAGAGTCCCTAAAGCATAAAGGATTTTATTCTGGAACCAGCATGAAACACTTCTACCCAATATTACCCTTTTTTATGACCTAGGAGACAATGTATTTGTACATATTAGTATATGAGAATGGGCTGGAGTGATAGCACAGTGGGTAGGACATTTGCCTTGCATGCACCTGGGTTCGATTCCTCCGCCCCTCTCAGAGAGCCCGGCAAGCTACTGACAGTATCTTAACCACAGGGCAAAGCCTGGCAAGCTACCCCTGATGTATTTGATATGCCAAACACAGCAACAAGTCTCACAGTGGAAACATTACTGGGCCTGCTTGAGCAAATCGATGAACAACAAGAGGACAGTGCTATACTGCTACAGTATATGAGAATGTTCCCAACTCACTGTCTCATGGTTTTCCTTTACATCCAACTTTTAAAAAGTGACCCGTTAAATTTAGTGCTTTTTCTCCCACGACTTAGAGCAGTCACTTAGAGCAATTATCAATGGCTTTAGTTGAAATCAATGAGTCAATATTTTTTTAATTTATATTTTTTTATTTTTTATTTTTTTATTAGTGAAACACCATGAGCTACAGTTATAGACTTATAAATTTTTGTGCTTGGGTTTCAGTTATACAATGATCAAGTAACCTCCACCAGTGCCCAGCCTCCACCACCACGGGTCCCAGCAACCCAGCATCCCTCCCCCACTCCATCCCCCCCCCCCCCATCCCACCCTGCCTCTGTGGCAGGGCATTCCCCCTTGTTCTCTCTCTCTTCTTTTGGGTACTGTGTTTTGCAAGAGAGGCATTTAGTGGCAATCATGTTTGGTCTATAGACTACTTTTAGCATGCTTCTCCCACCCTGGGAGGGTCCTCACAACACCCTTTATTTGGTGCTCTCTTCTCTATCTGAGCTTCCTTTTCACCTAGCACGCGTGGCTGGCCTTCAAGTCATGGAGCAAAATTCCTGGTACTAATCTCAGCCATTCCTGGGTGTTAGTCTCCCTTTTTGTTGCTTTATATTCCCCAGATGAATGAAATCTTTCTGTGTCTATCCCGCTCTTTCTGTCAATGAGTCAATATTTTGAAGACATGATATGACTTTGAGGAAAATAACTTGAATAGTCTGTGCTTCTCAGAATTATTTGAGAGGAAATAGACTAGGAATAGAGCAGACTTCAAGGAGCTAACAACAGTTTGGGAGTACATGATTTTCTTGGTTTAACAGTCTCATTGATCACTCAAGTATTCACACATCATTAACTGTAAACACTTTAAATATTATCTAAGCTTTAAAGACCACTGTTTTCAAGAAGTAACACTATTGTGAAAAAACTCATTTATCAATAATTAGCATTTATTATTTTAATTTTAATAAAACAATTTCCTTTTAAATTTGTACTTCTCATAAGTTTTAGCCAGCAACTTAAAGCAAGTCATCACTTAAAAATTTACCTATGCTTTAGGGCAAGTTTGTGAATTGCTGAGATAAAATTGTTTGTTCTATGCTGACTTACTTTATCTTCATTCTCATCTACATTCTGGAAGAAAAACAGACTGAGAAAATATTTTGAATTTTACAATGAACTCTTGATGATTCATGGCATTCAAGAATATGATTGATTTCAATTAGCCCCAAACATCTAGAACATTTTCCTAAAGGTTTTTTCACAAAGATTTGGCAACATGTTGTGTTAAGAGATATATTTCCTGATGTTAATACTACTTTTGAGCTTGATTTATAGATAATTCTTGTAGCTAATCTTTTAGATATAGCTCTGATACTTTGAAAAACTAATGTGGACAAAAGATCTGTATCATTTGTTAAACGGTCTGATGACTCTTCTATCACTGCCCTTTCAGAACAGAAGCTGAAATTGACCCTTAAATTAACTGAACACTAAGGGGTGTGCAGAGTCCTAACATAGCATGTTAACATTTCATGTTAATTTTGTAATTTCTGTCATGCATATCCTTTTAGATAACTTGCTACAATTGCTCTCGGAAACCCAGAGAACACTTATCTTCATGATTCCTAAAAATACTATTCCCACAGCTGCATCAGCTACATGAGTAAGAGATGTACTTGCTCATTACTTTTAAATAATGGCTAATGACAAGTTATTTTGAGCAGGGCAGGGGGTAGAAGGCAGGGTAGGGGTTGTGAAGGGGAGAAAAGATAGTTTTTAATGCTGCAAAATAAGATTACAATGGAGATGTTTAGTACAGGAAAGAAACCATTTCAACTGAAGACCCCTCTCCTCCCCGCCAGTCTGTTTAAAAGCAATGTCATTCTCAACAGAATCATTTTTTCTTTTCTCCAGTCTCTCTATATAACAGGTGGAAAATTTAATTAATTCACCATAACTCTCTTTTCTATTTTTAATATTACTGAGTCTTCTCCTATAAATAATCTTTGACTTGGAAAACCAGGAAGTGTTGACAATTGTTTTTATTTTCTTGTCCTCTCTCCCCCAAGGCTTGGAGCATCACCTATCACAGCTGGTTGACTTTCGTGTTGTTGATTTGGTCCTGCACTCTTTGGATGATTCGTAACAGAAGAAAATATGCCATGATCAGCTCTCCTTTCATGGTTGTTTATGGAAATCTGTTGCTGATATTGCAATATATATGGAGTTTTGAACTTCCTGAAATTAAAAAGGTCCCAGGATTTTTGGAAAAGAAAGAGCCAGGAGAACTTGCCTCAAAAGTAAGTAAACATGAAAACAAAATGTTGAAATAAAAACCACAAGCATCATCATGTTCATATCAAAGAAAGAAACTTAGATAAATAGTTCTGTATATTTACTGCTTTGAGAAATTAGTAGATAAGAGGCTATAGCACTGTAGCACTGTCCTCCAGTTGTTCATCAATTTGCTCGAGTGGGCACCAGTAACCTCTCCATTGTGAGACTTGTTACTGTTTTTGGCATATTGAGAATGACATGGGGAGCTTGCCAGGCTCTGCCATGCAGGCTGGATACTTTCCATAGCTTGCTGGGCTCTCCGAGAGGGACTGAGGAATCGAACCCGGGTCGGCTGCATGCAAGGCAAACACCCTACCGGCTGTGCTATTGCTATCACTCCAACAAAGATAAGAGGCTATAAAAAGAATATTATTTAGATATTATTTAGATATAAATTAATAATTTTAACATATACAAATATTCATGCTCTTAAATTTTATCTAAAATAGTAATGCTTTCCCCTCAAAAATGTATTCTGTGTTTTTTTAAATATAAATCACAACACAGTGTAAATATGTGGAAATGGCAAATTATAATGAGAATTCTTATCAAAGTGTTGGAGGATATGAATAAATCACAATTTATAAACAGACAGAACACATTGATTTTATATCTCATTTTCTTTTCCACTAAATATACATTAATTTCTATTAGATTTTTCATAATATTTTACTGCTGGTTTATTTTCATTGTTTATTCTGATAGCTTTTGCTTCAGAACTGCTGTGAACAGAGTAGCAGATTCTGAAACATAATGTATTAACAACGTTAGGACATAGAAACAATCATGTATAAATGCTGAATGATCCTTGAAAATATGTCTTTGTAGGCAAAGAGAGGATTAATATGTCTGAAAAAGACTTTTCTTTATAATACATACTATCACCTTTCCTGGGAATCACCTTCTTTTCTAATTACCGGGAAGCCTTTATCCAAGAGAATCAGAGTACATGGGGTGACCAGAATTGATTGGTCCCTATAAGAGATTTTTGGAAAAATGTAATTGGGGCACAGGTGAATGCCAATGACAGAGATTATATCATAACAAATATGTAACATATAACATAACAAATGACAGATTTTATATATATACATATATATTTGTTATGATATAATCTGTCATACCCAAACCCCACTCATTTTCTTTCCAAAACCATACTCCATGCTGAAATTCCACAAAATATTCTCAATCACTAGTCACCTTTATCTGAAACTTTCCTTTCATTATCTTTCTCCTACTATTTCCCCTTAAACACAAAAACACAAGAAGCTGGAGAGAGCACAGTGGTTAAGTCACTTGTTTGCTGTCCTGGCATCCCATTGACACTGAATCTCCATCATGACCCTTGGACCTCTGAACATTACCAATAACCCCTCAGCCTCTGTAAGACATGGCTCAACTCCCACACTCTGCCTACATATAAAAAATTCTTTGAGAGAAGAAATCCGAATGGCAAAAAAGCACATGAGAAAATGCTCTACATCATTAATCATCAGGGAGTTGCAGATCAAAACCACAATGAGATACCATCTCACACCTCAGAGACTGGCCCACATTCAAAAGAACAAAAGCAACCGATGCTGGCGTGGATGTGGCGAGAAAGGGACACTCCTTCACTGTTGGTGGGAATGTCCACTGGTTCAGCCCTTCTGGAAAACAGTATGGACGATTCTCAAAAAATTAGAAATTGAGCTCCCATTTGACCCAGCAATACCACTCCTGGGAATATATCCCAGAGAGGCAAAAATGTATAGTCGAAGTGACATCTGCACTTGTTTGTTCATTGCAGCCCTCTTTACAATAGCCAGAAACTGGAAGAAACCTGAATGCCCAAGAACAGATGACTGGTTAAAGAAACTTTGGTACATCTACACAATGGAGTACTATGTAGCTCTTAGAAAAGATGAAGTCATGAAATTTACATACAAGTGGTACAATATGGAAAGTATCATGCTAAGCGAAATGAGTCAGAAAGAGAGGGATAGACATAGAAAGATTGCATTCATCTGGGGGATATAAAGTAACAAAGTATGAGATTAATACCCAAGAATAGCTGAGATCAGCACCAGGAGGATTACTCCATAACTTAGAGGCCAGCCGGGTATCCTAGAGGAAAGGGCTATTCAGATAGAGAAGGGAGCACCAAATAAAGGATGTTTGGAGGATCCTCCCAGGAGGGGAGATGCATGTCGAAAGTAGACTATGGACTGAACATGTTTGCCACTCAATGCCTCTTTTGCAGACCACAACACCCAAAAGGAGAGAGAGAACACAGGGGATTGCCCTGCCACAGAGACGGGGGGATGGGGGGATGGGGGTGGGAGGGATATTATCCATGGTGGTGGAAAATGGGCACTGGTGGAGGGATGGGTATCTGATCATTGTATAATTGAAACCAAAGCACAAAAAATTGTAAATCTACAACTTTAAAAAAAATAAAATAAAATAAAGGGGAAAAAAAAATTCTTTGAGACAGATAGAAGTATCTGTACAGAGGTTAAAGCACTTGCCTTGCTTTACACAATTCTAGTTCAATCTCCAACACCACTGGAAGTGATCCCTGAGCACAGAACCAAGAATAAATTCTGAGCACTGCCATGTGTGACCTAAAAATCAACACACACAAACATGCACATACACACAGACAGGTCTTTTCCTAAAATATAAATCTGCAACTTCATCCTTGTGACTGTGTGCATCCATTACAACCTGACTCAGAATATTAGTGACATCTAAAATTGTATTTCAGCTACCTAGTTGAATGTCCTTCTACCTAAAAATCAGCTCCTATGGGGATAAAACTTAATTTATTTTAAATAATTTTTACCCATGTGTAAATTTTTGTAAGTTTTACCAGTACAGTATTACCAAACACAGTAACAACAAGTCTCACAATGGAGACGTTACTGGACCCGCTTGAGCAAATCGATGAACAATGGGAAGACAGTGACAGTGACAGTGGTTTATCATTAATTTACAATAATATAGAATGCTAAGGATTTATAGTAATATAGAATTCAAGGGTAAATTAATTTTGCAACTTCTCTGAAACTCTCACCACTCTCATCCATCAAAAATATCCTTTTACTCGTTCCCCTAACTTTCCTTCTCCTTCTTCCTGGTAACCCAGAGTTTTCACAGAAGCTAAGATTCTTGTTGTTCTTGACAGCTTATTTCCTTTACTTATTCCTATTCCATGAGTGAGTAAAATGCCCAACTTACTCTCATTCACTTCCCTACTTACTTAGCATAATCTCCTTGAGTTTCATCCGTTTTGTCCCATCAGACACAACGTCATGTTTAATGGTAAAATAGTGTTTCCCTGATTACATAGGCCTCGTTTTCTTTTATCCAGTGATCTCTTGATAGATATTTAAGTGTATTTTGTGTTTTTGGTTATTGTGAATAATACTGCTCTGAACACAGGGGTACCAGTATCCTTCAAATTAGTGTGCTTAAAAGTTTTAGTACAATGCCATATGGAATTTTTGTTCCTTAATTTTATATTTATTTATTTTGGTGCCTGAGATCAAATACATGCACGATATGCTTTCTAGTTCTCAGCTACAACTCTGGCCCATCACTCGAATATTTTAAGAATGGGGCTGTCGTGATAATACTGTGAGGAGAGCTCTTGCCTTGCATGTGACCAAACCAGGTTTGTTCTCTGGCTTCCCATATAATCCCCTGAGTACCATCAGGAGTAATTCCTGAGTGCAGAGCCAGGAGTAACCCCTGAGTATTGTCAGTTGTGTCCCCCAAATCAAAAATATATATATACACATATATATGTATATAAATATATATGTATTTATTTTTTAAACTTTCCATACCATTTTCTAGGGAGATTACATCAATTTACTTCATAGCAGTATGCTAGAGTATCTTTTTATGTACATCCTGACCAATACTGTATTTTAGATGTAGGCCGTTCTCACTGTGTGATGCAATATCTCATGTCATTTTGATTTGCATTGCCTTAATAATTAAAAATGATAGATTTTTTCATGTGTCTATGGACGATCTATATATTATATTTGAAATGTGTCTATTCATGTATTTTACCCATTTTTTATTGATTGGCTTGGTTTTCGTTGTGTAATTTGGTAATATTTTATATATATTTAAAATATATAAAATATATGGTATAAATATATAATATACAAAATATTATATTTTAAAATATATAAAATATTATATATTTTATATATATTATATATTTCAACCAAAACCTTCCATGGTAACTCACAATTCCAAAAGACTGAATCTAAACGTTGGACATGGGAGTCTCCCGATGGACGGTTCCACAATGAAATAGACCACATCATATTCAATCGGCGGTTTTGCCTAACCGATGTTGCTGTTGTCCCAAAATTCCAAACGGGATCAGACCACCGTCTTCTTCGTGCAAAATTCTACCTCACAGAATGAGGAGAAAAGAATGCAAGGTTTAAGAAGAGGACTCCCAGAACAACCACCAACTGGGAACTCTTTGGCTCTGTTGCGGCAACATGGGAAGATGCCATCATTGACAACATTGATGAGGAATACGATCGAATGATTCAGCACCTCCATGATTGTGCAAGGAATGCCAAGAGAGAGATAACCACAAAAAACCGTCTTTCTTCGAACACTCTTGAACTTATTCGCCAACGTGGCTTGGCACGTGCCTCAGGCAACCACAAGCAAACGTCCGAACTGGCAAAACAGTGCAGAGAAGCCATCAAGGATGACCTCAAAAACAGGAGAGCAGCAGTACTGGTAGATGCAGCAGAAGCTGGGAAAAACATTCGTAATGCCCGCCTGTCCTTCACCAACTACAAAACCAAGATGACTGCCCTCTGACATCATGATGGATCTATCACATCTTCCAGAAGGGCAATGGAGAAGATTATTCATGACTTCTACTCAGATCTCTTTAATAGCCACATCCACTTGCCCACATACCACATACCACATGATGGATATGTCGTTCCCAATGTTCTCCCTTCCGAAATCCAACATGCCATCTCGTCGGTAAAGAAACAAAGAGCACCTGGCCCAGACAAGATCAGACCTGAACACCTGAAGAACTTACCATCAGTACTCATCAATACATTGGCTCGACTCTTCACACGCTACCTGTCTGAATGCAAGGTTCCATCCCAATGGAAAACCAGCAAGACTGTACTACTATACAAGAAAGGAGACATCCACGACATTGGCAACTATCGCCCAATCTGCCTATTGTCTGTCATCTACAAACTATTCACTCGAGTCATCCTGAATAGGATTAGCAGAACACTAGATGAAGGACAACCATGTGAACAAGCTGGATTCCGAAAAGGATTCAGTACCATCGACCATATCCACACAGTAACCAAGCTCATTGAGGTATCTCGGGAGTTCAAGATGCCACTCTGTCTAACGTTCATTGATTTAAAGAAGGCCTTTGATTCTGTTGAGACGGAAGCGGTCATAGAAGCCCTAGCCAATCAGGGCGTACAAACTCAATACATCAGGATCCTTCGTGAGCTCTATTGCGGATTCACTACCAAGATCTCACCATTCTACAAAGAAGTAATCATCCAAATCAAGAGAGGGGTTCGGCAGGGTGATACCATTTCACCAAAACTCTTCAGTGCCACCCTCGAGAACATCATGCGACGGCTGGAATGGGAAAACATGGGAGTGAAGATAGATGGTCGGCAACTACACCACCTCCGCTTTGCTGATGACATCGTTCTAATAACACCAAACATCAACCAAGCGGCACAAATGCTGAACGACTTTGACCGTGAATGTGGAAAGGTCGGACTACAGCTGAATCTTGCGAAGACAATGTTTATGAGAAACAGCCTTGTTCCTGACGCTCCATTCGCTCTCAACGGAACCACCATCTCCGAATGCAACAGTTATATATACCTAGGTCGAGAAGTCAACATGATGAATGACCTGGCACCTGAGTTGCGCAGGAGGAAGAGAGCGGCTTGGAATGCCTTCAAGAGCATTGAAGAAATAACTAAAAGGACAAAGAACCTCCAGCTACGAGCACATCTCTTTGATTCCACTGTTCTTCCTGCATTAACGTATGCCTCAGAGACCTGGACCCTACGAAAACGGGATGAGAACGCTATTCGGGTCTCGCAAAGAGGAATCGAAAGAACTATGCTTGGAATATCACGATTCACTCAAATGAGAGATAGAATCCGGAGTTCTGATCTTCGTCAACGCTCAAGAATCAGAGACGCTGTCTCATTTGCCAAGACATCAAAAATCAGATGGGCTGGACACGTAATGAGGTTTACAGACAACCGCTGGACTAGAGCCATTACTGATTGGATTCCACGAGACATCAAAAGATCACGTGGACGCCCACCTATAAGATGGTCAGACTTCTTCGTCAAGACCCTAAATGATCGGTTTGAGGCTCTACATGTTCCTAAAACGAACAGATACCATTGGGCTACGCTAGCACGCAACCGGGATGAATGGAGACGTTACTGGCACCCGCTCGAATAAATCGATGAATAACGGGGATTAAGTGATTAAGTGATTAAGTGATAAAATATTATAACCCCTTGTTAGATGTGTCATATATAAATATCATCTCCCAATTACTGAATTGCCTTTGTGTGCGTGTGTGGTTTCTTCTACTGAGTCTCCATTACATCTCTTACTTCAAAGTTCTGAAGAGTATCACCTATTGTTATTTTTTTTATAATTTTGTTTTAGTATGATTTATAATGATGATTTAATGCATAATAAATTACATTATCACGTCCCAGAATGTCAGCTTCCCTCCACCATTGTCCCACTGTTTTCCCCCATTCTAACCCCCAGCACCCTCCCCTTAGTAGTAAGTGCTATTCTTCCCACTAAAGACCAGTTCTCAGTTTCTGTTCCCATTGGGCATTTGTTGTTTCTTTACTATGTTTTGTTATACTTCACATATGAGGGAAATCATTTTGATTTGTCCTCTTCCTTCCTTACTCAACATGGTATTTTCCAGATCCATCAATGTAGCAGCAAATTGCATGATTTTTCTTTTCTTAGAGCCAGGTAGTATCTCCTTGTGTATGAACCACAGTTTATTTATTCAGTATTCTGTTCCTGGACACTTGGAGGTTTTTTTTCCAATTTTGGCTAGTATGGATAGTATTGCAACGAATATGAGAGTACATATACTCTCTAAATTTACATGAGAGTAAGAAATATCTCTCCCAAGTTGCCCTCTAGAGCAATTTGTTATAACTCCTGGAAATTGAAAGCATTGTTTTCTTTGGAATTTTATTCTATGTATGCTTAATAGTATATGTTGGCTCTAGTTTATGTGGAAGATAAAAGGCAATGGCATATTTGTGGATAACTAATTTGGCAGTTATTAAAAGTGTAAAGAAGCCATTAATTTTCCCAGTTACTAGTTCCACTTCTTTAGCAAATATTAATATCCTACTACAAACCATAATCAGGTGTCATAGCTCACATCCACTATGAGAGTGAGAATTTTTTTAAATTATAATAAGTTCTAGTGAGAAAAGTAGAGAAATTAAAATCATCTCACACATGACAAGTAGAAAGGAAAAAAGTGATTTTATCAGATAGGAAAGCAATTTATCAGTTCCTTGAAATGCTAAACATATGTAAATTACACATAAACATTTGTAAACTATACACTCAGCAATTCTACTCCTAGGACTTTCTAAATACCTAAAATTACTAAATACCTAAAAGAACTAAAAATACATATCCAAACAAAAGCCTGCACATGAATGTTCATAGTTAGTTATAGTATACATAACAGAAAACAAAAGAGCTAGAAACAACCTAAATATCCGTCAGCTAACTTGTCTATCCATGCATTGAAATATTATTTGATTATATAAGGAATAAGGACCCAACACATGCTATGATATGAATAAACCTTGAAAATATTGAACTAAGCCGAAGAAGAAGCACTTAAAATGAGCATGCATTGCACAGTTCAAAAAGCTGAGGACATGCTCTGCATGTAGCAGGACTAGGTTTTCCCCACACCACTGTATGGCTCCTTGGAGCATGACTGAGAGCACCCTAAGCAATGTGCTAGGAGTAGCCCCTGATTACCTCTAGGCATCCCCCCAAAAAAACACACGCATTATGTATTTCAATATATATAAATTATATAAACTATCCCAATTGGGTGATCTATAGAGAGAAAAAGTAAGCTCATGGTTAGCTAGGGCTTGAACAGGGAAAAAGGAAGCATCGGCTATGGTGTGTCTTTTGGGGTGATGAAAATTTTCTAAAGCAGATTGTGTGGTGGTTGCATTGCTCTCCACTAAAAACCAGCGACTTCCAAGCTTAAATTGTGAATTGCATAGTATATGGTTCATAATCCAATAAAACTATAATAAAACACATTGTTTGTAAAATCCAACACTGTGTGCCAGTTTCTCTATTCCCTGAAGAACAGAGATCCCGAAAACCATAAGTTCTTTTTCCTTAGACCTCAAAATAAATGTTGTTATATTCAGTGGGCCACTTAGAACAATTTTTCCTTAAGCTTTGGGAGAAAAATGAGTATATTAAAGACTCCTATTTCTGGCTACAGTGTTTTTTTCCCTTTTGAGGAATTCTTCAAGACAAGTATTTCAGCATAGAGTAAGTAATATTGAAGAAGTATATCTTCCTGTCCCAACGGGACTAAATGTCACAGTTGGGACAGGAAGCTAAAGATTAGCACCTCTTGGAAAACCATGACTGAAGTTCATTTCTTGTCCAGATGGAAGGAGTTTGGACTTTGTGCAGCATCTCCCCTGGGAGTCACAGTGCTAAGTGTTCTCCTGGCATTTGATGCCCATTCTGGCTTCCTGGGAGAAAAGGGATTCAAAAGCCAATGGGTCTCCACTGAAGTACAGAGGGTAACTCGTTCTGTTTTAAATAGAAAAAGCTTATTTGTTACACTCCCTCTGAAATGTGGAAAGAACATTATGTTGATTCAAATCTGTTTACATTTCAAATGATGGCTTAATCCTTGCTCTGGTAATTCTCTACTTTCAGATACTTTTCACCATTACTTTTTGGCTGCTGCTAAGGCAGCATCTTACAGAGCAAAAAGCTCTTCAAGAAAAGGAAGCTCTTTTATCTGAGGTCAAAATCGGCGAAAGTCAAGAAAGTGAAGAAAAAGGTAAATTAGAGTGTATGGGAGATTTTTGTGCTCAGAAAAATTGCAGCTAAAGAATGTATAAAGAAAACCTTCATGCTCTGTTTACAGGAAGCCATGCAAATGTAAACAAATAGGTGTTGCTGTACCTGAGCTTTAGAGAAGACATGAATAATTGCAAGAATAGAAACATTGTGTTGTCTAATTCTCATAAAAGCCACAAGTCTCATTCCCTCTCTATTTTGCATTTAAAATCTACTTTTTAAATTTTTTTAAGTTTATTTTATTTTAGGAGCAATAATTTGCAATACTGTTAATGGTGGAGTTTCTGGCTTAAATTATTCCAGCACCATACTCTCCAGCAGGGCTGGAGCGATAGCACAGTGAGTAGGGCATTTGCCTTGCAAGTGGCCAACATGGCCAACCCAAGTTCCATTCCTCCGCCCCTCTCGAAGAGCCCAGCAAGCTACTGAGAGTATCTCGCACACATGGCAAAGCCTGGGCAAGCTACCCGTGACATATTAGATATGCCAAACACAGTAAAAATTGTCACAATGGAGACGTTACTGGGCCCGCTCGAGCAAATCGATGAACAACGGGAGGACAGTGACAGTGACTCTCCAGCAGAGGGTTCTCTTCTCTCCACCTTGTCACAGTGCCATCCCCCCACCCTGGTCCATCCCATTCTCCATACCTCTGCCACCATGCTAAACTTCCTACTGAAGATCAGCTCTCAGTTTCTGTTGCCTTTGGGAATTTTTTATTCCATACTATATTTCTTTATACAATTCTGTGTCTATTCTCCAGACAAACTTCACCCAGGATAATACATTCCAAATCCATCCATGTAGCAGTGAAGTGCATGATTTCATCTTTTGTTATGGCCAAGTAGTATCAGAATTTTTAAATTATATTGTAAGAAGTTTATGAAAGCTGGCTCTGATTATTACTAAGATAGCCTAAAATATTTCTAGTTATATAGAGACACACAAAATGCCTATTTCTGTCACCCACACACCCACACTATAGTGCTGACAAGGAAACAAGCTGAATTTAACAGCACATTCTGCTATTTTAAAGATGATGAGCAGGACATCAAAGTGGAAGGGGAAACTGAAAAGAAGGATGAGGAAGAGAGAGCTAAGGAAGAGAAGCATGAGGAAGAGGAAGCTAAGGAAGAGAAGCAAGAAAGAATAAAGGAAGAGGAAGCAGAAATGGATGAAGATGATGACCAGGACATCATGAAGGTGTTGGGCAATTTGGTGGTGGCCATGTTCATCAAGTACTGGATCTATGTCTGTGGAGGAATGTTCTTCTTTGTCAGCTTTGAGGGTAAAATTGTGATGTACAAGATCATCTACATGGTGCTGTTTCTGTTCTGTGTGGCCTTATATCAGGTAGGTAAACAATTGTCTTCAGTTTCTTATCCCTCTGGTTCCAGGTATATGTGTGCACTTTCTTTGATGAAATTCTATATTAATGTCAATTCATAAACATATATTTAAGTGGTCAGTTAGATAAAGTGATCAATGAGATTCAAGCATTTTCTACTAAGAATCCTAAAATGGAAAATTCGTTATCTTCAGCTTGCTTGTTAGATTTTTATTTACTTAACATGTTCATTAGATTTCAGATCCTTAAAATATTCAAAAGTTTTTCAAAGATTATTGATTTTTAGAAAATAAGTCTATGTAGCTAGATTATATTTTTAATACTAATTTAGTAACAATAGCAAGATAATCTAAAATAATGGAGGATACCCAGTTCACTTGTATTTCAGACTTTGAATTTTTTTAAAAAGCCTTCTGTGTGTATACATACACATCTGCATGTATGTCAATGCATCCAGAACTTGAATAATTCATTAATCATACTTTATAAAAAAATTGTTAGGAGTACAACCTACAAATATAAAAATTAAATAAATTTCATAATGAAACATATGTATAAAATGCAAGATGCCAGAGAGATCGTACAGCAGATAGGGCACTTGCCTTGCACACAACTGACCCAGGTTTTGTCCTCAAAATTCCCTAAAGTCCCCTGAACCCTGCCAGGAGTAGTATCTGAGCACAGAGCCAGGAGAAAGCCAGGTGTGACTCAAAAACACCAAAAAAATTCATTTTAAAATTTTTAACATCATTGGTCTCAGTCAAATAGCCCAGTTATTTTGTGAGTTATGCTGTGTTGTGACTTTTTAATAAATATTTTGTGAGTTTTTTTTTCACTTTGTGATTCATAGGTACATTATGAATGGTGGAGACGAATGCTAAAATATTTTTGGATGTCAGTGGTTATTTACACGATGCTGGTGCTTATCTTTATCTATACATATCAGTTTGAAAACTTCCCAGGCCTATGGCAAAATATGACTGGGCTGAAAAAAGAAAAGTAAGTGATTCTGATCTTATAAACATGATGAAGACTTAAATGTGTGCTTTTCAACAACTTTACAGAAGATTTTAGTAAAGCACAATGTCTTTCTTCAGTTTCCTTAAGAATACCTTGGTCACTTTATATTCTTTCTATGTTACCCTGAGTTTGGCATATGGTATATATACTCAGTAAATTGACTAAAGGAAGAGCTTCCATCCCGTTTCACAAAGTGACATTTTCTAATGAACATTTCATGTGAAACACAGCAACTTAGTTATCTAGCATTCCTGGAGCTGAGCTCTCGGGTCTGTGAGTAGATCCCCAGACTCATAGCACAGCTGCAGCTTCTCCTCTATTTGAGTCTCTGCTACAGTTCTCGGAAGCACTTATTATGATAGTAAAGGGAAGTTCTGAAAGTGTGGTTATGGTAGGTGACGATGAAGTGGTTCTTCCTGTGTCTGTAGATAGCTCGCTCTCCTTAGTTTCGAAATACAACCTGAACTGTTCTTAGAGCTGAGTGTACCGAGGTGGCTAACAGCAAAGCTAAATGAAAAAGAGCAAGGTCTGGCTAACCTAGCTTTAGTATCTATTCAACAAATATTTATTTTGGTGAAGTTTTTAAGTTTCTGCAATTCATTGATTAGCTGAGTTTTAAAAAAAAAAGTCATGTATAAGGTGACAGTAGTCGAAAGGTGGATGATTCATATGTGATATCAGAGGCTGTGAGAACAGTGGCTGCAGACAGGGGAGGTATCTGAAGAGAAGGATGCAGAAGAGGACAGATGGAAAACATGAGCAGAGGTTGAAGAGTATCTGGACAAAGGAACGGAGAAAGTATCAAAGACTTCTTGATTCCTAGACTTTGCAGAGAAAGGATAAAGTTATGTCCGTGATCCAGGATAAACTAGAGTGAGGGGAGAACAGTGAAGAGCAGCAGTGCAGGTAAAAACGGAAGAGTAAGAATTTCATTGTGAAAAAACTAAGCAGGAAATAACCATAAACCCATGATTTCCAGTTTTTGTTTGCGAGTAAGAGTCCACAAAAGAAACAGTTTGTTAATGCACATCTGAGATGTGTATAAAGATAGAGCAAAGAAAAGAGAAGGGTGACTATTGAGTCCTGAGTGTTTTGGCATCTGGAGGGTGAAAAGAAAATGAGCAGACTATGAAAGAAGGAAAAATCGGGATTACATCAAGGTCGAATTTGTTTTGAGAGGGTCTAACTGAAACAAAGATGGCAAAACCACCGCTGAATTTGGCAGTATTGAGGTGATTCCAATGTAATTGTATGTTTTGATTATTTTTGTGGAAGGAACAGCCAAAATGGAATATATGGGACAAGGAAAAGGATGTACCACATATTATAAATAAGAAAGTGTGTGATACGAACTACGGTGAAGAGTCTCACTATCTAAGAAAGAGTTTTGCTTCTTTGTTTTTGTGGTTCTGTTTGTTTCACAGGCTCGAGGATCTTGGTTTAAAACAGTTTACTGTGGCAGAACTATTCACACGCATATTCATCCCCACCTCCTTTCTGCTAGTGTGCATTTTACACCTTCACTATTTTCATGATCGGTTCCTCGAACTCACAGACCTGAAGTCCATTCCCAGAAAAGAAGACAGCGCCATCTACAGGTAGGCAAGAGCAAGAAGGACGTGCCTTTATCAGAAGGCTATCTCCTGCCTTCAAGTGACCGCAAAGAAAGGTCAATAATATCTGCCCCAAAAGATAGTACAGCAGATAGGGTGTTTGTCTTGCACTTGGACTTAATCCCCGCACCACGAATGGTCTCATGAGATCTACCAGAAGTAATCCCTGAGAAGCTAGGAACACTGCCAATTGTGACCCTCTTCCGCACATCCCCCAAATTAGAAAAATGTGGAATTTTTTTATAACACTTTCTTAAACACTTAATAGTCATCTATAACTACTAACATTTTGTTAATCGCAAGCGATCTTGATACTCACACAAGTAGATTCAGAAAATCTATCAGACTAAGATACTTAAGAGTTGGTAATACATGTTTTGTGCCTAAGCTGGAGATGTGTTTTTAGATCAGGTTCAGTAACTGGCTAACTCATGAAATAAAATTTATATTATTGTAAAAAAACAGTAAGAAATCACAGCAAAAGATGATGTGCAGAATTGTCCTTCCATTTTAAAAGAAATAATGAATTGAAAGGATCGAATTTAGAACCTACTAGTAACAGAAAATGAAGGCAATGCTTTCCTATCCATTCTCTGGTGTTGTCTTCCAATAGGTATAAATTGTTTACATGGCACAGATGGGACATGATTTTCTAATGCCTTTTGACACCGCAGTGTATTATTGCAAATCATTCAGTCTTCTCCAACACAGGGAACATAACAACATTCTCCTAATGGATGCTAATACCTCAATTTCTGAGTTAGCCTATGATTCAATTCTTGGAAAAACACATGTTGAACATGGAAGGGAGCAAAGGGTTATATTAGAAGAAACACAGGTGTCATATTTGAAAATTCCCCTTAACTCTCTTGACTTCCCTTTAACTATTTTTAAGGCAAAAAATAAATAGTAGTTTATCAAAAGAAGATGCAATTGTATTTCATCACAGTTTATGAAATAAATATTTCTCTGCCATCACATTAGAATTATAGAAAACTTTAAAAGACTTCCATTTGGTGATTAGGAACATTTTTTAACCTTTATTTATGTCCAGCAAATTTATTTTTCTTGTTGTGTTTTATTGAGCGTAAGGGTATTTAGTTTTCATTGTAAATATACTCCAAAATGTACTGTATCAGTGGCCTGAACCATAGAAGCTAGAGGTATATGGACTTTTTATCCTGTTTTTCTATCATAAATAGTCAAACAGCTAAAACCCATTTTCTTCCAATGCCCTAGTACTGAGGACAGCATGAGTAGATTGATGGGTTTCTTTATTGATCATTAGACAAGATAAAAATATGTAAATATTAAAATTCAGAGACCATCTAAGAGAGATTAAGCAAACTATTGACAGAAGAAATAGTGTTAAGATTTAAAAGCCATGCCAATGTAGAAAGTGAGTTATCAAATAATTTAAAAAATTATTTTATGATTATTTTGGCATTTGCAACACATGCGGATAAAAAGAATATATTTCTAGGTCAGAGAGATAGTACAGGAATTAAGGAACATGCCTTGCATGCAGCCTACCAGGTTCTATATCTGGCACTGCATGTGCTCACCCATCACCACAGAGCACAGAGTCAGGAGTCAACCCTGAGCAGCACAAGGTTTGTTCAAAAAACAAGTAAATAAAACTATATACTTAATACTTAACTTAGACTGTAATATGTTTTCATTATAAACTTTTGCCATATTTACTAAAAGTCATATTTGTTCATAAAAATATTTTAGTGTAAAAATGAAAAGGAATATGATTTTTAATAAATGCTAATGATAACTTCAATTTTTCCTTCTAAATGCCTCCCTTTCCTTGCATCTTCATTTTTTTCTCATTAAAATCACTTCTATACTATGTAGGAAAGCTTATTTTTCATGTTTCTGTGTACTTAGTCACATAATCAATAGAGATAAGTTACAATTTTCCCAGAAAAAGATTTTTCTATGCCATCATTTTACTGAAGGTAACAGCTCAGCAAAGATTTTAAATTTGAATTATGATTTCTAAAGAGTCACAGTTTCTGAGACTGAGACCCTATGGAATTGAACTTGCTCATAAAGTCCCCCCTCTAAGTATAAATAGTATTTTAATTATGAGGTTCTGAAGAAAGATGGCGACCTCTTGTCAAGACGTATTCTCCATTTCTCCTGCTGCTATTTTCATAGTCCTTACCCTTCCACACTGTAACAAGAAAAGGAAAAAGTTCAAATGACCTTTCTCAGTTTGCTTGCCTCCTGCAAGGTTGTGTTCTAGTGCTTTATAAATTCACCACTAAAGTCAAAAGTGTGAAGAAAAATTCAATAATGTCCAGTGAGTCATTGAGACACCTAGGTTCATATGAAGTTCAGTGGGGAAAGGATTTTCAAACATCTTAAAGGCATTTGAAGGACTCAAGTTTGTTATGTGGGCACTTTATGCATTTTATTATTTGAAAGCAAAATGTAATGTAAAAGTTTCCAAACTTGCATTTTGAACATAGGATATATATCCTGGTTAGAGACTCTTTCCCATGCTACCATTAATTTTGTCCCTGAAATCAAATCAATGATTGCTTTAAAATTAGAATGATGAAGGAGAAGAATTAGAGTTAGCAGTTAGTGCCATGCTCTTCTCTCCCTTCTCCCATATTCTAACATAATTTACAGAAAAAAAATAATAAGACCTTCAAATCAGGAATAATGGTTCCTTTAATTCCCTAAATTTATTTCAGTATTCTTGTTTCCGCAAATCCCCAACTTTTCTTTTTTCTATTGTGTGCATTGTATATCCTGGTAGTATATACATTCATATACAGGATAGCAAATATAATTTGCATCTGCAATCGAATTTATTGTTTTGGTATTTTTCCTGAGTATGTCTAATTTCCTGTTTCTGCTGAACTTCACTGCCTAGACTTCAATGCATGAAAAATGTGTCAGTGATGATGTAATTACAGATGATGAGACACTTATGAGACACAGTCTACTTCAATAACCTCTTTCTAACAATGTCTTTCTCTCTCCAACCTGTCCTTTATTGTCGCCACATGCAACCCTGTGCTTCCATCTCTCACCTCGTAGCCACGCCAAAGTTAATGGGCGTGTCTATCTAATTATAAATAGGTGGGTACTTCAATGTTTTCTCTGCTATCTCTGTTAAAATTGCTTTCCTTGTGCTTGACTGTTTTTTAAGTGGATGATTATGCCATCAGGTAGTGGATGATGGTCTTCAGGTATTCTCATGGATATATTTTGCAAACTATGCCATTGGTATTTATATTGAATGGTGCTGCCACGTTGGATTTGGAGGTTGTCAAGGGTCTTCAGCTGGTGCTCTGCATTTGGTCTTGATTCAAACTTATGCACCTATTTTTCACTTTTTGATAGAATCAGTCCAAGATATGGCTGAGAGCTTGTCTCCAGCTTGAACATAATTGAAAGCTCAGCTCAAGAACCACCTCCTCCAAAAACCTGCCCATAAATGCCAGTACCCTCTGCTCTAAGTAACTGTCCTACCTCTAAGTTCCTAAAGCACTTTATCATTGCTGCCTCCTGGCACTTGCCTTCCAGCCCCACATCTGCTCGCTTGTTTTACCTCCCTTAACTCCTCAAGGCTGAAGTCCTTGCACAATTCCGCAAATCACTTACTTTAGGACCTTTCTCATTACATGACCCTCAGAAGCTATTACCCAAATGAAGTGAAAATTGTCACAGCAATATAGACTTAAAAGAAAATAAAGCATCAGTTTCTTCAAATATAACTTTACTTGAATGTCAATATATTGAAAACTGCTGTTTTGCAATATATTTGCAAAAGGTGGAAAAGTAAATGCTGATACATGGCCTTGCCTTACTGATTTGTTTGTCACTAGAGGCAGATATAAAACATGCAGATGACAACATCTATTAAAAAGTAGGATTTGGTGAGTGACAGAGTTATCCTTAGGAGTATGCAGAAGGATTACAGACAATGATCCTTTGGGATCCAATTGGCCAACACTATAACCTCATTAGAACTAGCACTTTGGAGTCTGGCGTGATAGTACAACAGGTAGGACTTTTGCTTTGCCTACTGCCAACCCTGGTTTGACTACCATCATCCCATATGGTCTCCCCACCAGCCTTTCCAGGAGAGTTCCTTGATCTCAGAGCCAGGAATAAGCCCTAACCAAAGCTAGGTGTGAGTCCAAAACTTAAAAAAAAATCAAGCACCTTAATTAGTATGCAACTTAAACTATCTACTCCCATAACATTGTCACTAGTAATAAAGCCAGTAACATTTAATAGAAAGCAATATTTGGTAATAAGTCCTATGTACAAAGTAGCTCTTTAAAGGATGTTGGTTTTGGTTTTCTTTTTGTTTTAATTTTTATTAGTGAGACACCATGAGGTGCAGTTGTAGACTTACAAATTTTTGTGCTTGAGTTTCAATTATACACTGATCAAATTACATTCTTTTTTCTTTGAGGTAAAATTCTATGGCTGACAAACTGAACTTTCTAGATGTGACAGATCAGTTCATTGCTAAGACAGATTACTAAAGAAGGAAGTGCTTCCTTTTGAGGCCAATTTCACTAACAACCTGAAAGCAGAGGGCTAATTTCAGGTTTTTATCTGATAGATGGAGAAGTAAAAGATAGACATTTTATATAGATATCTTGAACCTTCTTCCAAATATACCAGCGATTCTATCTCCCTAACTTTCTCTGTCTCTCTGTCTCTGCTTTCTGTCCCTCTCTTTCTGTGTATCTCTCTTATTCTTTGTCCCTGTGTCTCTTTGTGTCCTTGTCTATCTTTAATTATCTTTAATTCTCTGTCTCTCTAACACATCATCTCACTATTTTACATAAAGTAATTACCATTTCATCAAGGCAGATCCAAGTGTTGGTCCCAGTTACCCCCAACTTTCCTCTTGAGAGGAAGACTATGTCAATTATCCCGAGTCACAAGGCCATGAACTCATTCAGAATGATCAAGATTCAGAGTCCTCCAAATCATTTAAAAATTGGATACTACCCATGCTTTCTTCCTTCCAGTAGACTGGCTCATTTTGTCTGGTTCCAAGATGCTGAGGAAAGCTCAGGGGGAACGCTAGTAAACAGACCACCCTTGTCTGACCACATGGCTTCTGAAATGTGCTGTGAAAGTGCGTCCATCTGGATAGAGGCACTGTCTTAGAATGTTAGACCGAATACAGTGATTAAGTAAATAGGCATCTTTTTTCCAATAATTTATTTATGTTGAACATGACTTGTTAAGGAAAGTAATGTGCATATACATATATGTATATGTGTGTGTGTGTGTGTGTGTGAGTTCTGGTAAAAAAAAAAGGCAGGGGGAGATATCTACATCCAGCTTTCTTGTTAATTAAAATTTCAGCATTGCCTTGCAAAGGGTGAGCATGTACTGAAGAGGTGACAGACAAATTTTGATGATGTGAATAATTGTCATGGTTCAGCTTAATTACTAAGTAATATGAATTATAACATTTTAATGGAAAATGTGTGCATATTCTACCCACATAGAAGTTGGAGGGGTCACACCCAATCTTGTAAAACGTTTTTAGAGGAATTACTGCTACACATATTTAAAGTGTGGTATTAGATTAAAGAAGCAACTACTGGAACCGGAGAGATAATACCATGGATTTGGCAGCTGCCTTGCACATGATCTGCCTCAGTTTGATTCCCAGCATCCCATATGGTTCCCTGAAAATCTTCAAAAGTGATCCTTGGGTGCAGAATCAGGTGTAATTCCTGGGCATTGCCAGGTGTACCCCCCAAAACAAACAAAAATCAGCTGCTCTTCTGTGAAGCCCATCTTCTGGAAGAGTTTATAAGTTATTCAAAATAATCTTAAACAGTATAAATATTACTTCTGTTATAACAAAGTTGCAAGAGACCTCATTTGTAATAGTTTTTAATAAACTGGGTGAGTGAAGCCTATATTATATGCCAAATGATAATGGTTATAAATAAATGAAATTACTAGTTTGGAGATTTTACAATGGCAATATTTTCATGGAAATTAGCTTCATAAGAGGTTTTTTAAAACCAATTCCTAGTACAGAATCTAAACTTCTATAATATTCCATCTAATACAGTTTCTTTATTTTCAAATAAGAATGTCTCTCCGGTGGATAGTTTATCTGACAAAATTTAAGGAATCATAAGATTAAACAAGGCACAATGCTATATTTTTCAAAGAAAGTGAGTATAGTAATGGGGGATTTCTAATCCCCCAAGTGATAATTCCAGTAAAATAAATGAAGGTACAAATAGCAAAATAGCCTCAATGAAGACTATACACGCTGTGGAGGCATGAAGGAAGGGGGTGGGTAAAAAGAAGATAAAAACAGCTGTTCACTGAGAATGAAAAGGAAAATGTACATTTTATTGAAGAAGCAGGTTTTAGGTGAGAGAATTAAAATTTAGCCTAAATTCTAATGGAAGACAAAAAAATTATAGATGTGGTTAAATAAAATGCAAAGAGACTAAAATAAACTGTTTGTGGGAAAGGAAGGCAGGAAAAAAATGTGAGGATTACGGATGAAAGGAGGAACTCTCTAAGACTACAGTTGATCCCCATAGCTTAGGGAGCCCCAAATAAAACCCTAACCGCAATTAGGTGATTCACATGTGACTGTGAGTATAGAGTTAGGAGCACTGAGGAAAGATGCAGCTCACTGTTGGCATGCATGATTTCCATGTGTGAGAACTTGCATTCAGTTCCTAGCACCCTCACCTCTCCTTCTCACTTAAAAAAAAAAAAAAAAGATTAAAAGTATTCTCAGTCCCGTACTTAAAAGTTTCAGGGAATGTTTTTCTTGGACTGTTTTTTATTTAATTTTTGAAAAATCTAGATAACTTTTATAAATTCTCCTTCTGTTTAGTTTGTTTTTTCTTTTGTTTTGGGGACTATATCTGGCTGTTACTCCCAATTCTGAGCGCAGGAGACCCTGAGCACTGCCTGCTCACTCAAGTTCCAATTTGCAAAGTTTCTAGGGTAAAAATGTTAAGTTACACAAACTTTCCCTGAAAATTGGTCCATCTGTTCTTGGTGGCAAACTGGAAACTAGCTCATTGTGCAGACAGATCCCAGCTAGTACCACCCTCCCTCCAGCAAATTCAGTGGAGGAGTGATGGCGGAGCATAGTGCAGAATTTTTTAGAATATTGAAAATATATTCTAAGAAGAATGTTTGCTCTTTTTTCTTATAAAGGCAGCTTTATTTATTTATTTTTTTTGCTTTTTGGGTCACATCTGGGGATGCACAGGGGTTACTCCTGGCTCTGCACTCAGGAGTTACTCCTGGAGGTGCTCAAGGGACCATATGGGATGCTGGGAATCGAACCCGGATTGGCCGCGTGCAAGGCAAACAGCCTACCCGCTGTGCTATCTCTCCAGCCCCATGAAGGCAGCTTTAAAAATAAGCTTTGTTACAGATGTGCAGATGACAGAATTACTGCCCAAACTTATCACCTCCCTCACATCCAGTTAATATGTGATTCTCTGCCACTTTATTGGCATAAATTTATGATACAGATATCCAAAACTTAGTATGTGAAAATTTTATCATTATCAGTTGGCTCCTACAATATTACCTGATTAATAGAACATCACCTTAAGTTCTACAACAAACTAGGCACTGTTTTCCATTTCACAAATCAACCGGATATGAATGAAAGACAGGATAAGGGATTTTGTAAGTTACCTAGCCTAGAACTAGGTTGAGGAAGTCTTTCTGATTCCAAAACACATGCATCTGATATTTATTTGTATTGACTCCCCAGAATTCTAGGGTAAAAAATTAAAAAAATAAGGGGGGGGGGGAAGAGAATTTGCACACAGACCATTTTTAAACAATAAACTCCCCTCATGCATTTAAGATATTTTTATATAAATGTGTTTTATGCTCACAAATTTTCCTGAAGGTATAGTGCAAAGTATTTCTGAGATCTATAACAAACTCCCAGACTCTCTTGTCTTCCCTGAGCTTAGGCCATCCAGGTATTTGATGCCTCTTTTCCGCATAAGAATTTAAGTCAAAGGCAGATGGTAGAACCAGAAATGTGTTTCACCTTGAAACACTTAACCAAAAGTAAGTCTTCTGTCCTCACTTCCTAAAGATCTCTATTTTTTCTTTTGATTTCTTCATTCTACAATCTCTCTTGATCCATCCTGCCAGTGAAATGTCACTTTGGGTACCCACTCCTGTGTTTGGGTGCATTGACCGCAGCTGCAGAAATAGTCTCATCTCTGTGTTGCACTATTGAACTAAAACTGACTGCTGGAATTCTATTGGTATCAACTCATGGCAGTCTGTGCAGACCTTTTAAATGCATTTTAAGATTAGCCTTTTCCACATTAAAAGCTAGCAAATCCCGTGTTGTAGTGGAAAGAAACTTATCATTTAGGAAGTCCTGTTCCTTGGCAATGCTGAAGAGAATAGAAATATTGATAATTGTTCACCACCTTAGTTTTCTACATCAAGTATGGTTTAATATGTAGAGTACTACCAATGTATGAAGAGCAAATATGAACTTTGAGATATAATAATACAGATTTGAGATTGATAAATATCCCCTACAATAAAAGCTAGTGAGTGGACTTGCTTAAGTAAATAAGGAACTAGTATGCTAGCGTATTTCCTTCCATCAAAGTTGAACCATGTTCAGAACATATTTCCTTCTTTAACTGTTTTCTTTTGGCATTCTACGATTCACCTTGTTGACCCTGTGTTAGAAGGAATGACTTTTGAGCCATTGCCTAAGAGTTTAAGGACAGTGTTAATTCATTACAAGTGTTATACAGCATCAAAGATGTGATCAAGTATAAAACAAACAAGTTAGCTTGAATTTGTAATCAAATAAAGCCAGGAAGTTGCAAGTTAGAAGATTAACAGTAATCCCTATAGATGTTTTTCTGAGATGTAGCTTTTGTGCCCTAGAGGCTCCTTCAAACATTTATTGGGATGCCAATTTAAAAACTGCACTTTTAAAAAATTCAGGAGAAAGATCATACCTCTCATTGTTCACTGTTAAGAAAACTTCAATGCCCCGGTCACTGTCTGAGCTCAGGATAGCCACACTCCTAGTCTCTCACTTGGACTCACAGCCTGTCTCCTCTCACTGTGGGCTCAGTAGCTTCCCCCAATAGCCAAAGCTTAAGGTCACCTTCTCTCTTGGAAAGCCGTTAGCTTCCTCTGCATAGGCTTTAGACAATGGCACGGTAGAATGAGACAATGAAAAGACAGATGGATAAAAGTACACATCATTTATGAATTAAAGAAAAATGCTAGCTTAAATGTGAAGGACTTGGTTGGTGTGAGATGATTCACTGCGTTACTCAAAAAGCATGACATGATTGGCCTCAGCATCTTCTCTGTTCTCTTACAACCTGCAGCCCGGTGTGCTCTCAGTGCAGAGGCCAGGCATAGGCCCCCAGCCACAGCACGCTGTCAATGCCCTCCTGGAATGCACTGGGAGTTAGTTACTGCACCCTGCATACAGGAATGCAATAGATGATGATATGTAGCATGATGTGTGATCTCTGACATTCCTTATAATTCTTCTGTTCTCATCTTTCTTTTTCCTTTCTATTCCAATTACTTTGAGCAGCATCAAGAAAAAATTACCAATCCACCAAAATGAGTAAGTCCCCTTGTGAAGCCATGAAATGCTTGCTTAACATGGTGCCATTTCATGCTTCTACATCCTAAACTCTGACCATTTTCTCCTCTGGGAAAAATGTCAAGTTTAGGTGTCGATAGCTCTCATTACTGACTAATCATTAAAACCTGAATTAGAAAAGCTAACCAAACCTAAGTATACACTTTGCTTATGGAAAGAGCTTTTATAAAAAAAAAAAGTAACAGAAGCTAAACATCCCACATTGCCAGGTCTGTGCACATGCACAAAATTTCATTTTCCTGACCCTTCTTTTATTGTCCCTCACTCACTCTGTCCTTGCACCCTCTCCTCTGACTCACCTGCTCTCTGCCTACAGACTGGCTCACCCAGAAGGAAGCCTCCCAGACCTCACCATGATGAATTACACAGCCAGCCTGGAGAAGCTGGAAATGAAGAAGTTGACAGATCCTGAGGAGGAAAAGCTAGAAGGTTTCTCTGAAAAAGAGGAGAAGGGGGAGCTGGAGAAAGACAGTGAGGATGAGGAAGAAGAGGTGGAAGAGGAAGAAGAAGAGACATCAGGTAATCTGTTCAAACCAGTAGCTGCTCAGAAAACACTTACTCACCAAATGTATGGTTTGCTCTAAGAAAATAAGATGTGTGATCCAAGCAGTAAAAGAAATATTGGGGTGCTTTTATGTTTGTGGGTATACTTTTTGGATGCTATAATTGTAACATTTTGTACCAACCATTTTCATTTTAACTCTGACTTATAAGAAGAGAGAAGAGGACTTGGTATTCACTATTGATCTAATTGTGAATCCAGAAAAAGAATACAGGGATTGGGGGCTGGATTGATAGTACAGCAAGCAGGACATTTGCCTTGCATACGGCTGACCTGGGTTTGATCCCTGACATCCCATATGGTTTCCCGAGCACTGTGAGGATTAATTCCTGAGTGTAGAACCAGGAATAATCCCTGAGAATTTCTTGTTGTGGTCAAAAAATAAACAAAACAAATAAAAAGAGAATACATGGATTGCCTCTCACCTCTTCCTCATCTGGGACACTTCATACCAGAAACAGCAACAGACAAAGCTGTGGAATTGCTGATGATTCTGGTGCCTTTTCAAGTGAACCCTCAAACCATCCAGTCTGAGTTATTTTTCAAAAAAAATGACTCCTCCTATAGAATTTACTTCTATTTCTGTCCTAATATACTGTGATAAGAGAACTGGAGAAGGACAAATGAGAAATTGGATAATTATTGTTCTGAGTCAACTCTTTTGTTTATTATAAAAATTTTTAAGAGTGAGACATCATGTGGTACAGTTGCAGACTTACACATTTTTGTGCTTGGGTTTCACTTGATCAAACACCCATCCCTCCACCAGTGCCCATTTTCCACCACCACGGATCCCAGTATCCCTCCCACCCCCCCATCCCCCCATCTCACCCTGTCCTGTGGCAGGGCATTCCCCTCTGTTCTCTCTCTCCTTTTGGGTGTTGTGGTTTGGAAAAGAAACATTGAGTGGCAATCATGTTTGGTCTGTAGTCTATTTTCAGCATGCTTCTCCCATCCTGGGAGGATCCTCCCAACACCTTTATTTGGTGTTCCCTTCTTTATCTGAGCTCCCTTTTCCCCTAGTATGTGTGGTTGGCTTCCAAGTCAAGGAGTAAAATTCCTGGTACTAATCTCGGCCATTCTTGGGTGTTAGTTTCCTATTCTGTTACTTTATGTTCCCCAGATGAATGCAATCTTTCTATGTCTATCCCTTTCTTTCTGAGTCATTTCGCTTAACATAATACTTTCCATGTAGTATCACTTGTAAGTAAATTTCATGACTTCATCTTTTCTAACAGCTACAATAGTACTCCATTGTATAGATGTACCAAAGTTTCTTTAACCAGTCATCTGTTCTCGGGCACTCAGGTTTTTTCCAGATTCTGCCTTTTGTAAAGAGTGCTGCAATGAACAAACAGTGCAGATGTCACTTCGACTATACTTTTTTGCCTCTCTGGGATATATTCCTAGGAGTGGTATTGCTGGATCAAATGGGAGCTCAATTTCTAATTTTTTGAGAATCTTCCATACTGTTTTCCAAAAGGGCTGAACCAGTCAGCATTCCCACCAACAGTGAAGGAGTGTCCCTTTCTCATCACACCCGCGCCAGCACCGGTTGCTTTTGTTCTTGTGGATATGGGCCAGTCTCTGAGTCAACTCTTAAGAGCTGTTTCCATTGTCATTGTTACTTTAGGCTTTCCCCCCTCTTTATTCTTTAGACTCTTTTTTCCTATTTTTCTTCCTGGATTTCAAATGACATTTTTTATAGAGCACTGTGTGAATTGAATAGCCTCAGCCATGAAACACATTCTATGAAAAGATAGTAGTCTGTCTAGCCAGTTCCAGAAAGTCTGTGGAAAGCCAGAGAGCTTTTGAGGGTGTTGTTCTGGGGCTGTTGTTGTAAGATGCTGTATTTATCTTTCTGGTACTCTGTGCTTCATAAATACAGAAGATAAAAAGTACAGTTTTAGATTCCTATGAAGTCCAGGATCCCAAGAACCCAGTTTCTCTTCCCACTTATTTCAGAGGGCCTGGAAACACCCTCTGCATCTCAGAGCAATGTGCATTTCTCAGGATAAGAGAGAACCAAGCTCTATGGGGCCAGCCACTTAGCATCAGGCTTCTTGGATTTCTTTACTACAGATGTGCGCTTTCCTAATAAGATCTTACCAGAAACTGGACTGTCCCTTGTTCTCACACTGTTTCCAGCACTTACTGGCTCGATTTTTAAATAGTGCTACTCTTACCAAAATATTTGAATTGATTCTATCTGAATCTCTCTGCAAAGAAGCAAGCTCACCATAACTAAAACCTGACAAATTTTCAGAAACCAAGTATGGGAGCTGCTAAGACCAGACCGGCCTTGCCAAAAACTGCTCAAAGAGAGAATTGGGTTTGATCACTTCTCTGGTCTGGTGACCTTATGTCTCTGTCTATGATGACTTGCTGATACGCCAAAATAGTCCTGACAGAATTTCCTTCTCATGAACCAAGGCAGGTTCTCTAGCAATAAACAGTGGTCCACCTCCAAAATATTGTCCCAAGCACAGATAGAAAGAATAAGATCATCAACCTGATAAATATGTATGTATAATTGGAATAAGTCCAGCCTCATTTTGTGAGTGGAGGCTGGACCAGATCATCTGTGACTCTGCACATATTCATGGCACCCAGTTAGGAGGAGGAGCAGACCCCTCAAGCCCTTGGCAGCAAAGCTGTCTGGCTTGCTCCTTGCCAGCACCGTTAGCTAGTGGATCCTCTGCCTCAGCTCCTGAAGGAAACTGGCATGTATCAAAGCACTTATTGGCTAGGAAACTCATCTCAAGGGAACTCTGGTTATGCAATTCTATTTCTAGAAAATTAGGTAATAATACCTCAATCTTAAGAACAAAAGCCAAAAAAGAAATTTCACTCATTTAATTAATATGTGGGTAAAAGTCATTTCAGAATCTCCATGTAAAATGTCGAAATTATTCTATGATCTGATATTCTTGGGCCAACCTTTCTCCAGCTTTTTTTCTTAGACTTCACCCACTGCTATTCTTTTGCAGCATCTTATCCAACTATGTACATTGCAAAATATGCTTTAAATAATCAGGCAGCATTAAACTTTCTTTATGGTCTTTGGTGAATTTACTATTTTTGCAGATTTGAGGAACAAATGGCATTTGGTGATTGACCGCCTCACTGTGCTCTTCTTAAAATTCCTGGAGTATTTTCACAAGCTACAAGTGTTCATGTGGTGGATTTTAGAGCTGCACATCATCAAAATTGTATCATCATACATTATCTGGGTTACAGTGAAAGAGGCAAGTGAACATTTATTGTATCTCTGGAACAAATGGAACCACATTTAATCATTATCACTCTATTATTTAACTGCCATTGTTGTTAGTCTGAATGCAGTCATGAGTGCATTAGAGCACTGATGGTATAGATACATACACTGTCATACAGAAAACTGAAGTATATTTGTCTAGATATGATGTAAATATTACAGAGGAGAAGTGGCTACTGGCTTGGTTCTAAATCGGGTTATTCGTGTCCCCAATGTTACTTTTTTCTGAAGTTGTATGAGATGGGAACTTTTGCACTGCAGATGTATATCTTCCTGAAATCTCTGAGAAAAGAGTAACATTCAAGTGTATGTTAATAAGCAGTAAACTGAGGTGCCAGAATTTAGTAAAATCTTTTGTAGAGCTCATCTCACTTATTATTGGATTTCGTGAGACAAGTCTGTCTCTAACATTATGGTTGTACATATATTTTCTCGTCTAATAAGAGAATAAATAGCACTCAGCCAATAACTTGTTAATCTACTATTGAAAATTTGGCTTTTAATTTCTTCAAAAAATTTTTCTGTATTTTTAATTATTCCAGACTATTTGAGTTGATGATTCCCTCTAAAAATTGTCTGGGAACTAATGCCTATAATTTTTTTAAGATTTTATTATTGAATCACTGTGAGATAGATTTTTACAAAGCTGTTCATGATTAGGTTTCAGTCATAGTGTTCCAACATTGCCCCTCCACCAGCGTATGTTTTCCAGCACCAGTGTCCCTAGATTCCCTCCTATCACCTCCCTCCAACAACCTGCATCTGTGTCAGGCACTCTCTCTCTCCCTCCCTCTCTCTTCTGTTATCAGTCATTTGAAAATTGGTCTCCTAGATTTGTCTCTCACCCCACTAGTAAAGCCTCCATTCTTTAGTTATACTTATCATGATACAAGGTCAACTTTCCTTACAGGTTCCCAGTGTAGAGCACTCTGGTACCTATTTTTTGCAAAAGAGGTTCATGTGTTTAAAAGATCCCTATCAAATTATGACTCCTAACTATAACTCCAGACTCACTTAACTGCTAAATTTCATTACTTTAAGTTCATCATTCAGTTATCTATGCCACCTGTTCCTATGATGCTATGTCATGTGTTCCTTATTTTGCTGATACATTCTTAATTGTACTTCTCACCTTTGTACTCCTGGAAAATTGTATGTGTCAATTTTGTACTCCTGGAAAATTCAAGTCTCGGTTTAAGTATCCTCTCCCCCCCCAGGAAATGTTTTTGAAGTCCCAGATAGGGCCAAGTATCAAATCTAAGGAATCCATTAACATCTATAGTTTAGATTTTGCTATGTTATTCTGAAAGTATGTAGTTATATTTCTGTCTATCTTACAAGACAGCTAATTTCCTGTCTAATATGCCTTGCATATACTAGGGACTAAATCTTTGCTGAGATGAATATAAGTTGTGTGGTCACACATGTCATGGCATGTACTTTTGTCCCCATTTCTGATTGTATGTTTTCAGGTGTCCCTATTCAATTATGTATTTTTGATTTCTTGGGCTTTTGCTCTGCCATATGCCAAGCTACGCCGTCTGGCTTCAAGTGTCTGCACTGTCTGGACATGTGTGATCATCGTCTGCAAAATGTTATACCAGCTTCAAACCATTAATCCTGAGAACTTTTCAGTTACCTGTACCTGGGTGAGCCTCTACGTTGGGGGGAATCTTCTTGACTGGGTCTTTGGGAAAGAAACATGGATATTGGGGGCCCTCCCTAAATCCCCAGGCACATTCTGCTGAAAGTGTGACTTGCCTTAACCAAGGTGGCTCTGTGCTAACTTAGATACGGGGCTTCAAGTCTCTTCAGGAGCTGAGGTTTCCCTACTCCTCTTCCCTCTCATAGCTTTTGCTCAAAGCTAAAGTCAGTTGAACTCCCTCATCCACTGGCACATTTTTAATCCTTTTTTGTTTCTTTCAGCCAAATGAAAATCAAACAAATATACCACTCAACCAGCTGAACATGTCTCTGCTGTACAGTGCTCCTATCGATCCAACGGAGTGGGTTGGCCTGAGAAAGTCTTCCCCTTTGCTGGTCTACCTAAGGGTAAAGGCTTTGCTATCATTAGTGGCTCTGCATGGTTTTTATCTGAACTCCTTTCCCTTGAAGCTCCTTTTACCATTTTAATAGTAACCTCATGTTCTCACATGGCATTTGGAAGCATCTTTGAAAAAAATCACTGACTGTTAAAATCAGGACTGTATTATGCTGAAAAGAAGTTAACTGAGTAGTTTGAGACCCAGTGAATGAAGTATGTCAAATATACTCACTAGAACATTGTAAAATCACTAAAATATTGATACAGATAATTTCAGGTGTTGAATGTCCAAAATATATTACTTAGTTTCAAAAAGTCAAATTTTGAACCACCATACCTACTATCTCTTTTATAACAGCTTTCCTCTGAAACCTTTGGCATATTTTTTCAAATGAGAATTAATTATAGTGCTATAAAAAATTTTTACTGTCTAATAGGTGCTGGACCATTGTATGTATAAAACTTAACTATGAATAACTTTGTAGATCACACTGCTTTAATAAAATTTTTTTTAAAAAATTTAAAAAAGAAATTTTTACTGTCTATATTCTATGTTTCTGCAATCTTAAGTAAATATACTAGATTTAGGAATAATCAAATAAAAAGAGCACATTCTGGAAAATATATTTACATAAAGAGAAAAATAATTTCATTCTTTGACCATTAAACATGGAAAATAAACATTAAATTCTCAAATCTGTATTTTATAAAGGTAAGATTTTTATACAGTCTTATGAGTCAGCAAGAAAGAAATGCAATGCTTCAATACAGGGATTCTGTCATAGGACTTTGGCTTCATGCACCGTGCTTTCTTTGTTTTAGAATAATCTCCTGATGTTGGCCATTCTGGCCTTCGAGGTCACAATTTACCGTCATCAGGAATACTATCGAGGGCGGAACAACCTGACAGCCCCGGTGTCTAAAACCATCTTCCATGACATTACACGGCTCCATTTAGATGATGGAATTGTTAATTGTGCCAAATATTTCATAAATTACTTCTTTTACAAGTTTGGTCTGGAGGTGAGTTTTCTTTGTGCATTATTTTCTTTTCCTTTCTGTAACAATGTCTTTGCTTGCTTTTGGTTTATTGGCCAGTGCAGTTTCATTGCTTGCTCCATGTTGACTGTCACCTCATATCATCAGGAGGAATTTCTGTTGAGCAATAAGTGACCTGTTTGAAATGTTTCCAAGACCAAGTGCCAAGACCGCAGCACTGAACTTGGCCTTTCTGAGCTCTGCAACCTTCCAGTACATGCATGCCATTTGTTGTTTCACTTCATTGATTGACAATAAAATGTTGTGAATCTTTCTTCTGTGTTGTGCATTTAAAAAGTGTAGGTTCCTACTAGAATGAACTGTTTGGGTATGAAATGGTATAGCAATGTCTGTGTCTTGAAAGATGACTTTTGGACAGTAATGTTTCACAAAGTGGTCATAGCTATAGTTCTCTTCACTGGTCGAAATAACTGCTATGAACAGCAATGTGGTCTCATTTTTCATAGGAAGTAATTTTCACAGTCTTTCTGTCTTCATTTTAAAGACAGAGCAGATATGCAAGACCTGGTGCCCATGTGGAGACGGACGTATGCTCAGCAGTGCAGGTCTTGGTAACCCCCACGGAACTGAGAGTGGCATCATTCTTCTTCCCTGTAAACCCAATATTTTGCTTCTTTTTCATCCTTATGCAGACCTGTTTCCTAATGTCAGTAAATGTAATTGGTCAGCGAATGGATTTCTATGCCATGATTCATGCCTGCTGGCTGATCGCTGTCTTGTATCGACGCAGAAGAAAAGCCATCGCAGAGGTCTGGCCCAAGTACTGCTGCTTCCTAGCGTGTATAATCACCTTCCAGTATTTTGTCTGCATAGGCATCCCTCCTGCCCCTTGCAGAGGTGAGTTTTCGTTTTCCCAAAGTCAGCTGCTCTAAAAGAGCCCCCTGACAGACTGGACAGTGGGCCAAAGGCAACAAAGAAGTGTATTGATTTTGCCCTTCACCACTTCCCTCCCTACAGATTATCCATGGAGATTCAAAGATGCCAACTTCAATAACAACATCATAAAGTGGCTGTATTTCCCAGACTTCATTGTACGGCCCAACCCTGTGTTTCTCGTCTGTAAGTGTTGTGGCCACTGAGTACTGTGTTTGCTTTTGTACTTGCTAATCCATCTTTATGCCTTATGCATTATGCCTTTGCTTCTTTGACTGCACTTTATGTAAAGACTCGCCTCGATGCATTAATATCGTCAAGTCATTAGTGGGTTCTACTTGTCTGGTTGTGTTTGCAAAACTAATTTTAAAAAAACACATAAGAAAAGCCATATTGACTTTCACAATCTCACTTCCCAATGCACTTGCCCACCCTCCACTTCCCTCCTTTCCCCGGACACGCCTGCCTTCTAGAAGTTGACAGGAGATGGGGGTCTGGTATTTTGTGAATCACTTGTTTCTGGCAGCTGCCTCCACAGACACACTGACCAGAATGTGTGACTGTGAAGCCCTTCAGAGGCTAGCCAGCCTGCAAGGATTCCTGAGCAGGTGACAACTAAATCCTCCCAAAGGTAGGTTGATTCAAAGTTTGGAGCAACACCATGATAGACAGTGCTGGGTGCATGGCAAACCAAAGCGAGACAACTGTCAAAACACAACTCAGCTCCACTGAATGACCAGGACAAAGCCGCTGAGTGCTGGAGGTCAGCCTGCCTCTTGTGAGTGTCTGCCCCAAAAGCGGTTCCACTCTGGCAGCCTCCGTTCCTCTCTGATCTCTCAAATAAATCCCTTCTTTCCCTTTACCATCTTCTCACTGTGCTCCATGCTCTGGAGTCTCCTACTACAAATGTACAGTGCAATGGAGAACATAAAAAATACACAGAAATATGCGAAAAAATAGACATGGCAAAATACCCAAAGTTCTTCTTTGAGACCCTGATGAGAAATAAGTATAAATAAGCACACTCATCTCAGAGTCATGGAAGCTAGTCAGTACAGCCTGCTACTCACACTTACCCTCATGAAGATTGAAACCAGGGACTGTCTTCTGTACAAGCCCCTAGAATGTCAGTATCCCCCCGTCTCCCCCAGAGTGAGCAAAATAGAATCAGACCACAATGATGGGATTCAGGAAGAAATGGATCATGAACATGGCATGATCTTCGAAGTCTCCCTTCAAAGTTGGGAAGAGTGTGCCATGCAGGGACTGACACACTGTATAGACCTGGGTTGGGGAGAGGAAGGCAGTGTAATCATCTCGTCTTTGTCTCGCCAGATGACTTCATGCTCCTTCTCTGCGCCTCCTTACAAAGGCAGATTTTTGAGGATGAAAATAAAGCAGCAGTGCGAATCATGGCAGGGGACAATGTCGAGATTTGCATGAACCTTGATGCAGCCTCCTTCAGCCAGCATAATCCTGTGCCAGATTTCATTCACTGCAGGTAATGGTAGCCATGTGGGTGTCAGAGCCACTGTGGTGTGTGAAGTTCCCACTGAAACAGAGGTGAATATACACAAAGCCAATAAATGTGGGGTCAGGAAGGCACAAATATCTTGAAGAAGGATTTTGTAGTTGCTTCACATTTTATACATCGCTCTCTTTGTAATTTGCCTCAGCTTTCCTCATCCTCATGAAAACACTGACACATGCCTATAATTCTTGCTGAATTCCCCAAAGATTTATCTTTTTCTCCTGTCCCAGCCCTTATCCCTGCCTATCCTCCTCATTCCTGTGTCCCTAATCTTCCTCCTTCTCTCCCCAACCCCCCTCCTTATCCCTGTTACTTCACCCCATACTGTATCCTGCTCCTCATGCTTGTTTATTCCTTATCCTCATCCCCTATCCTTTCCTCAACCCCTTTTGGGTTTGGATGCTCTTATAGTTGTTGCCTGATGCCTTCACAGAGATAAAGCTCTCAGTCACTCTCTTCCAGGTAGCCCATCCATCTTTTAAAACCTTAAAGACTCTACTTAGCCACTGGCAATAAGTGTCTATCAAACAGTGGTAGTTTGTTAGTACCCTCTACACTGGCTCTGTGATTTTGGACTAATTATGAAAATTTTCTGATCCTCACAAATCAGCCTCTACCCTCTAAGACTGTTGTGAAGATATTGTGTGAGGTTTACATTAGCATGTCTGCTTTGAAGATTCTGTTATTATATAGCCCAGTGAAACTTCCCACACCTTGAATGAGAACTCCAGCCTCTGAGCAGCAGAGCATTAGGCCTGATAATGCAGGTTTCTTAATCTCTTCCTTTCTAAAATTGTTCATTGCAGAACTTCCCGCCAGCCCAGCTAAGGTGTGGAACCATTGGGGTCAAGTCCACTTCCAATTTATATTGGTTTTTGTTTACATTATCCTTGTATTATTGGTCCAAAATGCCTATACTGTAAATAACTCTGTTATTAGTACTTCATATATATAACTCTGTTCCATAAACGGAGTAATTTTACTTTAATGGTGTCACTATGAGCAATTAGAGATGCAATGAGTTGTAATATTATAATTCCCATGTATAGGAGAAACTGAGCAAGGATTTGAATGCAGTCGACCTTACTACTCATGCTGAATCCTTATACACTTTAATGTCATTTGGCAGCATGAGAATCTCATTATGCGGGTCCAGAGAGATAATACAGTGGGTAAGGCATTTGGCTTGCACACGCCCAATCTTGATTTCGTCCCTGGAACCCCTAGTGGTTCCTCAAGTCCCACAACGAATGATCTCTGAGCATAGGGTCAGGAATAAGCCTTGAGCACCAGAAGAGAAGCAACCAAAGCAAAGCCTCCCAAATAAAAAAGCTCTAAATGTGTGCGAGGCATGGCTTTTAGGTACTGATTTTGTTAGGCGTCAGTGACCTGAAAGGAGACTCCTAATAGTCATTCTACTGCAAGATAACAGAGCCCTGAAAGCCGCCTCAATTTCAAGCATGAAAGGCAGAATGGAGGAATGACTCCTCAAAAGTGAATCTTGATTGCCCTTGGGACGTGCAGGCCCAAATATTGGACAGATCCCCATTGTAGCCATGTCCCATGACTTCTTACCTGCAAGGAGACATTTTTATCACCAGTAACATCTCTGAATGACATCTCTAGTTGTTCTCATTAATTTGTACTCCATTGAAAAGAATTTATTCCTAAAACTTCGTGTGTATCTGTACCTTAGAATTGTCTTTGTTGTGCAGTTACACATGCCTCCTCCAGAAAGGCAGAGGAGATTTGAAGTATCCAGCAGTCAGAAAATGTTGCTTTTGGTGGAAACTTGACCCAAGCAAATGATGATGAACATGCACAGTGTTTGCCTACCCATCCTTTGCTAAGACGATTTCTTCTGACCACTGTTAAATGAAAGATAAAATAGAGCTGAGAGAAAAGCTTGAAAAGTGCTTTGGGGACGAGAGAGAGGTTGGGTGAAGTGCAGGCTTTTCACACAGCTAAACTGGCTTTGATCCCCAGCACTGTATATGACCCCTTGAGCACTGCAGGGCACATTCCAAATCAAGACCCAGAAGTAAGGAGAGTACTGCTGGATGTGTCCCCAAAACAAAAACAAACAAAAACAGCTTTTATATAGAGTCAAATATATGGGATAAAACTTTTCTCTTATTAAAGTAGAATCACTCAACTTATTTTTTTTCTTCGTGTTCTTTGATGGTTTGATGTTTGTTTTCCAGGTCTTACTTAGACATGTCCAAAGTGATCATCTTCAGCTACCTCTTTTGGTTTGTCCTCACTATCATCTTCATCACTGGGACAACCAGAATCAGCATCTTTTGCATGGGCTACTTGGTGGCCTGCTTCTATTTCCTGCTCTTTGGGGGTGATTTGCTATTGAAACCCATCAAGAGCATCCTGCGCTACTGGGACTGGCTGATTGCATACAATGTTTTCGTGATCACAATGAAAAACATACTGTCAGTAAGTAGCCACTACTGTATAACACATTTGTGGTTTCAATGCAAGAGTAAACAGTCCATTCAGTGGTTATTAAAAGCCCATTGCCCATCACTCTGCCCTCTTAAAAGCCGCAAATAAGAGCTACATATTCTAAATTCAAATGACCATTATTACTCTTGGTTTTGCCATATTAAGCAGAATCCTGTTTGCTCCTGTCTACTGTTCCAAGGTCACATGATAAAAGAATATGTATTTAAAGACATTAGTCCTGAAATGTGTTATTAAATTCCCAGCTCTTCTGAGCAATAATAATATGATGAATTGGTCCTTTCATAACCTGAATCAGTCACTGACTCCCATCAAAAGTCAGGCCATGTTGGCTGAAAGCAATTCTCTTACCTAGAAGGAATTATGGAATTGTAAAATATAATAAGCAAAAGTCTCTGTAACACTGTGTGGAGTGGAAATGAGGTCAAATATGCTATTAGATGCACAATGTTTGTGTGCTCATGAGATGTGGGTAGATATGGGGGGAAACCAAGAAACATAAACTTTTTAAACAGAACCCAATTAAGATGATGGAGGGATAATTAAAAAGTTAAGACAACTCTCCCTTCTTTAAAGTTTGTTTGCTGTGGTATTAAAGTTCCAGTCTAGGCGGAAACTTTCTCCCAGCCTTGCAGGTAACTAGAACTGCTCATTAGTTATCCCAGAATCACATGGTCTTTTAAGTCACAGAGAAAGCATTTAAATTATTTATTTTTTCAGGAAATTAATCCCTTTCTTGAGCTGATGGGGTTAATAAAGAAAACTGCAGCTGGCTCTACCTTAATCCCTAGCTACTCAAAGGCTATGACCGATAATGCATTAGAAGAAGAGTGATATAATGATTTCCTGCTTTGCCTCTTCCTAGCTACTTAAAGTTGAGCTCACCAGGCAATTCAACTATGAAAGCATTTATTACTTTTGGCACATGTATTGCTGTTTTCAGTCTTGGAAAGTCAATTCTACGTAGCCATAACTTTGAATAATTTCTTTTCTCTAAAGTCCATTGAAATGTTTATTTGACAGTTGATTAATATATCTAACTTATCCATCTTATTCCACCAATATTTGTTTGTGATTCAGGTAGTATTCAGAGTTTCTGAAAGTGGATGAGACAAAACAATAGAATCACGTTTCATTCTAGTCAGTCAGGACCCATTGCCAGAGGCTGATCAGGCATTCCTGGAAAATGTATGGCAGCAAAGAAACCATTGATTCAGGGTTTATTCATTATTTAATTCATTCATTCTATAAACTTATATTGAAGACACGTTCTTTGTTAGAAAATTTATGTCTTGAATGACTGACGATAAAACGTATTTGACTTTGACACTCAAGGAACTCAAATTTTAAAGAGAAAAGATAGACCTACCTACAAATAATTATAATATGATCTATACAGGCTGATTATCACAAACTTATAGGAAAGCAAACAAAAATTAATGTCTAATATCTTCCCTGAATAATTGGAAGATAGATTTTCTGGTAGCATTGCAAGCTACCTGTGACAGTGTCACAATGGAGACGTTACTGGGCCTGCTTGAGCAAATCGATGAATGGGAGGACAGTGACAGTGACAGTATCTAGTTGAAGAACTGTGTTATGCAGTTATTATTTGTGACAGCTGGCATAAAAACATAGATTTAATTTGTCTAATGTGTGAAAAACTATCAGAGTCAAAGTTCTAGGATTTGGTGTTCACCTACTTGCTAGCATAGAGTATAGCTGGTTCCTATAATAGTCCATTATCTTCTCTTTAAAGAAAAGTGCTTCTATGAACAGAAAACATCCAAACGAAGACTCTTCCTTTACTCACTTGGTTTCGTTTTCTACCAGAAAATAATACTGCTTTGGAAGCATTGAGTGTACACACTAGCCTGCAATGACTGAAATTTTAGGAACTGTTCTTCAGCTCACAACCATTGGCACTGATACTTTGTGAATTCTTGCACATGTTGAAATTGCAAGGCATCAATCTTTTTTTGGTTGCAGAGTCTTAGAATAAGCCTTTTCCATTTGTTTTTCAGATAGGAGCATGTGGATACATTGAGCACTTGGTTAAAAATAGCTGTTGGTTGATTCAGGCTTTCAGCCTGGCTTGTACGGTTAAAGGCTATAAAATGCGTAAGTATGAAAAACAAAATTGTTGGGGCCGCAAATAGTACAGTGGGTAGGGAACTTGTCTTTCATTCTACCAACCCAGGTTTGATCTCTGGCATCCCATAAATGGTCCCTCAAGCACCACCAGAATTAATTTCTGAGTGCAAAACCAGAAGTAACCCCTGAGCTTCGATGGGTGTGGCCCCAAAAGACAACATTTTTAAAAAAAGGGTTGGTAAAAAAAAATGACATAAAAGGTAGGATAACTGTATTGTTCTCATTTGAAAGTTGGTCCAAAGCACACATATCTCACTGAAAATTAGTATTATTTACCTGTTAGACCCTTCATCACTACCTCCATACACTTTTGCTTGACTTTCACAGGACTAAGTGAGTTGAAGAAATTCAAAGTCTGTCTGTAAGGGCAACTTTTAAATATTGATTAATTAACTTTCATAAAACATGAGTTTGGGGGATACAACTGTAGACAAGGCAGGAGTTTGCATTCTGGTGACAACTTCACTATATGCGGAAGAAGAAAGCTTTAGGAATTGGAGTTCATATAAACTGACTAGTAAATGAGCATTCCTAGAAAAGGGATGAGTTTTTTATTTTCAGTTCTAAGAGGAGAGACAAAAACAGTGGGGCCAGGTTGCAGGACACTTCATCGAATAGCAACTGAGCTTGAGAGTACCATTCAAGAAATAAATAGAGGGAAAAAAAGATTTTAGTTGTACATTATCTAATAGGCACATATTACTTAGGATAAAAAGTATTTTTATTTCAGTGGTCTGTTAATTTTTACAAACTTAATCATTTAAAGTTACATATGCTCATTATAAGCTTCTCCAAAGTGTATGATTTTAACTATCAACATGTATTTAGAAAAGAGAAATGTGTGTGCTTATGAATTATGACAAAAAGCTAACTTCTCACAACTGAATAAAAAAGTACAGCCTGGGGGAGAGGTGAGGGGAAGTTGGTCCAAAGTTCACAAAGAAATCAGACAGAAGTGAAGATGGGTTCTCTTTCAAAGACAACACTGCACAAAAAGTGGATTTCTCAAGACATGGAGAACCTCTACTTCTGTCATATATGATCACTCTCTAGAGACCCCAAACTCTGGCAGAACTGGAAACTGGGTCAGGAATAGCCACTACATGGTTAGGTTTTGGTTTATTTCTTTGTTCTTTTGTTTAATTTACAATTCAAAAGCTTTATAGAAGGTCAATCATTTAGTACCCTAGTCATCAAAGTAAGAGCAAATTCTTGATCTTTCTCAGGAAGCTCAAAATTAATAAATGTGAGAAAACACCTAGGAGCAGCAGCAGGATATCTGGAGTTAGACTGGACAGAAGCAAAAGTCAGATTCCCAGTCTCTGCCTCTTGCACCAAGCCTGGGACAACATTACACTGAGTCCTTCGGGGTGCCTTGAGTGGGGGCAACTTGAACATGATCCTCTTCCCCTGTGACTTTCAGTCCAGGCTACACTCTGACAAAGATAAAGAGTCACTCAGAATTCATTCCAAATTGGAATAAGATGTGCTGTTATTACTTGTAATATATACGTTGGTTCATCGGTTAGTTTCCCTTCCAGAGAGCTGCTTTCCAGAATGGGTGTACATTTATACAAACTATTATAAGCAGCACCAAACATATAGATTATTCCTTCCTAGTTTGTATTGTGGTGGTTCTGGGAGAAGAGGACCCCTTCTTCCTGAGAGACAGGGATTCTCAGGACATCTCCCAGGCAAAGAACTCTCTTGTTCCTTACACTGGTATTAGTACATGGTACATGGTCATGACTACTTTTTGTGGTCAATGTTATAAAATAAGTTTTTATGTTGGATTTGAAGTATATGACCTTGCTTGTAACTAATTCCATTCTTAAGTGATTCAGTGGATTATAATGTTTCTTTATGCTTCTGTGATTTTTTCCAATCTCAATCATAATGAAGGCCTTATAAAATAACATTGTAAGTGGATGCTATTTTTATTAGTCTTTTTATTTTCTTTTTGCTTTAGCTAATCCTGATATGTCATGTAAACTTCCCAGTGGTGAGGCAGGAATTATTTGGGACAGCATATGTTTTGCATTCCTCCTGTTGCAGAGAAGAGTTTTCATGAGTTACTATTTCCTACATGTTGTAGCTGATATAAAAGCCTCACAGATTCTGGCATCAAGGTAGGTCGGATGTGAATTCTCGGGTTTTTTCATAGAAGCCTGTCTGAAAGTATTTTGCACTACACTGACTATATGTATTTGCTAATAGAACTCTCTAGAAATTATGACATTTTCTCCAGGCTAGATAATCCAAGAAGGCATAGTGCAAGGCCATGAAGATTTAAAAAAAATGAAGCATGGCTTGCTCTTCAAGCCCATGTTCTTCCTTGAACACATATCTTCCTTCCTTGCCTCTATGATTTTTTGCTTGCCTGTTTCCACTCTGGAGAAGCCTATGTTCTCTCTTGAACACATACTTCTCTCTTTCTCTCCACTCACATCTTTCTAAATATGTTTCAATAAAAACTATTATGATTAAAATAAATTGGAGCATTATGAGACTCTGCAGTTAAGCCCTTCATAATAAAATAGGGCATTCTGGAAAACCAAAGATTAACTCATTATCTTGACCTCTCATGATTCATTGATTAGTCTGTCCTTACTCAAAACTTTAAAAACTGGACATATTGCCCTAGAGCATACTCTATCTTCCCTCTGTCTACCTCAGTTTTAAGAAGAAACTCCTGAATGTAGAGAAAAACGCAGTTGTTATTTATCAGATTTTGGAAAAGATTCATTCTAAACTTTTCTTATTTGTCTTTCTTTATCCTTCCTGTCTTTTCCCCATGCAACCTCAGTATTTTCCCCCTTCTGGGCCAAATTGGGATAAGATGTGTTGTTATTACTTTTATTTTAGTTATTACTGGTGCTGCAAGATTATGCTTTTCTTCTTATTCTCCACCTTCTTGTAGTTTCTGCCTCTGTAGTACGTGGCTAAGGGAAAGACTTGTAGGAGGATCATATGTTAAAGGGAATGGCACTGTAATACATTAAGGATCATCAGTAGCCAATTGTGTGATCCCTCAGATGTCATGTCCATCACAGAGACCCTGGCCTTTCAAATTCATGCTAATCTTTGGTGTGAAACAATTTGATTAACATTCGGTTGTATCATAAGTTGTGGTTTAAGGCAATGCATATGTTTATACATAGTGTTCCTAGAACTTATTCTATATCCCTGCTAGGACAAACAAAATGTTATTTCAAAAGTTTCCTTAAAGGTAGTTGATTTCTAGACCAGAGAGGTAGCATGATAGTTAAGGTGATTTATTTGCATATGGCCAAGTATGGTTCTATCCCAGACACAGTTGTGGTCCCCCGCATAGACCTTGGAGTGATCCTTGAGCACAGACCCTAGTAGGCCCTTGGCACAGCCAGGTGAGGTTCCTAAAACAAAAGTAGAGGTGGAGGACAAGTTGATTTCTAGCCTTTTCTACCTGATTTAAAGTCAAATAAAAAAGAATAACCAGTAGGAAACCTATATTATATCTGAAGAAATGTGCAGTACCCCACCGGTCTTACTATGAGATATATAATTTGGTTTTACATATAATACTGGCTCTGGAATTTTCCTTTAGAGCTGTTTTTCTAATACCTAGAATATCACTTTCAGTGCAGGGCATAATACCTCATATCTATAGAGTATAGTAATATAGTAATCTTATTTATTTGTACAGAGCAACTAATACATTTTCCACTAAATGCTTTTTTTTGCCTTTACAGTTCATCTTTAGATGGCTAATACTTCTAAATCTGTTTTTCAGGAAGTTGCCATGTTATTTAGAAATCATACCTTTACTATTACAGGAAAAGTAGTGGCTTTTGGTAGGATACAACTCATACTTATCAAAGAAAATCCATGTCAGTATTGTTCTTACAGCAGACTTTCCTAAGAGACTTTCATTTATTTATTAATTTTTATTTTCCAACTTCCCACTCTGCTACAAATAAATGGGTGCTTGTCCTAACTCATATGGCTTATATTGATGAGACACACTCACATAAATTAGCATAATACAGTTTGTCCCTTGTGATGGTAGAAGACATTTGGGAAGCTATATCAATATATCAATATATATCAATATATCAATATATCAAGGGTAAATGACCATCTGCAGAGGACAAAAACCAGGCTTCCTTCCATTTGGAACTACAAACTGAAGGATAAATAAGAAATAGAAAAGTAGAAGAAGGTAAAGTGAAATTCCAAGGACAGTTTTACTGAGGAACTGTAAGAAGTTCAGATTAAATAAAACAAAAATTTAAAGATGAAGGTAGATACTGATGAGAAATAAATTGGAAAAAATATGGAGATGACATATTATCAGAGGCCTCCTAAACCAGGTTTATAACATTAGCAATAATCCCAGAATCAACAGGAAGACACTGAGGTGTTCAAGGAAATAATATGATTATATTCACATTTTAGAAACTCACTCTGCTTCAAATGTGGAGGATGGATTGGGTATGAGTAAACAGTGGTACCAGTTTGATGAATGCTCTGCTGGTACAGGATAGAAACAATGGCTAGGGTTAAGGTAAATTAGATCCAAATATTTAACAGTTAAGTTGATAGAAAAGGTTTACTACACTTGTGGAGTTGTCGGTCTCGTAAGCAAGTAAAACTCAGTCCATTGGAAAACTCCAGTGTGCATTTGAGTAGACTGGTCTGAACATTTAATAGACTTGAGTGTCATCATTACACAAATAGTCTTAGAGCAGGTGAGAGAATGTAGAGAATAAGAAGAGCACCCTAGGGAGCATTCACCTTTAAAGAGATCTGCAGATAAAGAGGTTACAAAGAGAACTCTGAACAAGCAGGGACAAAGAGGGAAAAGTAGAAAAAAAATCGTTACTAGGGAGTCTGAGGGAGATTATTTCAAAGAGGAAGTTTAAGATACAAGATATACAAAGACAAAACAGAAAATTAAACAGTAGAGTTAGTAACATTAGGTAGAAATTAGAAAAAATATCTGATGATGTTACAGCCTAAACTCTAGGTTGAATAAAAAAGCTCTGGGCCAGTGAATGCAAGGTATTGGACAGTGCAGGGCAGATGATAGAGGGCTGCATATAGGAAATTTTGACATATGAATGGTTCTTTAACTGAGATGTGCTAGGTATGAGCATATTTCCAGAGTTTTAAGCAAGATACATTGGCAGGGAAAAAGGATGAAATTTCAGGAAGTGCAGACTCAAGGAAATAATGAAATCCCCTGGGCTGTGGGTAGAGAAGGGACTTGAACAAAAGCAAGAGGAAACAGCAAAATGTCACTTCTATTTTTCTGCAAGAAAGGACTTCCGCAGGATAGATAGCATGCAGCTAAGAGAATTATTCTTGTGATTGTTGTTATCTTGGGGAGGTAGGAGCTTTGGTCATTTGTTCAGCATGAAATCCCTTGAGAACTTCTGATATGCTGTAAATCTAAGGAGTTTAAAACAGTTCTAATAGAAAATGTACAGGGAGCACGATGGGGCTGGGAGGAACTCATCTGATAACGTGCCCAGTCATACCTGTTATGCTATACTTGGTAAAACCTTCCAAACCCACTGCAGGAACACCGCTGGGTTCATATATATTTGGGTTTTGCCAAGCCAAAGTAAAAGAGATGTGAATAATGGTAGAAGATAACCAGAAGAAAGCATAAGAAGAGAGGAGAATCAATGGAGAAAGAGGCATAAAATCTTGTTGATGGGGCTTGAACTTCAACTTTGAGTATTCCCTTACTGAAATCCTATCTCCACCCTTCATGGCTTATTGAGCAGGAAACAATCTGAACTCAGTCTTCTGTACAAATGTTCCCCCACGGGCAACAGAAATTTGGTAATATGTGTACCATCATATGCTATAACATTCTGAGGACGTTTACTATCTTAGAGAATTTAAACCATCTTCCTTTTACTGGTCTACTGGGGTCCAGGAGCAACACACTTGCTCCCAAGAGAGCCTCTGCTGGTTAACTGGGCAGGACTCTGAAAAGACCTTGGTTCATCCCACTCCCAACCAGAAAATTTCAGTCAAAGCCTAAAATGAAATGTCCATGTCAATTAATAATCATTTCCCCCAAAAAAGGAACTGGAGCAATAGCACAGCAGGTAGGGTCTTTGCCTTTCACATGGCCAACCTGGCCGACCCAGGTTCGATTCCTCCACCCCTCTCGGAGAGCCTGGCAAGCTACCGAGAGTATCTTGCCCACACGGCAGAGCCTGGCAAGCTACCCGTGACGTATTCAATATGCCAAACACAGTAACAAGTGTCACAATGGAGACATTACTGGGCCACTCGAGCAAATCGATGAACAATGGGAGGACAGTGACAGTGAAAAAAAGGAAACAATTTCTTTTGTACCAACAGAAGAAATACCAGCTTATTCTTTGTTTTTTATTTTCTTTCAGAGGGGCGGAGCTCTTCCAGGCCACAATTGTAAAGGCTGTCAAAGCAAGAATTGAGGAAGAGAAAAAGTCAATGGACCAGCTGAAGAGGCAGTAAGGATGCTTTCATTGGCTCTTCTCTTTGACTTTTATGTGCAGTTTACATGATCCCAGGCTTCAGTTCTCAATCCTTGGGGAGCCTCGTCCCTGGAAAATCTTCATGTTCATTTTCACCATCGTGGTTGTGTTTGCTCTTGTGTGTGGGCAGTTGCCAGACTCAAAGGAAAAGTGATCTAAAAGAAAGCTGCAGTGATGGGTTTAGGGCACTATTTGGGAAAAGACCAGAGGTCAAGTCTGAGTTCAGTCACTGACTCCGGAGCTTTGAATCACTCACTTAAATTCTTGGAATTGTAATTCTTTAAATTAGTTGGCACAGTTCTACCTTAACTTTTGATGAATGATATCTGATCTTTCCCAATAGCACTCACTGATCATTGCATCTGTGGTGTCATGGAATAAATTCAGAGACCCTAGATTTGGAAGAATTTGAGAGATAACATAATGTAATATAGTCCAAGACTGTTTCATATCATTCAGCCTTTTGGTAATAACTGATGAACTATGATATTTGATGAAAAAAATCCACAATTAGAGACAGTGCTCTAGATACAACCCATATTCCTCACATCCAGGTCAAGGCTTTTAGCCACATATTCTGTTCATTTAAATAATGGGCCTATACTGCCCAAGAGATTTGAGAACCTTTTTCTTTTTTTTTTTTTTTTTGGTTAGCTTATTGTAAAAAAAATATGGTTTTAGAGGATAGTGTTAAGCAGTAAGTGAAATTTCCAATGATTGATAGCATTATGACAGAAGCTCACATATTAGAACTGATGCCAGAATATTCAAAACCTAGTCACTTCCCCAAGAAAACAGACACTTGCCAAGTCCATCATTTCAACCTCATTCCCATATGCAAAAAAAATCTTGCTAGGATAAATTCCTCTATTCCATAGTCTGTGTATGTTAATGAAAATATAAAATTACTCTTATGTATTATATGAATATATGTTATGCATCAGCAAATCTGATATAACTGTTATTGCTTTTTCTAACTAGATAAATCAGATATAGGAATATAACAAATTTATGCTCACATTTTAAATGTGTTCTCAATTTTCTATAATGAAACCTGTTATTATAATTCACTTCACTGACATTATCCATTTGTTTAATAATACAAAAATCCAGTATCTTCTATTTCATAATATGCTGTGTTTAGAATAGCAATGGCAGAAAATTTAGATGGGCATAAAGTTTTGCATATCAAACTTTACCATAACTAATTTTGATCATGTTACTAAGACTAGCATCTACACAGTATAAAATTATATGTGTGTATGTTGTTTTAAAACAAGGAGATACTTGTTACTAAGCAAATGTTTGACCACTTGGTTCATGATTTTAACTATCTACCTAGATGTGCAGTCCCTAAAAACTGACAGATGAGAGCTGTGGTATATTCTTGTCATTGATGGTACTATTTAATTTACAGGATGGATCGCATCAAGGCCAGACAACAGAAATACAAAAAGGGTAAGGAGAGGATGCTGAGCTTGACCCAAGAATCAGGGGAAGGCCAGGACATCCAAAATATCTCCGAAGAAGATGATGAAAGTACGTCAAGATATTTCCCTTGTATTTAAGTAGCCAGATATTAACTAGTAGCATGATACTAGGTATCTATAGCATGGTGCTAGGTAGGACTCAAAAATAATAATTTTGTATTCTGCCAGTATATTCAATGCATTTTTAACTTCTCAAGTTATACCTTCTCATTGTGAATGGGACATATTTCTTTCAATACCTATTTTTTAAATTTTATTTATTTTTTATATTGTTCAATATCTATTTAATGAATCCATGACTCTCTGAGTATTGTCTTCAACTTGTCTTCAACAAGACACTTTTAATCAATACAAAGCCTAACTTCTGTCCCACAGACAGATTTTGGTGAGAAGAAAGGGAATAATTTTGTTTAATTTGTTCTTCTATGGAAGAAATTTTAGATACACAGTCTACTATTGACTTTTATTTCGATAAATTTTATATAAAAACACAATTATGAACATGTATGCATATTTATTTGACCTCTGAATATAGTATTTAAAATTATCATATGTTCCTATGAAACTTAAGATGCTATATATTTATAATATGTAATGATAGGTTTATTATACTCAATTAAACTTAAAAGATCCTTTCGTAGATATTTGCATGCTTTTCTATTTGAAGAAAATATAGAAATAATGCACAACTTTTCCAGTACATAGTATTTGCTAATAACCATTTATTTATATTTCCCAACAAATGCACTAAAGTCATCAGAAGAAAAAAATTGGGGTTATTAGAATATATGCATTTTGAGAACTTATTTGCCACTGTTATTCAATAAAATGTGGGTCCATACTTCTTTTCTGTTAATTCCATAGAAAATAAGTAAATTTTTGAAAGATAATCCCTAATTTTCCTATTTTTATGCTCCCAGTTAGTGAACATGTGGCATGATGTCCATAAGCACTTAGTAAATGCCTTCTGAAATGGACTATAATACATGGAAACTTGTCAGATTCCGTTTAGTTTTTTTTCTAACCTCTGATGTACTTTTGCAATTTATTTAGGTTTGACAATTGAGTTGTTAAGAGTGGTTTTCGACATTTGTTTTCTCACTTTCTAAGAATTAATACTTGGACATATTTTATTTTAGGAGAAGCAGACAAACAGAAAGCCAAGGGCAAAAAAAAGCAGTGGTGGCGGCCTTGGGTTGATCATGCTTCCAGTAGGTTTTTCGATCCTCTTACAATTTCACCGATTTTAACCCTTATATCCTTGACCAGAATTCAGGCGTCCCATTACCTATGTGTTCCATGCATTGTTTGATCCTTGTGACTTGATAGGGGTCAGAGTGCAGGGGTCTCCAAAGCATAGACCAATTTTCCAGAGAAATCAGCTAATTAACATGCTAAGTGGAGAAACTTTTATGTGGCATATGAGCTCTTGGACACAGTTTATGCGGGTCAAAAAGGGAAAAGGAATTAACTACTGTGATATCCAATTCTAAGATAGAGAGAGCTGCCGATACGTATTTGTTTCATGGCTGAGAACCCTTATTAAGAAAGAGTCGTGACTCCAGCGTGGACTCTGGTTTAAGAATAATAATTATGTTCAAAGTTTATGACCCTCATTGTAAGGTACAAGTTGGGGATACAAGCAACTTTCCTCTCCCTTATTCCCAGAACTTTGATTTTATTTGCAAAAAAGGGGGGATTTCTTTGGCAATATTGGATATAAAGATGAGGCTAACTTAATGTGCATTTACTTCTCATCTGGTCTCCCTCCCATTTTGAAAAAAGACTTTAATTACATGCTGAATCCAAAGCCCAGCACCCAGTTCCCCTTCCCATCCCCCCAAAAATCATTTTTTAAAAAGCAAAACAGGATGCTATGTAGAACAAATATTTTTTCTTCCTGATCAAAATGAATTAAGAATCTCAGTAGCTATATTCTATATTCATTCTTTTTAACAAAGGAACTATCACTTTTGACCAATGATGTTAAAATTGAATGATCCTTTTCAATCTAGTACCATTTAAATTTATTAGAATATTGTATAATCGAACTGGAGCAATAGCACAGTGGGTAGGGCATTTGCCTTGCACATGGCCGACCTGGGTACGATTCCTCCAACCCTATCTGAGAGTGCGGCAAGCTACCGAGTGTATCTCGCCTGTACAGCAAAGACTGGCAAGCTCCTCACTGCATACTCAATATGCCAAAAACAGTAATGACAAGTCTCACAGTGGAGACTTGTTACTGGTGCCAGCTTGAGCAACTCGATGAACAACGGGAGGACAGTGCTAACAGTGCACTGTATAATTATGAATTTTTGGAAGGTATTTGATATATAACCTTATTTTATCACTTTTACTGTGCTAAATATTAATAGATACCATCCTTAAGCAAGACCTTAATAGGGTCTTGGGAATATTACTTTTTTATTTAATTAATATTAATAATGATGTGAGGGACTCTATAGATTGAAATTCACTAGATAGCTAAGATAATCAGAATCCTTTCCCATATTACTTTTTGTCACTTATATCTGATATTGCCCTCTCACCCAAGAAAATTTTATAAGTCAGAAAGCTGATTTAATGAAGAACAGTCAAAATATGGGGCAAGAGCGATAGTATAGCACATAGAGCTTTGCATGTGGCACACCCGGATTTGATCCCTGGCTCCCATGTGGTCCCCCAAGCACTGCTAGGAATAATTCCTGAGTGCAAAGCCATGAGTAACCCCTGGACAACGTTGTGTGCAGCCAAAAAAAAAGTAAAAATGTGTTCAGTCTAACTAAATATAACACAGTTTAATTCCAAATACTGAATTTAGTTTTATGGTAGGAAAAAAATTCTGGATTCCAAAGAGAATCATTTAATTTGCTGTCCAAGTCCTAAATTCAAGTCAAAACTCTATGACTCTTCAATTTATTATCCATCAGCTTTTCAAAAATTGCATAGCAATGCACTGTATCCCATTTCTATCAAGTCACAAGTAAACTGTGCCTATTTTATGTTCTGAAAGGGTCCTTTGCGAGTTTAGAGAGACCTATCCATTTCAGATTTGTGTCATAGTGAATGTTTTGTCTTTTCAACTGGAGTAAATTCCCATTGCAATCATTGTTGTTGTCTTTCCTTTTGTCATATAAACATTGAATTTTAGAAGGAATTGGATACGGTCTTTGAAAATCATCTTACAAGCCGGTAATATCTTAACTTCCTATGAAGGTTATTGAACTTAGATTGTCTGATTCATTTCACCCTCATTATATCAAGTTCTTGAAGAATGGTATTAAATTAAATGTGCCTTGATAAAATTCCTACAGTGCAATAATGCAGGGATGTGTGGGATTCATAGTCTGGAATCAGATTCTGACTGTGATGTTAAAATTTTTCTATAAATGTACTTCCTTTTGCAAGTTTATAAGGAAATAAGGATGATGAATATATGGCTTACATTTTATGATGATAATTTCAAAACTCATCTTTATATCTGGAAGCACTTTATCAAAAGCCTTACTCTGACCTAAAGATATACATTTTGTAAATACAAAATATAAGAATAAGTATGGTTGGAATAGACTTGTGTGAAATTGACAGTTTGTCAGTTGTGAATTTAATAATTAATTTAACAATTTAATAATGCTGCTACACTTTTTTATTATTGGTATTCTCTCAAGATCTTAGCATGGTCATAGGTCACAAATCTCTTATTTCCTACCTATGTGCACACATGTGTTGCATTATTGCTGTTCAATGATACCTTCCATTTAAGTGCTGTATGTTTCTGTATCCTATCAGTACTGCTTATAACAATGCCAAGCCCCACTTTATTTTTCAGTATATGAAATATAGGTCCACATTCCTGGGAACAGATAGTGGAATTTTCAAAGTTGCTTTCACTCTCAGTCATTGAATGTAGTCATTGAAACACAGGCTGGAGATAGGTTCTGAAATAATAAATGTAAGAATACCTCTATTTATTAATAGGATTAAAGACAAGTCTCTGGGTATTTTCCTGTTTTTACTTCAATTTTACATTTTATAAATGAATCTATTTTAAAGTGTTTAATATGTTAATTCCTTTTCTCACCTATAAAACTGCTAGGTTTTTTTTAATGACAAAAACTGTATTTAGACTGCTTGAGTTAAAAAATGTTTGGGCTTATGAGGTCCACATAAATATAAGTAATAGAAGGTATGATTGAATACAATTTAAGCTATTATTGAGTTAGAGCCTATAATGAGGGTAAAATGCTTAATATTTACTGCATTTTTCCAAATTATGTTTCATAGAGAACATATAACTTTCCTGCAAATCTCTGAGCTTTCATGAAGGCATTACTTTAATGGTCTTCCTTACTGTCAGATGAATGCTATAACTTTGGTTTGTTCTTGCTTATTCTTACCTTATGTTGTACTGCGTTTATTTCTTCAGACCTGGACCCAGTACCCTGGGCCTGGTTCTTTCTTCAGAAAAAAAATACAAGTTACAGTACTTCTGTTCAAGGATATAAGGCCCAATTTATTTATTCTGCATCTTCATGGATGGAGGCTTCAGACATGTCTGAAATTACGAGCAAAAATTTCTTAGCCTTTAACCATGTTTAGTAATAAGCAGCCAGCTATTAAACAAGCCCCAACTTCTATCCCGTTACCATGTGAGCTTCCACAAGAAAACTGAAGACATGTTATGCCATCCAAAAGATACCTTAGCATTAGAACACCCAAACAGAACTGAAAATGTTCATTTTTTTCCTGCAGAAATGTATATGTATATATATAGACACATATATATATACATATATATCAGTTCTCACTCTTTCAATAGACTTAACCATCATTGAGAAAGATTGGGTGCTGAAATTCATTGAAAACTCTGGACATTTTAGTTAGCTCTACTCACAACTTATAACCCAATGATATGCTCTTGCAGAGATAGAATCAGATAAGGAAATGGCAGTCGTTACTCTTTGTGCCTTGCATCTTGTGGTCAGTAAGTTCCCCTCAAATTTCAGTAAGCAGCTGAGGAACTCCAAGTAGGCAGTGCTGGACTACATAGTTCCCATCAACCATGCTAGTGCAGAAATTACCAGAAGGGTGGTGGTGGCATCTCAGTGGTTACATATACAATATTTATGAATTGTTCCTGATGTAATATATATTAAGCATTTCAAATGTCTTACCATATGTCATAGCCCCCTTTCACAACTGAAGAAGCTAAGACTATGCAGTAGAAAGTGACACTGAGAGTTACCACTGATCTTGATCCTGAATCAGATTGATGGGCTTTTCTTACTCATTCAGTTAATACTAAGTTCTCTGTTACACTTCAGCTTTAAGGGTCCCCAAATTGCTCAATTATAAAACTGTAATAGTTTAAAGTCATTTTGACCAGCTGCAAAATGATGGTCAAAACATTTTGGTCATTCTTGGTAATAGAACCAATTGTTGCAGAATTGATCCAATTCACCTATGTACAATTTGCAACAAAGAAGGAAGAAAATGCCAGACGAACCCAGCAATGGCTAGTTCTGTATGGCATAGACAAGACTGTGTTTTCTAGACCCAGGCATACCAACACGATGAGTTCTGTTCATCTCTTTTTTCCTTACCTACAAGCATCTCTTGCCATAGTCTTTTTATAGACTCTCTGTATATCTTGAGGTTGGGAACAGGGGACACTTCAACATTTCATTAATAATCCCCCTTTTATCCTATACCTTTTTCCAGAAATAAATAAATATTTTGTTTTGCTTAGTGGTCAGGAGTGGAGATTATTATTTGTTTGAAACGGATAGTGAAGAGGAAGAAGAAGAAGAATTAAGAAAGGAAGATGAAGAACCTCCACGAAAGTCAGCCTTCCAGGTAATTATGGGCTAGGGAAGACCATGCCCACAGCTAATTGAAAAAAATCTTTTCCTTTTTGACAAAACTTGATTTCAGGTCTATATGTCTGCCACTGTCACATATATTGAAGGTCACAGAAGTTTCTAGTTTACACTAAATCACTTATTCCCCATGCTTGCTCTTAACAGTGCCTTTTTTACTGCCATCAGAGTGGATTCCCATTCACTTGTCATTAAAATTTTTCCATCATAAATGAAAAATAAAGTTTTCTTGGTGAGCTTAGTTTTTCTGTTACAAGGAGGACATGTGAAGACAGTGCTTTGGATCACTTGAGTGGGCTAATTTCAGTATGTTAAAATAGTTCATAAATCAAATGCTCATTTAAATGATGCATAACATCTTGAGAACTATTGTTTTATATGTACCAATAAAGATTTGAAAAGTTATTAAAATAATGAAAATATTCAGCACAGTTGTTATTTTGACATCTTACCTGCCTTTCCTTTTCATAATTGGTCGTACAATTCTTAATTATTTTATATACTACATCTCCCTGAATGTGTAACCAATGCTTGTAAAAGAGAAGACTTCCTTGTTAAGAATTACATGCGCTGAAAACTTTTTCTGTTTCTTTTATTGAAGCAGCTACATAACAAGACTGCTTCCTTTCTCTTTGTTATAATACAAGGCATAGAAAAAATCTTTTAGTCCATAGATGTCTTCTAAAGTCAGCAACTGATGGCATCTACCCATTTTGTATGAAATAAGTTATTCATGGAAACACTTTGTCTGATGCTTCTCACCAGCTTCAGTGCTAGCTGTGTGTGTCTTGATGACTATTGCTGTGTGCATGAGTATGCTAGCTTGTCAAATACTAACCACTTAACTGATTTACCTTTATTCCAGTGATTTTAATTCTAACTCTCACTTCTGATACAGCCAAGGAGAGATCATGATCATCTTCACCATTTTTTAAGTTTACAGATAATTGACCATTTTCTGTATTTCTGTCTTTAAGGGGAGCACATATTTTTCTAGCTTCAATGGTCATCTCGTTTTAACATAGTTGATGCAATTATAAAGGCTAAGTCATACTGACTTCAAATATTAAATAATTAGCCTGTTTTTTTTTCTACTAATGACTCTTGCTTTGTCCTTCTTTGTAGAGAGCTATTGGGAAGTTTGCATCAGCCATTTTAGCCTTGCCAAAGTCTGTCATTAAACTTCCCAAAACTATTCTTCAGTATTTAATCAGAGCTGCAAAGGTATTTGACGTTTTCTGATGTGTAGTGTGTGACCCTCTGCTCTGTAGAATTTTAGACAAGCAGATCCCTTTTTGCCAGACATCTGCATTTTCCCTCTTCTATAAATTGTGCAATGAAGGAGCAATGACAATTTTAAGTATTGGTCAAACTTTCACAATTGGAGTTCTGAAAAGCCAAATTATTATTTTATTCTTCTTTTTACCTTGATCCAAGAGTCCTTCAAAAATAGAAAGAGAAAATGCAGACATATGTCTCGTCTCCATTCTGTCCTCTCGGTAACTTGGCCCAAGTCACAACTTGTTTTCAAAGGGCCACATCTGGTTGCATGCATCAGTGATGATGTGTAAAAAGCATAAAACTTTTTCTCAGAGAGCTGGTAAAATTATGAATAATAAGCTTGTAAGAGATTTATTTTGTTCTATTTCCTTGTTGGCTTTCCTTTAGTCATCCTTTCTAAATTGGACCTCAACTTCCAGTCACTATTCTGAAGTCACTTCAGCTCCATAACACCAGAGGGCTCTTCACTCCTAAATCACAGATGCAAGTGGTGAAGATTCAACTACAAAAAAAAAAAAAGAAAAAAGAAAAATTAATTCTCTGTCAATGAATCTAACCCACAACAAACATTACCCAACTACCCATGTTATGGTTGTTTTGTTACTGACAGAGTTGGAAAAAAGGAATTACTTTACTATCCTTGTGTTTTAGAGAAAGCTGTCTCTCCTGATTCAGTCTAAGTAGGCAAAGTGAATTCTTAGGTCTTTATGTTCCTCCAGTAGTAATAAGTAAATGGTTTACCTAGTGAGACCATTTTAATCACCAGGGGCTCTTGTTCATGTGCAGGTTATTTAAATTCAGCAGGTCTGTTGGAAACTGAACTTACGTATTTCTCTCAGGCTCCCAGGAGAGCCCATCTGCTGGACCAGATGCAGAACCTAGAACTCTGTTTTCTCCATGTTTTAAAGTCAAGATCTTCACTTTTGTTTAATATTCACTGCTGTCATTCTCCTAGGCTCCTTTACTTTCTTATGACTGCCATATGAGTTTCACCAACTATACTAAGAATTCACATGAAAGATATATATATATATGTATATATATATATATATAATGTAAAACTCTACCAATCTTGCTTTCAAAAAGAAATCGGTCAAATAACTTAAAGAAAGTCTTGGTTAATACCTAGTAAAGCCAAAAAGAGAGTTTATGAGACTTACATAGTATCTCCACTCCAACAACCTTCTTCTATTTTACAAAATAAACACATTTTTACCAGAGTTTTCAGTAAAATCAATTGATTTCCATCAATGGAAGATAGAATTATATTGACTATAAAATCAGTGATATTTAAATAAAGCTGGAGTATATGATTATTTCCAGAGATAAAACTGGGAATAATCACTAAAGACAAGTACAATCTGGAGATGCCACAGATGGTTTCTGTACACTTTTGTATTTTTCTACTTATTGTAAGTGGTGTTTGTGTCTTATCCCCAGACAAATCTAACAAGTTAAATGACAATTATAGAAATCATACAGATGAGGAAATTTCTATCTTTAGAAGATTGAGGCGTTTTCCTCCTCTTCTTTCATTATCAACTTTTTTTGTGAAACGCACTGAGACAAAACTGACTCTTGCATGTTCCTGTAACTGTAAAATGTTTGCCTTTCCCAAATACAAATTCAAAAATCAAGATGAAATTGACAAACAAGAATTTGTCCTCTGGTTCTCATTCTCCTGTTGTAGTATCTAAATTCTCATCTCAAGAAAATTGCTCTGATGGGCAATTATAACTTAATTATAGGCACTTATAACTTAAGATCTGATGTAGGATCTTTCAATGCTTCAAAATTTTTATTACACTCACTCTTTCTACCAAGTCTCTTTCCTAAGTTTCCCACCTCTTTCTCTTCACCCTCTCTCCCATTTATTCCATTTTCATTTAGAGCAACAGAGTTTCTCCAACTTGGACATTCACGAATGCCACATTCCTTTCTTATTTTCTTTGTTTTGGACTTTTGAATTATCTAGAAGCAAAATTATAATAATGTTTTTTGTTTATATTGGGCATACACCAGGAGCTAATGGTTTAGGAACTACTGCATGTTATCTGATTGAAACCTGGCCATCTATATGGAAGGCAAGCACCTTACCCACTATACTAATTCTCAACCCCATTAATGTTCTTTTTAAAGGATTTATCATTTATTTTTTATTTTTATTGTTTTATTTAATCACTATGAGATATACAGTTACCAAGTTTTTCTTGATTGGGTTTCAGTCATACAATGTTCCAATACCCATCCCTTCACTAGTGTACATTTCCCACCACCAATGTCCTCAGTTTCCCTCCCACCACCCTCAACCCCCATCCCTGTCTCTGTCTGTCTCTGTCTCTGTCTCTCTCTCAGGTCATACACTCTCTCTCTCTCTCTCTGTCTCTCTCTCTTTGTCTCCCTCTGAGCATTATGCTTTATAATGCAGATACTGAAGGATTATCATGTGTATCACTGTACCTACTTTCAACACTCAATTCTTGTCCAGACTGATCATTTCCAACTGTTATTGTCATACTGGTCCCTTCTCTATCCTAACTGCCCTCCACCCCACAATCATTTGTGGCAAGCTTCCAACCTTTGACCAGTCCTCCTGGATATTAGTCTCATACTATGTTTTTAAGAAAATGTAAATAAACATGAACTTTTCCTATATTTAGTGGTTCCAATTTTTTAAGAAAATTAAAATTTTGTTACAGTCAGTGTGCCTGTTTATGTACTAAAAGAAGAGATTCCTGATGGGTTCTCAATCCAGTTAAAATGCTCAATAAATATTTACCATAAATTCTTTCATTTGGTCCATTTCAAAATCTAGTTCTTTTTTCTTTTAAAAATGTTTTAGATTTGCCCGAGAGTATTCAATATGCCAGACACAGTAACAACAAAGTCTCCAATGGTGACGTTACTGGGCCCGCTCGAGCAAATATAGGATAATTATTTTAGATTAATAATAGGATTAAATGTTTCTTTCCTGGGTTATTATTTATGTATAATTCAGATTTTGTACTGAAGATTTGGATTCCATTTTACCAATAGAAACTTATATTTTCTTATATGGAAAAGTTGACTACCTCCTTAGTTTTACTGACATTACAGTGGCAGGTTACTTTACACTGTGTATTTTCAAAGATTTCAGAAATCTAAAAATTCATAGGATAAAATTCAAGTGTCTGGGTTTACAAAAGCTCTAATCAAATGTTCTATCATAGTAGAAAGGCCGGCTCCCCTGAGACAGGTGTGTTTGTGTGCATGAGAGCATGCCTGCTTGGCTTCATAATCACACATGGCTGGCTTTGTATAGGCTTTCTTTTGTATCTTCTGCATGTCTTGGGAGACTGACTATTGGTGGGCAGGTGTTCAAAATTGCTCTGTCATGGTTATACTACTTTGATGCGATTATTTACAGCTCTTGAATGAAAATACTAAAGGCAAACAACAGTTTCCTTTCCTATCATTCTGGAATAATTCCTTAAACTATAATTGTGTGATGTTTTCTCTTCTAATCTGCAAGCCCTTTCTCAAGCTTCTGGTACTAGCTGTTATTCAGATGGGAGAGGATGAAATGTGCAAAACTGTTCTGTCAAAATAAGTGAATTGAAAGATGGGAAATTTTTTTTTTCACTTAAAGTTTATTTGTGGGTAATGAGAGAAAATAGCTCTAATAAACTTAGTCAGGCTTTCAGAAGATTTCTTTGTGTGCGGTGCAAGAAAATCATTAATTATCATAAGTGGTGGAGCTATGAGGAGACTTGAGTAAGAAGCTGGTTTGATCACAGAGAGTAACCCATCATTGTCTATAATTCCAAGTGAAATACACTCCTTCAACACCTATTTTCAAATTTTATTTCATTACCATGAAAATGGCACAGGTGAGCTCAGAATACTTAGGGTCGTGGTGGGGGGGAGGCCTTAGGTTTGTGCCGTGATAACAAATAAAAATCAGAGTTTCCTTTTGGGCCCTTTTTTTTAAAGTTCAGATTATTAAAAATCCAGAAAATAATTGAACTTTTTCCTTCAGTTCGTTTACCAAGCCTGGATCACAGACCCTAAAACAGCACTCCGACAGAGGCGCAAAGAGAAAAGGCGAAATGCAAGAGAAGAACAGAAGAGAAGGAGGAAGGCATCTGGGGGTGGTGAGTGGTGGATGGGCGAGCAGGTTCTCAGCAGCATCCCCTGTGGTCTTGGTCCCAGAGGGCGCTAAAGGGAATTGTAAAGGAGAGGAACTCTGGAGCAATTGAATCTTATATTCTAAAGCCTGCAAAGAGTTCTACTTAGCCTCATTTGTTTATGTGTGATACTTGTGCTAAGTTAAAACATGAGCTTAAGTGAAGATACACTCACACAATATAAAAAGTCTAAGGAAAGTCAAAGAAAGATGGGAAAAATCTCATTTTCAGATTGCTATTAAGTCAGAGTGTAGCACTTTTACACTGTCCTTCCATTGCTCATCAAATTGATCGAGTGGGCAGCAGTACTTCTCCATTTTGAGACTAGTTGTTACCGCTTTCGGCATATTGGATACACCACGGAGAGCTTTACAGGCTCTGCGTGCAGGCTGGATGCTCTCGGGAGCTTTCTGGGCTCTCTGAGAGGGACAGAGGAATTGAACTCGGGTCAGCCGTGTGCAAGGCAAACGCCCTACCCACTGTGCTATTGCTCCAGCTATTGGGATGAGCTTTACCAAGGGCTTCTCACTCTGTGCATGAGAAAATCCAAGGAAACCAGGAGATGAGAGGTTTTTGGTTTTGTTTTGTTTTTTGAACATAAAGATTGCATAAGGGCTGGAGCAGTAGCACATCGAGGAGGGTGTTTTCCTTGCAAGCAGCCGACCTGGGCTGGATTCTTCTGTCCCTCCCGGAGAGCCCGGCAAGCTACAGAGAGTATCCTGCTCTCATGGCAGAGCCTGGCAAGCTCCCTGTGTCATATTCGATATGGCAAAAACAGTAACAAGTCTCACAATGGAGACGTTACTGGTGCCCGCTCAAGCAAATTGATGAACAACTGGAGGACAGTGCTACAGTGCTATTAAGTCCGAGTTAATAAACAAGATCTTGATTAGTAAGTGATCTTTCATCAAAAAACTTTACTTAGGAAAAAACTAAAAGGATAAATCTGGAACTAAAGAAAGAGTATAGAGAGTTTGCCTTAAATGCATGTGACCCAAGTTCGATCCCTAGCATCAAATAGATTTTCCCAAGAAAACTGCCAGGAGTGTTCCTGAGCACAAAGCCAGGAGTAAAGCCTGGGCACAGTCAGATATGGTTCAAAAATAACCCAAAAGTCCCCAAAAATTAATGCCTAAAATGCAAATGTGGCATTTGAGTTTACAATTGTGTAATATATATACAAATATACACTAAATATCTTTGTGTGTATATACATGTAAAGGTTGGTGTATATGTATATATATGACAATATAGATCAAGGATTTCTAAAATTGGTAAAAGAAAATTTAAACAAAATTAATGAACTGATATAAAAAAGAATTAACAGGTTGGAAAACAGAAATGGCCAAAAGATGCTCAGCTTCACTCGTAATACAAAAAAAAATAAACTCAGTATTTTGAAATAGGTTTTGTTGATTTTTTTGTTGTAGGGGGATTAGGGTGTTTTGGTTTTGTTTTTTAAGCCACATCTAGTGGTGCTCAGTATTTACTTGATGTTCTCTGCTCAGAGATCATTCCTGGTGAGACTCAGGGCACTATATTGGGTGCCAGCAATCAAACCCGTGTTAAACCTGTGTAAAGGAAGTAACTTACTCTCTTCTCTCCAGCCTCCATTTTTCTTTTAACCTGGAAAACTGCCAAGAATTTAAACCTTTGATAAGATCATCATTTGTAGCTAGTTGTAGATAAGTGCTCCCATGTATGATGGATGGTGTAAATCAAGCTGTACATTCACCTCGAAAAGCAGTGTATCAATATCTAGAAATACATTAAACGTCCTACTACATGAGATATATATGATCACAAATCAGTCTCAACTCTTTTTGACTTAACTGAAGCAATATTTGCACATGTGCAGGAGGACATGTTAAGGGATATCAGTAAGCGTTGCTTGTTAATAACAAAAGTTTGGAGCCCTCCTATGTCTCCATGTAAAGAGTCAGAAAATTACATTCCCAATAAACTTTGATGTACTGTTAGTAATTTTAAATGATATTAATCACTTTGAAATAACAGTGATAACACTCCTGACATAATTAAGTGAAGCTGCAAAATGGTCTGCTGAAACCATTTATGAAACCAAGAAATTCAAAGCAGAACATATCATTTCACATTTTTAATAAGTGCATCCATGGTGCATATATGCTATATAAAGACAAAGATATGTAATAAATTTATAATAGCCCTTTCTTCTTTGAGAGGGTAGGGGTAGAGAGACTGAAATTAACTGGTATGATTAAGGAAAAGTTTAGGCTAAATATGTTTTAGTTTGGTTCCTCATAAAACACGCACATATAGTTTCCTTTTAAAAATAAAATTATTAAAAAAAATAAAAGGAAAAGAAAACAATATTTAATGAAACTCAAATTGAAAAAAAAATGTACGCTTTTTGACCATTCTTCCACTTTCTACTTCCTAGTAACTTTAATTTTATTTCACTTTATTGATTTAAAAGACAAAATTGGCAATAATTGCTCAATAGGAGTAATTTATACTTCATGAATTCGAAAACAACAGGAATGGTATGCACCTATGTATTTATACTAGGTGAAAGGAGTGAAAATGAATAAAACAGCTTATAGGGTTTAGAAGCTTAGAGATAAGTTTCTAGGGCAAATTCTGCATCTACCTTTGTACTGCTTGACTTTTTAACATCTTTTTGAGAATTACTTTTTCTTTTTTATGTAGGAGTATTGCTATTTATTCAGCCATTGATTAGGCTAATTGAATTGGGCATGAACTCCACCTTACTTTTTTATTTCTTTTTTATAAATTTATTTATTGAATCACCGTGAGAGCAGCTGGGTTTCTCTCAGTCATACAAGGATGAAACACCTGTCCCTTCACCAGTCCCCATTCTCCACCACCAAAAACCCCAGGATAACCCCCAGCCCACACCCTCCCCCTACCTGTGGAGCAGATGATTTCCACATTGCTCTCTCTCCCCCTCTCTCTCTCTCTTTCTCTCTCTCTCTCTCTCTCTCTCTCTCTCTCTCTCTCTCTCTCTCTCTCTCTCTCTCTCTCTCTCTCTCTCTATCCTTTGATTCCATTCACTATTTCGACCCCAGGCTCACCATTATTATTTGAAATTTTTCTCCAACATTCAGATATGCTGAAAAGTCAACCGTAGACAATTTGTTTTCTATTGCTGGTTATGAATAACATATGATGTCACGCAACCACAGTAGTGACCACGCGATTTTGGAATTCCAAAATTTTAACAATTAAATCTGGAGGGATTTCTGTCAAAACCTGCTGGGTTCCAATATTTGTTCCTGAGTCTCTGGGATCTTGGCCATTAAGCAGCTTGATCAGGAGCCAGAGAGGCCGTTCGTGGGCAGCGACCCGGGGGTCTCATTGGGGCGGGGAGGAGAGGGCCAAATCCACTCCCATCCCGTGCGTCCCTGTGTGTCTCGTCACTGCGGGCCCAAACCTGACTGTCCAATGGCCTCTGGAGGATGGCAGGCACCAAGCTGCCAAGGGGGAGAAGGTGGAGGGACAGTACCCTTTCCCCCTGGGGTGGCTCTGCACCAGTAACCTACAGTGGGGACTGGATGCATCTCTGCCAAAAGTCACTGGGTTCCAGATTTGTTTCTGAGTCTCTGGGATCATGGTCGTTAAGCAGTTTGGTCAGGAGCCTAGAGGCCGTTTGTGTGTGGCAACTCAGGATCTCTTTGGGACGTGGAGGAGAGGGCCAGCTCCACCCGCATCCCATGAGGCCCCTCGTATCTTGTCACTGCAGGCCCAAACCTAAATGTCCAATGGACTCTGGAGGATAGCAACCACTGAGTCACCAGGGGGAACAGGCACGAAATCTATTCCCCACTGAAGTGGCCTGGCGACAGTAACCTACTGCAGGGATCAGACGCATTTCTGCCAAAAGGCACTGGGTTTCGTGATTTATTTCAGAATCTCTGGGATCATGGCCGTTAAGCAGCTTGATCAGGAGCCAGAGTGGCTATTCGTGGGTAGCAACTCGGGGTCTCGTTGAGGCAGGGAGGAAAGGGCCAGCTCCACCCCCATCCTGTGAGGCCCCACGTATCTCATCACTGCAGGCCCAAACCTGACTGTCCAGTGGTCTCTGGAGGATAGAGGCCACTGAGACACCAGGGGGAACAGGCCAAGGCATGAAACCTATTCCCACCTGGGGTGGCCTGGCACCAGTAACCTACTGCAGGGACTGGACTCATTTCTGCCAAAAGCCTCTGGGTTCCGATATTTGCTTCTGAGTCTCTGGGATCATGGCCATTAAGCAGTTTGATCAGGAGCCAGAGAGGCCTTACCTCCAATTATATAGCTGAGCCGGAGGTGGTTTGTGGATGTGTCTCCCACATACCTAGCTATTGGCCGTTTACTTTCTTGGTAAACTTGGCCCCAAGTTTTTGGGGTCTGGCCAAAGGCACAGCAACAATTTTGGGGTATCTAGAAGTCTGAAGGCACCATCAGGCTGCTGATGCACTCACCTCACAGGTACAGATTGACCTGCTGGCAGCACCATACCCCCAAGAATTTCTTTTTCTCTTTATGTTTGGTGTCAGGAATCAAACTGATATCCTTATACATGCAAAACAAAGCTCTTATGGAGAAATGTTCATGATACATTGCTAACAAATATAGCACTGTAGCACTGTAGCACTGTACTCTTGTTGTTCATTGATTTGCTCGAGTGGGCACCAGTAACGCTTGCTCGAGACTGGGTCAGCTGTGTGCGTCTCACCATTGTGAGACTTGTTGTTACTGTTTTGGGCATATTGAATACACCACGGGTATCTTGCCAGGCTCTGCCGTGTTGGTGGGATACTCTTGGTAGCTTGCCAGGCTCTCCGAGAGGGACGGAGGAATCGAACCCGGGTCAGTCACATGCAAAGCAAACACCCTACCTGCTGTGCTATCGCTCCAACCCAAGGTCATAGTAGCTTTTATTTTCTCTTTTGGCTTCGTCAGAAAAGAAAAATAGATATTATTTCATTTGAATTTTTCTAGTAAGACTACATGTTTTTATTTCATATTTTCTTGTTAATTCATCCTTGCAAATCTAACATTTTATATTTTCTTCACTTCTCAGAATTTTCTATTGGGTTGCCTTTCCTTAGAAATTTGAGTAATAATTTTATGTTAGGACTATCTCTTTTTCACATGCTTCAAATATGATTTCTCAATGAAATGCTTGTATCCAGATTTAAATTATGAACAATATTAACTAAATAATTTTTTGTTTTTGGGTCCACACCAGGGGATTCTCAAGAGTTTCTCCTTGATCTATATTCAGGAGTTCCCTGGGGGGGGCTCAGGAAACCATATGGGCTGCCAGAGATTGAGCCTGGGTTGGCTGTGTGCCAGGCAAGCACCTTATCCACTGTATTATTGTTCTGGTCCCTTGTTATCACTCTGGCTCCTATAATTTTTAATATTTTCTAATAGGTCAGTTTCATTATACAGTGTCTAGATTTTCCTCTTGCTTAAAATCTTTCCCTCCCCAAGTATTATAAAAATGTTTTTCTGTAGTTCTAGTTTTATTTGTAATTAATTTTTATTCTTCAAAGTAAAGATTTATGTAACTTTTAATTGTATGAAAAATATACCATATTTATTTATTAAATTATTTTTTCTTTTTATTAAATTTAAATGCTTCTTTTGTCACTGTTGATCTCCCATTGCTCTCAGATGTGTTTCAAGAGTCTGTATTCTTCCCGTTATCCTATTGCATCTATCTGGGCCAATGTATTCTATTTCTGAGTTCAGTAACTGCTAAAGTTAGATTTAATATCTGTTGCCATAAAATTCCTTCAATACCCACCCTTTAGAAAATTATTTTGTCATTCTTAGACATTTTTCCAAATTCATTTGATCCATTCTAACAATGTGTCTTTTTGTCAGTTTGTAAATATCAGTGTGCCATAAGACATTTTTCCATGTACAGACACACCACCTTTTTCTTCAAAAAAAGAGAACATTAATTCAAAGATGTTGAATTATAGAGACTGAAATTAATATTTATTCAGCAGCTTCTTGTTGTTACAAAGCTGTAATGATGTTACAGGTAATTTTCAGACAAAGGAGGCAAATTCTGCCTTCCAAAGTGCCAGGTATTTTTGCAAGTTCTCCCTAGACAGTGACTTCTCTCATTCTCACAGATTCCCAGTCAGACATGTGCCAAACCAATCATTCAGTGAGTGGTTGTCTAGATTTTATACCAGGCGTCCTAGCTCTTTATCTTTCTAGGCCTTTCTGACTTTCAGCAGAGAACACAAGGGAACACTGCAATTCTTAATGACATAGAAACTGTAAAGTTTTACTTATAAAATAAGTTGGAACCATGTTGGGCCAGAAGAAGAAAAAGAGAACTTAAAGCCAAGAGTGTATGAGAATGCAGTATTTTGTGAAGAAGATTGTATTCAAATATAAAATGACTTTCTAGAAAAAGTAAACAAGATTATGTATAAAAGAATAAGAGCAGGTTAGTGTAGCTGAGACATGAGATGAAAATGTCTAGTAGAAAATAGCATAATAGAACATAAGTGTGGGCTCAGATTATATCTTAGAGACAATTACTGAGTCAATTACAAGGGGGCTGGAGCCATAGCATAGAGGGTAGGGCATTTGCCTTGCATGCGGCTGACCCATATTCGATTCCCAGCATCCCATATGGTCGCCTGAGCACCACTAGGAGTGATTCCTGAGTGCAGAGCCAGGAGTAACCCCTGTGCATTGCCGGGTGTGACCCAAAAAGCAAAAAGAAAAAAAAAAGAAGATCCCCAAGTCAATTACAAGAATCCCACTTGAAATTAAATTTTTTACATTAAGTATAACTTTTTAGCCTAAGTATAATTTGAACATATTTCACAGGACTCCTATTAAAAACTACTTGTCATTTTTCTTAAATTCAAATCTGTTTGGGTATCCTATATTTTTGTTTACTAAATCTTTCAGTTTAACCTTAAGGTTTATGAAATGAGATGAAATTTTATGATGTAATTTTAGGGACTGACCCACTAAAACTTGTGACATTACCCCAAGGACCTCAAAATTAAAATTTTATAGTTTGTGTCAGGTATTGGCAGACTTTTTCTCTACAGGGCCAGACCATAAATATTTTAAGCTTTGGGAGCTGTGAGTCCCGGGTACAACTCAGCTCTGTGATTCTAAAGTGAAAATAGTCACAGAGAGTATGAAAATAAATGGACAGACTGTTTAAAGTGAGGATTTTCTGAAATGTTCACATGTACCAATACTATTTTTTAGCTTTTTTCTAACTACTGAAAATATAAAAAGGACTCTAATCTCATGTGTCACGTACCAATAGGAAGCCACCAAAATTGGAGAGAAAATTGTGGTTTACACGTGCTCATTATTCCTGATTCTCATTCCAGAGTAGAGAATATAAAAACTATGAATCCTTATGACTTTTCCCCCAGGAGCTGTTAAAAATAGGCACGATTTCCTAGAATTAATTATTAAATTCCTTTGAATCTACAAGAGTAGTGTTGACATTTGGTTTTCCCTAAAAGAACCTAATTCATGTTTATTTAACACGCTGAACAGGTCCCGCGGAGTGGGAAGACCGAGAGGAGGAAATGGTCAAAAAGAAATCTGATGGACCAGGTAATGAAATTAAAGACCATATGAACTGGGAGAAATTTGAAAATGCTACTTGCCCAAATGTTATATTATGGAAAATTGCCTAAAAATAATTAATCAAATAAGGTGCGTGGACTGTGAGTAATAACCAGTATGCCTTAAAAGCCCATCTCTAATGAAATTACAAGGTGATACTAAACCCAGAGATTTTCAGTCAATTCTTCTCTCCATATGAACCTCTCTCCATAAACCTGTGTAAGGAGATTTTAGGGAGCCAATTCTAATTGTCTCATGAAAGCCATTTTGAATATAGGCACAAAAATTATTGGCAACTAATTTTTAAAGAACACAGAGGAAAGAGAGTTAAATCAAAGCAGAGCTGGGGAAGTGAGAAGTCCTCTAGAATTCAGCCAAGCTCTTGGTTTTATGAGAGGAAAATTAAACCCCTGTAAGTTTTCTCAAGTCCAGCCACAGAGAGACAGAGCCAGGGACAGAATCCCAATGTTCCACTCAGATGCAGAGCTCCTGCGCGTCTCCCTGTCGGCCACGGGGACTTCACGCCTGGACCTAGGGAGCCACCGCGGTGGAGGAAAGCAAGACTAAAACCTCCCTTTGAAATAAATCCAAGTGTTTCTAGCTCCATAAACACTACATTTGAGTTTATTTTCTGTTTTTGTTTCTAGGGTATGGTTTTCTGCTTTGTTTGCTTTCATCTCGAAAATTGGAAAGTCAATTTGCACTCTTTATCAGCAACCAAAATTTAGTTTAGGTTCCTTTCCTCTAGACACAACTACTTTCAAGAGCGCCATCTGCTGGCACAAAATGACTTTTTCAAAGCTGTCCCCACACTGTGGCACCATCCATATACACAGCTTCCCTCTGCAGATCATTATGTGAGCCAAGTGTTCTGTTAGTGCAGCTAACACTTTATTTTTTTATTTTTTTCTATTTTTTTACAGTTACAAAGCTTTCATATTTGAGTTTCATACAATGATCAAACACCCATCCCTCCACCAGTGTACATTTTCCACCATCAATGTCCCCAGTATTCCTCTCGCCACCCCTATCCCACCCTACCCCTGCTTCTATGGCAGACAATTTCCCTCTTACTCACTCTCTCTACTTATGGGTATTATGGTTTGCAATACAGATAATGAGTGATAATTTTTGATCCTTTATCTACTTTCAGCACACATCTCCAATCCCAAGTGATTCCTCCAACCATCATTGACTTAGTGATCCCTTCTCTATCCCAGCAGCTAACCTTTTAAAGTGTACCTTTTCCAGGTACTTTTCCAAGAACTTCAGGCGTATTAACTTTCGACACGCTCAAATTTAAAGGCTAAGGAAACTGAAGCAGAGAAACAGCCATGTTTTCTAAGTAGACAATTACTAAAGGGTAGAGTCTGGGCTTGAGCCCGAAATATCTGAACCTAGAACTTGTGCTTTAACCACTATGCCTTACCATCTCTATGACTTAAAAAAAATAATAAAACAAAATCCTGATTTCACGTATTTGTGATCACCCAAGTAAACAAAGTTATTCATGTCTCCAGCACAGTAATTTTTTTATCATGAGAACTACCATAACAGAAAATGTGAGAATATCACTTTCTCTTTATCACCTCTAATAAAATAATCGTGAATTTGAGGAAAAGCAAGTTCTAAAATATATAAGATGTAGCTAATGTTTCTTGTAAGTGCACCCCAAGTCTTCCAGCCTCCTACATTTAGAGTCAAACCTCCTTTCTAATGGAGATGCAACAAGGATGAGGGGTTCTTGTCATACAGCTGCAGGAAAAACACAAATTGGCTCAAGAGCTAAACCAAAGCAGGATCAAGGGAGGGAAAGAAAGGGCTTGTCACGGACCTTATTGCTCAGAGTTGCTCTTCTGTGGAGCTGACATCCTCCTCTCTTCTGCATGGTTCTCTGCCTGAGCAGTTTTGCTGGCCTGGTACTACGCTTGCTGAAGTACTTGCTGAAGTACTTTATGTCCACTACGAAAAACGGACACAGCTTTACAAAGGAGTGGGGCATGCGCACAGAGACGCATAGTCAGGGACCAACTGAGTGTCATCCATCACTGTTCACATCTGCATGTTCCTCCGGTGTCTGATGCATGCCCAGAGCCTCTTCCTTTCTGGGAGGCCTCTCACTTGACCACTTCCCATCTGCTTGTTCAGACAACCATTTTCTTTACCAGTTGGCAGCTGGTAATTGCAAAGTTCTTGTGTCTTCAGTTAGTGGAACTATTTAGCTCCTATTGGTTTCTGCTGTGCCCATATGAGCTCTGTTAAAGACAACAGTAAAATTCCTCTTGGTGACTTTTTTTGTGGGGGGGAGAGAAAACTGACCCTTCTGGGTCACTTGTTCTTTTTGTTCAATTACCAGGTCAAAATCTGATTCATGCTGGTCTTTAAAAGGGCAAGGAGAGAAAAAAGAGAGAACAGGTGTCTTCAATGGCTATCTCTGATTATAATAGATTAGCCATCAGGAAGCTAATCTGAATATAGACATATAATCCAGTGTCTTCACACGGAGAGAGAGAAAGAAAGACAAACAGACAGACAGACAGAGACCGAGAGAGAGCAAGAATAGCTGCTCAATAAATTCAAAAGTAAAATAACATTTTAAAAATCTGGCTAGTCGGCTTCTGATGCTGCAACTGCAGATGTAGAAAGATCCAGAGTGGCTTCCTATACCACTTGCCCTCATGAGGCTGAGTGCCCAGCACCCCACAGCTTGGTAGACACACGGGGTCAGCTGTGGTTTTGGTGAAACATCACTGTGCCACGTGACAGCAAACTGGTTGATGTTATTTTGTCCCTTTGATATCGGGTATTGTCTGTCTTTCTCCTAGATAATATCATCAAGAGGATATTTAATATTTTGAAATTTACCTGGGTTCTGTTTCTGGCCACGGTGGACAGCTTCACGACTTGGCTTAACTCCATCTCAAGGGAGCACATTGATATCTCGACAGTTCTGAGAATTGAAAGGTGCATGCTGACTAGAGAAATTAAAAAGGTAACACTAGTACTCTTCCTTGCTTTTCTTCCTCCTACATAACACAGATCCAAAAGTCAATATGTATAAAGAGCTCCAAGTAAAATAAGACAAAATTTTTTCCAGACAATCCTTGAATTAAATATAAAGCCTTTCTTTATATTTAAATTTGCTCCTGAGAGAGTACAAATAGGCACACAGAGAGACAGAGACAGAGACAGAGAGAATGAGAGATAGCATGTCTAGTTTATTCGTTTCTCTTCCCTTGATCACAAGAACATACAGGTGCCCGTTTTATCTTTTTTTCCCATGGAAAAATATTATGTTGTTTCATCTGGGGAGTTTGATCTGAAACACTTCATAATTAGGATATGTCTAGAGTAATAACACAATATAGTTGGGTCACAGAAACAGCTCGAAAGGCTTGTGAAGTGCGGGTCACTCTCAGGATTCCCTGCCAATCCCACCTCAGTCACTGCTGAGGTGATTCTAATGGTCCCCAGCAACCTGGCCGAGCGATGCTGTGTCCCTGGACTCCCTAACTGCTGAGCTAAGTATCTGGGAGTAGAGGAGGCAAAAAACTAAATACAGTCTCCTAGGGTGTGTAGAGTCTGTGTCTCGTCGCTGTGGCAGAGCCAAAGATCAAGCGCATGGCCTACAACATGTGCTCGATGACTGAGCCCCATTTGGGGCCCCTATGTTGCATTTTCAAGTAAATGTCCAATCTGGACCTGTGGAGTGACTTATCATACTATCTACCAAAAAGAAGGCAGTTTTTGTTTAACCTGGCTCAGTACCATTGGTACCTTTAATTCGAAGTGTTGAAATCACTTCTAACTTGACTAGTTCTGTCTTGATACTTACTTAAGGTGTGTGTGTGTGTGTGTGTGTGTGTGTGTGTGTGTGTGTGTGTGATAGCTGAGAATTCTTGTGGATTTTGAGGAATGCCAAGTGGTTGCAGGGCAAGTTTTTCCGTAATAACTGTGCCAATGTCTCCCTCTCCACAGGGCAACGTTCCCACTCGGGAGAGCATCCACATGTACTATCAGAACCACATCATGAATCTTTCCAGAGAGTCAGGACTGAACACAATTGATGACCATCCTGGCCCCTCTTCAGGGGCCCAGACAGCCCACAGGATGGATAGCTTAGACTCACATGACAGTATCTCCAGGTATTTCACCTTCTAAATAATGGTTTTGCTTTAAACAAAGGTCAAAGAGTTGGGTTTCAAAGCTGAGAAGTGAATGTATGAGGCAAAAGCTAATAAAAATCTGCAGGAATGAATGCCCAGCTTCTTCAGGCTTTCTTTGTGTGTATAAAGCAAGAGAACTACTACCTCAACTAGTGCTTGCATCAAATAAACTCTCAATAGAAGCTATAAAGCTTACTTGTATAATTCATAGTCCCGGTAACAGATCACCAGACTCCTGCAGGCACGTAAGAACAAACCTCATGGATCACAGAAATTTTTTGTCTCTGGAACTGCATCATTAATGGCTTATTTTCCTTTTAATGCTGTTCTGAAAAGTATCTTCTGTATTAGAATCATCTACCATCTGTTGTTATACTTGATCATTTTCTTTCTAAATTGTTATTTTGTGGTGCAAATGAAAATTTGTGAAGCAATTCTTCTAGTTCCATCTTCCCTAGGGAAACGGAGACTTCATTGTGTGTGATTATTTCATGATGGAGAATATGACAGTAATTAATACTGTACATGGATTGGCCCTCTTTATAAAACCCTATGACATGCCTACTCTATCAGCCATTTCACAAAAGGCAAAGATCACTCACAGAGTGGATAACTTACTGAAAGTGCACAACCAGGCAGTCTCCAAATGCTGACCTGAAATCCATCATCAGAAAGTTCAACTCAGAACCAAAGCTCTCACCTCTGGTGGTAGCTGCCTCTCATGATCTCTTTCTATGTTCCAGACCATCTCTGAGAACTTACCTTTCTTTTCTCTGCCTGTACCCCCAAAGCCTCTTATTCTTCTAGATAGCTGCTGTGAACTGTCTAGAGTTAGCTGGACTGAATGAATTGCACCTTGCTTCCATCTTCATAGGTGAAGAATTCTATCACTGAGACAGTAGCGCATTTATTGCTTTTAGTAAGCAGTTTAAAAATGATTACTAAAAGAGTCGGTGCCAAGACTCGGGCTGATTCTGGGATAGGGCCTCTAATACTAAGTGTCATCTCTTGATGATTTGAGCCTGGACTAGGAAGCCTGCTGTGGTATGTACCACAGAAAGTGGCTGTGATCAACGTAGAAGCTTCCAGATCACAGTCCACTGGCAGGACTAACTGAGGACTTAGAGGCCTGATAGGTTTACCCTTCCCAAATACTGCATATGTTCCAAAACTAAGGGAGAAAACTAGACTTCATTAACAGTAGGAATCCCAAAATAGATAATTAGCAGTTGAAATTATGACCTGAACAGGAAAAAGAGGACAAAGATGTTTAACCTTGGAAAACTATTTTTAGCTCTGACTAAAGTGCTATATTGGGACTTTTCCAATGTTACCTGCTCTTCTGTGGCCCTAGCTATCTCTGCTGATCCTGGTGTATTGGTATAAAAATATTTATTATGCATACATATTAGTAAAAACAAAATTTAAATTGGCATGTATAGTAAAACCATGCTATGTTTCAAAATATATGTATTGATTTAAATGCGAATTTTGTGAAAAGAAAACCACATAGAACTATTTCTTTCTCTCCTTTCTCTCTCCCCCACATAAGTATTGATCTTTTAAAAATCCTTCCTGGGATACTAAAAGACATTATATTTTATTTCAATTTGTAATTAACCTTTGCCCCAAATTTCTTATATATACATAGATATAGATATAGATCCACAAACTGTAATATTTGTAGATATTTTTGTAAACTGAAGGAGGGTGGAAGTTCTGAAAAATTTCAAGGTTAAAACATTCATTTGATAATTGAGGTCAATATATTTTTTAATCCCTAGAAGAAAATAGATTGTTAGAGCCATGGGTTTTGGTAACAAAACTTTTTATTTCTCATCCTCTTTCTACACAAACATACACACATTTGTCAGTTATTGACCTCTGGTAATATCCAAGGTTCAAAGCAGAACTTCAGTAGAACCATCTTTGATTCCTAAGAGCTGACGGTGCCTTTCCCAAGTCTTCCTGAAAGCATACCAGACTCATCACTTTAGTAAGTGGGCTTCAGTCAGTCTCCTTTAACAGGCTCCCGTGAGATAGTCATTGTGTTAATATTTTATTTTCAATATTTTTCAGACCATAATAACTGTCCTATTGGGAGCTCTGTGTTGACCTGCAATTAGTTTTTTGTTGTAACTGTTATTTCTCTAATCCATGCATCAGTTATTTCAGCCTGATTATTTTCTCTTTAATTCATTGTCATGCTAGCACTAAAAACCCATCTTTAACTCCACTCTACCCTGATTCTTATGTATTCCAACTTATTTTAAACTAGCTGTTCATATAATAGAAATGAATTGCATGGGCATGCATGCAAGCATATACACATATGTTGATAAGGAGGTTGTCAGGCAAAAAGTAGAGATTATCCAAGATGCTGACTAATGATGCTTCCTCAATACAGAGACAAAGGGTGAAGTGGGAAGTCTAAAGACTCAGATCTACTCAGTGCATAGTCTACGTAATCTATTGATGATCAAGCAACTGTTTGTTATAAAAGGGAGAATGGTAGAAATTAAAAAGCAATGATACTTCAATATATTTTTCAAAAACTATCTTTCTCTTTCTTCCTTCTTTCTTTCCTTCTTTCGTCCCTTCTTTTCTTCTTTTTCTTTCTTTTTTCCTTCCTTTCTTTTTTTAAATTTTTGCATGTAATGCATCAATGTTCCACTGCATTTAACTTTGGACAGTGCAACTCTTCATATATTGAATATGGACTGAATTTATTGCAGACTTGCTTCCCTTTATCTGAATAGCAAGATAAAAGACTTCAGACACCTCTTATCAACTAAAAGTTATGTTCATATTCAATGTATTTTCTCCCATCTAGTAAGGAATAATTATATACATGCATAGTATATAATTTAGTTATTGAATATTTTATCTGTTCCTTTTAAAATATGTTTAACCATTTGTGATTTATATTATTTTTCTAATTTTAGTTTACTGCTTGTTTATTTTATAATTCAGAGATTTTTCTTTTATTACCTAAGTTTGACACATTCATTATTTTGCAACGACACTGACACTTTTTAAAAACAAAACTCTTTTGAAGTTTTATAAAGTTAAATATGGTTTTGCAAAGAATAAAAATACATAAACACAAAATTTTTCCAAAAACTTCAGAGATTTCACGGTCAACAATAATAATAATAATGTATTGAAAGTAGTTCCTCTAGAATATAATTCTGAACCAAAAAAATAAAGAGAATATTAGAAAATAAGTGGAATATAAGCTAATATGATTTCTGTATTTATAACTTTGAACTCTAACAACTGAGAAATATGTCCAATTGAAAAATTAACCAATCATAAGTATCAGGAAGGAGGAAAAACTACTAAGAGTCTTTAAGTCTAATCTAGAATTGTAGAACTCATGAGAAATACCTATAAGAGGCAATTAATCAAATGGTCACTTGTAACAAAGGCTATCATGGTATCCCCTAATTTTAAGATAATTAATCAATACATTCACTAGAAGAAAACCAGTTATCTTTTAAATAGTTTTTAATAAGTGTTTTAATTTTCAACCTCAGGAAATGGAAACCACAGAAGGGAAGGGTAGTTCCTTGTTAATAAGTGTTAACAATTTGCCCTTTTCGTAATGATTTAAGAGAACTTCTTGTTGCTTTGCTTTAGAAAACTTTCAAATCTCTAAATTATCAATTGTCCGTGTTATCTATGCAGATAACTGGTGAATGCTAAAAAGAGGGCTCTCTTCCCTGGAAGGGATTCTGAGGCTGGTTGGATCTTCGATGCCTGCATCATTGGGCAGCCCAGTAGTATCCCCCTGAGGAATACTCAGAGACCCAGACTGGGTGGGCCATTCCATGAGCCACCTGCCTACTCTGGGTGGAAATGGCACTTCTTTTCACATTTGGGGATACAGTAAATGGGATTGAATAACAATAATTTTTTATTCCCTTTAACCCATTGAATTATCTGGTTTTCTTCAAATCCTGGTGCAAAATGAAATTCTGATGTCACTTAGGTTTTGGTTATTTTGTAATATCAGATACTATCAACCATTCTATAAACTTAGTTTAAATTATTTGTCTGACTCTATTATTATAAAGTTCCTCCCCTTCCTCTCTTCCTTTCACTCTTAGTCCTTGCCTCCCTGCATTGACCACTTGTTCACAGTACAAATTACCCACTTATGGTCTTTCAGTTCTGAAGTGGACTGCTATGACAGTAACACCTACCAAAGAGTAAACAAGCTAATAGAACTTTGGAATTAGAACAATCTGTTCCCTTGTGGAAGATCTAAACAGTATTATAGGAGAGAGTACACATAGCCTGCTGTCTGCAAACCCCTTGAAGGCTTTGAGAGCACATCTCTAGAAATTTGAAATGAAAGTCAAAGATTCAGTTCCCTCATCTCATAAATGATGAAAAAGGGGGACCCAAAGATGAGACTTGATTGCTTTCAAACTCAGCAGCTGGCTAATGTCACAGGGAGATGGAAGTCTTATGCTCCCTGTGCCTGCCCAGGGCAGTTCTAGTTGACATTGCCATCAGCCTCTCATCGTATAGATGATATGGTGACTTCAAAATCAGATAGGATCTTTTTGAAAGGAAAAAAGTCTGTCTCTCTCTCTGTCTCTCTCTCAATCTATCTCTCTGTTCTCATCAGTGACCATTTTATTGGTCGTATACATTGCCCATCCCCTGCCTTAACTCTGTAACTCAGGTGCACAGCAGAATGACCCCACTGGAGCACTCACAGGATTGGTTAAAGCTCATGGAATGAGTGGTCCTCATTCCTGACTGCCCCAAAAGTTGTTACCTGCCAAATGGTTGCCATCAGTGACTATAGGTTAGACAACAGAAGGCCTCCTAGCCAGGTCACTTGATAATGATGTTCATCGGGGAAATCAGCCATCTTGTCTCATAAAAGCCTGTTTCCCTAACTTCATCCAGGTCATAAGCTCTCGGGTTGAAAGATGAATATTTCCAGCAGCCCATCTCGTAGGCTTTTGAGGGTTAGGCTATATGCCTATCTGGGATCTTGCCTCTACAGTAACTGCCTGTCTTCCCCAGTAACAACACCCAATAACATCTCAGTGCTGAATCTACCTTCCATTTTTCTTTGATTTTTTTCTCCATTTGGTTAAAAGAAATGAGGATGTAAGCCAATAGGTTCTCACCCCAAAGACATCCTTCAAGACCTACACCTGATTCTGAAGGGGAAAAAATCATTAGACCGATTGAAAAGTTAACAGACAAAATTACCCTGCCATTGCTAGATTTCTTTCATTTTCTTTGTACCATTTTATTTCCTTTTCTTTTTTTTTCCTTTTTCAGATGTTGGTTTATATCCTGTTGCATATCAAACCAGCATCTCTTTTACATGCAAGGCATCTGGTTTGGCTTAACTGAATATCACTCAAAAATGGGGTGGAAAATTCAGTTTGTTGTGGTCATTCCTGAGTTTCCTTCTCTCGTGTTGGAGACTAAAAAAATAAAATAAAATAAATTGTATATACTTTTGACACTAGCAGATGATTTCTGCTGGAGCAATTTGGTTGCGAAATTCTTTCAAGAAACTCATGGAGCCCCAAAGAAAGCATGTTTTCTTTGGTAAGAAAAATAAAGAAAGAGACAGTGGCAAAGTTATATGAACTCTGTTCTTTGGAAAAAGAAATGTTGGGACTATTCCATTTCCTTGTCCCACCTATAGAGTAACACTTTGTAATGTATCACTAGCCAATATATACCTATATATACATAATTTTTTTAAAAAATCTGTGCTATTGTGTTTTATTGTCTTGCCAAACAGGTCCTTTCCTGTCCCTGAACCTGCTCTGGCGGTTGGTGTCAGTGTTGTGTGTGGTTTGCTGCATGGCAGTGTGTGTTGGTCATTTGATCCATGTGTAAACTGATGTTCCACTGGTGTTTTAACACTGTGTCTCTGTAACTGTTTGCGCTGCTAGCTGCTACACTGAAGCAACCACGCTGCTGTTCTCAAGGCAGTCTACCCTTGATGATTTAGATGGACCAGAAACTGTTCCTAAAACAAGTGAGCGTGCACGTCCTAGGCTCCGTAAAATGTTCAGCATGGATATGTCCTCCTCATCAGCTGACAGTGGCAGTTTAGCATCAAGGTGCTTACACTCGTGCATGCTTTGTTTCGTAATTCTATCACCTCTCCCCTTCGCGACATTGCAAATATAAGTTCATCTGATGTGTTCTCTTTTTTTTTCCTCATTTTTATTTTAAAAATTTGCATGACTGACAAAACCACAGCCACCGTCCTAACTGGGACAGAACTGTTCATCCCAGGACAGCATTCTCTTCAACTAACTGTTCTTGAGTTTTTGTCTGTTAGGAGTTTCTTTTTAAAATTCTTGTAAACATTGTCCTCCGTTTTGTAAGTATTTCACACTTTCCCTTTGCAAAAGGGATAAGCGTGTTTCTTGCTTGCTTGAGAGTACCTATAAGCTGCCCATAAGAGAGAAAATATGTCAGGAAGCAGAGAAGATGCTCATCAGTAGATCTGCAGGAGGAAAAAAATTCAAGGCCTGCCACATGTTTTCATCTTAGTTAAAACTGGACAAATCTATTGTGTTTATGTTTATGACTGACATAAAGTTCAAAATACCAGAATACCCTTTCCTGTTTTTTAAGGAATAGTATACAATATGATAGAACATATCATCTTAATAGACTAATTATTTTTGTTCAGAAAAAGAAATGCTTATATGTTCTCATTAAATTCTGCTGTAGTAAGCTGCTAGAAAACAGATGATCTGTGCACAACACAGAAGTTCTTTGGCCAACCAGTGCACAGAAGCATCAGCCACACTGGGCTTATTCTGATGCCAAAATAATCTAATTACAGAGAGATTTCCATTTGACCATGGATAGTGGCATATCAGAAGGAATTTACTTCTGTTTGCTGACAGCTATCTGTACAGACAAGGTGCTTTAGGAGACTGAGATGGTGTTCAAGGTACTGCCTTGGCTATCTGGCAGCCATGTACCATGCCAGTAGTTTTCAATCACTGGTGGCTGACCAGTGCTGATCTGCAAAAATTTTCTGATGGCCTGTGAAAAGTTTAACCCGGTGGTTTTCAACAGGGTCTGTTGACAGCAATGGTCTGGGGCTGGCCATGTGAAACGGTTGAAATGTTTCATACTGTGATATACCAATCTGTTTTATTGATCCCTGAAGGAAGCTTGGGCCCTTCAAGGTCAAATTTGATCCAAACCTATAGAGATCACACCTATCATTGAATAGAGTTCAATTTGAACCAGATGTGGGGTTGGCTCCAGTGGGTCTAAAAATTTCCTTGACTTATCAATTTCCTCCTAGGAAGCTTTGTCTAATTGAGGTAAGTCTTTGCAAAGCTCTGGTTTGGCTCGGTATTCTAAGAGCCATTTATCTGGGAATGTTAAACATCTGCAAAAGGACCAAGATCTCATGCAAATCCTACTCTTACATTCAGAATGCCTGGACATGTTTTATAGAGATTCATTCATTCACTGATACTTTGGCACCAATGCTTATGACAATAAAAATGGGTAAATTTGAGAATCTCAATGTTTTTGAACCATAAGTACTTATATATGCCATTCAGAGACTAGTTTGTATTTCAGTATCTAACAAATCACAGTTCTACATCGCTAAATCCCACAGCTTCAGATAATTGTCTTATCCCCCTCAGTGGCTGGATATATCCGAAGTAGACCATGTTAAAGGCATGCCATAAACTTTACTGGTGTGTCTGCTCTATATTTTATTTCCAAATTTTCCACTGTGAACCTGTCAATGAGAGTTAAAAGGTAAAGAAGCACTGAAAGAAGGGGAGGATATATATGAGAACAGAATAGCATTTCAAATTGAAGAAACAAGGGTGGAGAGAAAGGGTTTAGAGAAACTAAAGAAAAGAAAGTAGAAACTAGTAGAAGACACTAAGTTGAAGATGTTGGCAGGAAAGGATAAAGGAGTGCACCCTGAAAGCATGACAAGCATCCTCGGAGAAAGGCCCCACAGGTGGGCAAGGGAAGAAGTACCCCAATAGACAGCAATGTTTGAAAAATATGGTGAAAGTTCAGTCATTCCTACAAGCACTTATAGGAATGGAAAAAACTAAGTACAAATGCTAAATAAATAGGCTATATTTGATAAAGCATGTAGTTGTATAGGTTAGCGTGTTCGGAGTTCCTATCATCTCCTTGTAGACCAAGGTAGGTTCACTGCATAGGACAGAGGCAAATACATCAGAGTCTAACATTGACAAACCAGACTTTTGCTTTCAAAACGTCCCTTTTTTAAAAAATCCCTGTAATGGGAGGTGTGCTATGCTAACAATGTCTTCTTTTGGAAAGCAACACTGGAATGGTGGGGACTCTTGATAGTATTGTAAATATTTTTGTGTCCCGGTGGTTTGAATGACTTTGCCTGCTTTTCTACCATTTGTGTAACTGCACTGGCAGCATTTGTGTTCAGTCTCTGTATACCACACATCAACTCCTGGAGGAAGAGACCACGAAAGGGTAGGGGGAAATCAGATATGAGTCTGCACACTTGCCATGAGCTTTGTATTTGAGAGTGCTGAGGTATCCTGAAAATTTGGCAGGATTCTGAAGCGTTCAATGCTAAGTGCTCAAGCAGGGTCTGTGCCCACCCCTTCTTTTGACAGTGAGCCCACGCAGTGCACCCTGCTCTACTCACGCCAGGGGACCACAGAAACTATAGAGGAGGTGGAGACCGAGCAGGATGAGGAGGCAGGGGCCATCGCAGGCCCTGAAGAGGGAGCAGGAACTGAGATGGATGTAGGCCCTGAGGAGGGTGCTGAAGAGGAGGAGGTGGGCCTCACCCCTGACACAGAGTTGCTCCAATACTCCACTGAGGAGGGTGATGTGGAGGTGCCCCCCTCCTACAGCAAGGCAGTCAGCTTTGAGCACCTGTCCTTCGGCTCTCCAGATGGCTGTGGAGGTCAGAACCACATGGCAGTCAGCCCTGATGACAGTCGTTCCGACAGGCTGGACTTCGGCATCCTGCCCACTCTGACTCACGAACTGACAGCCAGCGAGTTACTGCTGAACAAGTAAGGCCTTTGCTGCTTGCTGTAGTTTTGTACCTAGAGGAACTCCCATAAAACACATGTCCACTTAGATGTGGGTGGCAGGTAAAGGGTTTTCAACTGTCGGGTCCAAAAGAAATCCTATGACTGCTGTCACTCAGTGACACAACTAGAAAAACTAATGAGAACCACTTGTGTGTACATTTCTTCTTATGCCGTGTAATACTGGGTTGCCTCCACCAGCAATATGGGACTTAGATTTGAGGGAGGGACAAGAACAATCATGCAAGAATCAACTTGATGATTTGGACAAATGAAGACGAATGAATTGAGTTATTTATTTCAACAGGATGTTCCGTGATGATGAGCTTGAAGAATCTGAGAAATTCTATGTTGGCCAGCCCCGGTTCTTACTCCTGTTCTATGCCATGTACAATACTCTGGTGGCCCGCTCAGAGATGGTGTGCTATTTTGTGATTATCCTCAACCACATGGTCTCTGCCTCCATTATTACCCTTGTGCTTCCCATTCTGATCTTTCTCTGGGCCATGCTGTCTGTCCCTCGACCTAGCAGACGGTTCTGGATGATGGCCATTATCTATACAGAGGTAGGTCTTGTATGATATGTTCCTCCAAATTCATCTGGACAGTCACTTTAGGGGGACCTGACCCATACTTACATATAGAATTATACAGAATTTTACCTAGAGTTTTCACATAAAAGAACATAGAATACTCAACCATCTTAGGTATACTTATATACAAAAATGACTAAACAGTGTTCTAGTACTAGAAATGCTATATATCTTTTTATGTTTCATACCTCACATAAGATAGAGAGAAATATAATTCACCCTCAGAAAATAAGGGAACAGTTTAATGAGGTGAAATACTTGACCCACATTATACAACTGTGAGTGGCTGACAGACTTCTGAAGTTGTCTGCTCCAGGGTACAAAGACAATCTTTGGCAGAACTAAACATAGTGCCCAGTGCTGGTGGGAATATTATGAATGGATGCTGAGTTGAACAATACAGTAAGCATTTTAAGTAGTTGGATCCAGCATGAATATTTTCCATTTTTATTCCAAATTCAGTTGCCACACATCAAAACACTAAATTATGCAGATATCCTTTTAATAATATAAATAGCAGAAATGGAGGATCCAGTTCATTGTTATCAAACCTGGCGATGTCAGAGACATACCTCCCAATTGTCTGACCTACATTTCTAAGCAGCTTTATTAAATACTAGCTCACAAATTACCATGATAACCCTAACTCTGAGACTTTTAAAAAGCCTCAGAAAAGAAATGTAAAGGGCCAGGAGAAATAAGACAATGGATAAGGTACTTATCTTGCACACAGACAAACCAAGTTCAATCTCAGCACCACTTATGGTCCTCCGGAGCACCACCAGTAATGACCCCTGACCAAAAGAGCCAGGAGTCAGTTTTGAACACTGCTGGATGTGCCCACCCACCACCCAATCCCCACCTAAAAAAATGGAAGCTTGATGAGTTTTGTGGCTTGAATGTCAAGATTTTTGTGTTTTTAGGTTTATGAAGAAGTCTAACTTTCTTGCCTGGTTCATAAGGAGAAGTTTTCTTTCCCAATGATACCATAATTGCTTTTTAAGGAATAATACTTATGATAGGTTTTCATTCAGAGTTCATATATGCAGATGTAGAAGTAATTCAACAGTAAAATACAAATATTAAATGAGATTAAATTAAAATCAAGTTATCTCAAAATTATTCAAAGTATAGACATTGTGTGTCTTTCCCCATAATAAAAGTAAAAGATGTAAAGCCACACATTTATCTATTACACTAGTTACACTAATCAAAGAATCATAGAACAAATGTCTAATTGATGTAAGTAAAGAAGTGCCCTAAAACACAAGGCAAAGCTTAGAGAGGGTGCAAGCATTAAACAAAAGTGCTGTGCTGTGCATCGTGTAGTGTGGAAGGATGGAGAGATGTGATCATGGTGATTTCTCAGCAAAAGACAACTCAGAACTGAACATCACAGAATGGCTGTCAGGTCACCAAATCGTGTAAATCAACAGAAGCTCAGTCACTACAGAAAAGCAAAGACATAGGACAACCTGGCATACAGCAAGCATGGCAGGTGGCTGATGAAGCAGAGAGGCAGTTGGGCACTGGAGGAGCAGCTCAAGGAGCAGAAATACCCATGAGATTTGGGATCCAGACTTTACAAGCTTGACGCTGGAGAATTTGAAAAGCGTTGTACTTACTAAGTTTGTGTAAGATTAAAACTGGGGCTATGGAGATCAGTCAAAAAACCATGGTAACTCTGCTGGAGACTTAAAAAAGGAGTCTGAATTAACATGATGACTTGAGGTTAAAGAAGAGTGGGTAGAGAAGCTTAGATGTTGACCAAATTGACGCTTGTGAAGGAAAGTGTGCACGAGGGAGCTCCAGGCTTTTATGTTTGTGCTGGTATGTGGGAATACTGTTCAGCAAAATAAACACTGGACTTTTTCTTTTTTGATGTAGTATAATTATAAGAAGAAGGGGCAATAGAGGAGCTCAGGAGACATTTTAGATCACAAAAACTTTGCAGGGTGCTTTATTTATGAATTGCATATGTTGCCATTGAATGTGCGATTACCTATATATGCAAATGCTATAGATGTCAGAGGTATCCTCAAATGAAAGCCATCCATATTCTTGCCCAATTGTCCCATCCTAGCTACCACCTTTCTACTCATTAACAGCATAGCTGGCAATTTTTGTCTTGTGTACTTTCTCGTGTACTCATTTTCTGGAGCAGAACTTCCACTGAGTAATAGAAGGGTGAAAAGAAAGAGAGTGAAGAAAAGTGAAAAGTATACATCAAAACTGTGATATGTTCAAGATTCCAAATTAAAGAAAGACATTAAAAATAAAAACATCTTGGAGCTGGAGCAATAGTACAGTGGGTCGGACATTTGCCTTGTATGTGGCCTATTTGCGTTGAATTCCTAGCACCCTGTATAGTTCACCCTTTCCATTACGTCAGGAGTGATCCCTGAGTGCAGTCAGGACTGATGCTCTGAGCATCACCGAGTATGGACTCCAAACCCAAAAAATTAATAAAAAAATAAATTAAAAACCCTGTTCATTCTGGTACGAATCATATATTATAGCTTAGTAATTATAAAATTGTCTAATTAGATCAATAGAAATTTGTATAAAATTCCTCAAAAATAGAGATCATTTCCACAATATCACAACTGTCTGTTGACCCAAGAGCCCTGCGTCTGCACATCTGTGAAGACATTAGTGTTCTGATTCCACATAAATGTGTATATTCCTATCATCACTGTCACTGTCCTCCCATTGTTCATTGATTTGCTTGAGCGGGCCCAGTAGTGTCTCCACTGTGACACTTGTTACTGTATTTGGCATATCGAATATGTCACGGGTAGCTTGCCAGGCTTTAGCCGTGTAGGTGAGATACTCTCAGTAGCTTGCCAGGCTCTCCAAGAGGGGCGGAGGAATCAAACCTGGGTCAGCCGAGTCGGCCACGTGCAAGGCAAACACCCTACCTGCTATGCTATAGCTCCAACCCATTCCTATCATCAAGGTTGTCAAATAGATATTTTTCTTAATATTTCACATTTCTGCTACTCTTATATGATGATTCTTGAGAATAGTAATTTTTAATTTTGTCATTCATGTGCAGGCAGCAATTGTGGTCAAATACTTCTTCCAATTTGGGTTCTTTCCCTGGAATAAGAATGTGGAAATAACCAAAGATAAACCTTACCACCCACCTAATATCATAGGAGTGGAAAAGAAGGAAGGTTATGTTCTTTATGATCTCATTCAGCTGCTGGCTCTTTTCTTCCACCGATCAATTTTGAAGGTATGTTAATGGTCAGCCAGCTGTGTTAGTTATTGCGGCCATGTCAGAGCCCTGAAGAACCAGAACCCTATGTCTGGGGGTGTAGCTGAGGGAGCAGGGGGTGATGTCCTCTTGTGTGATTAAAAAAAATAATTGATTTTCTTGAGAGGGCCTTTTTCTCCAACATTTTATGCTTAGCAATGGAACTTGTGCTAAATTTCTCATACTTCACTTGTGAGTAGAAAATATTTTGATTAATCCACATTGATGGGAATTTCTTATTTTTTATACAGTATTTTACTGCCTAAAAATATGAATTTTATTCCAGTTTAAAGTCAGAATATCAGCAAGCTATAATTTGGGGTGAATTGCTTCTTGCCTCTGTCCCAAATTTTCCTACTTTTTTTCTAATAGTGATGCTCTTACAGTGTATTCCCTTTTCATATTTATATTGTTACTAATAGTTTCATACATACATCATCCACCACCAGAGTACCCATTCCCTCCAACCAGTGCCCCACCTAAGGACCCTTCCCACCTACCCATTCCCTTCCCTACCAGGTAAGCTCCATTCTGCAGACAAACCTTCCAACTCTGTTGGTTTGGGTCATCTGTTGCTCCCTAGCTCTTTTTCTTGATATCCAATATAAAAGGAAGGTCATTCTTTATCTGTAACTCTGCTTTGAATTGATGTCACTCAACATGATGCCCTCCAGTTCCATCCACATTGCATTATTTCACTTTTTTGTATGGCCAAATGTGTACATGCTGCTGCTTCTTTATCTAGGCTTCTATTCTTGGACAGCTTTTTATTTTTTGTGTGTAGGGTAGAGATCGGGGAGGGTGGAATTCAGGCTTACTCCTGTCTCTGGAGCTCAGGGATCATTCCTGGTAGATCCTTCTACCAGAGTTCAGGAGATCATATGCTGTGCGGGGAATCAAACCCGGTTCATCTCCATGCAAAGTAAATGCTCTACCAACAGTACAATCTCTCTGGTCCTTGGACAGATTCTTCACCCTTCCCATATCCTGAAACCACTAGTTTTTTTAGTTAATCTCTACACTAATAGGTGTGGTGAGCCAAGGCTGTTTCCTCTGAGATTGTTGTTGAGATAATCCGTTGTGCCTTTTTCAAGATAGGAGCAGAGGACTAGCCTGGCATTCCGGGTGCTCGGGGGCAGTGAGCTATTATTGGAATTGTTGGTCTCACAGCAGCACAAAGCAGACATGTGTTACACATAGCATCTTATTACAGCCAGATTTCTGCTTTGTCTCTGTTCTCTTCTGATTGCACTTCCTGTCCTTTTTAATTTCCTTTGAAGCAAAATCCAGATTCAACAGAATGTTTCAAAAGCTACCTCACATAGTGGCAATCATTCTTTTTTTTCCCCCAAGTATTTGCAGCCCTGTCTCTGAATCATCCCTGAATGATTCCAAATTCACATCTCACTGAGCATTAAATGGCATCATGACACAAATACAGTACTTAGGAAAACTGAGGTGATAGGGCTGAATTCCCTCGCTGATATATCAACTTGATACTTTAAAATACTATTTTTTAGCACAAAGATATATGTTCTAAAAGAACACTTCTACTGAAGGAATAATTCAAGTGATAATTTCACATTGCCTGACAGTTATTATCTTTCTCCAATTCAATTCATCAGTCAACCTCTCATGATTTGTACCCCCTCATCTCTACCCTATTGGGACCATCAGAAAATTTTAGATAATAAGCTTTCTTATAATTCTTTCCCCTCGCTTGGTTTTCCCATATTTTTAATTGAAGGACATTTTACAAATACAGTTGTTATATTTAGTGTATTTTTTATTGCAGCAACTTTGTTTTATAATGCTATAAATGTCAGGAATACAGAATCACTTCTTGACAAATCTATTACCACACAGGCCCACCACCAAAGATCTAGTTACCTTCTGAATCTCCTCAGAGATTCTCTGAAACCAATCTACCTGTTCCACCCACCCCTTCTCCAAAACTGTAAGATATTTTAATGTGCATTGTGGTGATTTGATGTGTTATGAAAGTACTGAATCCATCTAGTTCATTTACCTTCATCACATCCATATTTCCCCTTTTGTGTGTGGATGCGCGACACTCTCCTCTGTCATATGATTCAATGTTAGTGTCACCCTGTCTGACGTTTGCTGTCCTGATCATGAAAAAGAGTTTATTGGATGAGATGTCGTGGGGCACACTGCCAGCCCGTTTACCTAAATAGAAGCCTAAATTGCCCCTTCCTGTTCTTTGTCAGTGTCATGGTTTGTGGGATGAGGATGACATCATCGATACTGGCACGGAAAAGGAGGAATCAGATGATGAGCTCTCACTCAGTCATGGACGAAGAGCGTCCTCGGATTCTCTGAAATCCATTAACTTGGCTGCCTCTGTGGAGTCTGTGCATGTGTCCTTCCCGGAGCAGCCTACAGCCATCCGGAGAAAACGCTCAGACTGCAGTTCCCAGATTTCTCCAGGGTCCAGCTTTTCTTCAACTAAGTCCAAAAGAGGTATCTATCATACGTGGCTGTATGGTGTCCACAAGTGGGACACAGGCCCTATACCTTTCTTGTGTTTCTGGAACCAGTAAGACAGGATTTGCCAGTTGCTAAACCAGACACAGATATTATGATGTGGTATGTGTGTGTGTATCTTTTTCTTTTACAATTTTTATTTAGGCATCAATTTGCAATAGTGTCAACAATAAGGTCTCAGGCATACAATGTTCCTACTCCACACCCACCATGACAAAGTCAGTATCCCTCCAACAAGGTCTCAAAATCCATTGCCAGCTCCCTGCCACTCCCCTTGGCTAACTCAGGTCTGTTGGACTGTCCTCGGGGACTGTTCACATTGGTCATTTGTTGCAATCTTACTGTGTTTCTTTATATCCCACATATGGAGATGATTTTGTATCTATCTGTATAACTGACTTCACTCAGTATGATAACTCTAGTTCCATGCATGCAGCAGTGAATTGAAGTATTTCATTTTTTCTCAAAGCTAATTTGTATCCACTGTGTATATATGCCACAGTTTTTTTATCTGTTCATTTTTTATTGGGTTCATGGGTTGTTTCCAAATCATGGATATTACAAATAGCACTGCATTATGTATAGGAATGCAAATGTCTTTTTGATATAGGAATTTTGGGCTCTTGGGATACAAGTCAAGAAGTGGAATTGCTAGGTCATAGATATAATCAATTTTTTTATTTTATGAGAAGTTTTCTTACTGTTTTCCAGAGGCTGAGAAGGTTCCTTTTTCTCCATGTGTTGTGTTTTCCACTCAAAAAGTCCTAAGTTCAAGCCCATGATCAATTGTGTGTAATATGTGGAGCTTTCGTGAAGGACCCAGAATATCTCACATCTTCCAATAGCTGTAGAAAGTGGCTGGCACACCGTTTCCTGTTGACCACATGCTAGAATATAATCCATGTCCTGTAGATTCCACCGAGTGTGTACAGAGTGCCATAAATATGATTTATTTCCAAAGCATAACTGTTATCAATGGAACAGCTTAACCTCACTATACAGCTGTTTACTAAAACAGTCATTCTGGATAGCTACTCTTGGATTTTGTATTTATAGCCCTCTCTGCATACTTGTCTGCTCATCTTCCAATACACTTTTCTCAAAGATCCTGGTGGCACAAATCATCTTGTTTTACAGTTAGAGAAATTAGCACATGAAAAAAGCCTGGGTCATGGATTTATCCTGGAAATCTCACAACCTTTTGTTGTACTTCTTCTTGGGCCAAAGGTTACACAAAAATCCGGAATGGAGCTAGTATTTGAATGAAGAATCCAGAGATGCATTCTACAATAAGAGTAGATCCAGATGCTCAGAAACCTTACTTCTGGGCATCTGCATCCACTTTCCCTCTGATGCAGACCAGGCCCCTGTTCTGTCTTGTGGGATCCAAGAGGCTACATAGTGCATCTTGGTTTCTTTTTATTTCTAGGAAGCACCAGCTCCCAAAACAGCAGTCAAAAAGGAAGCAGTATTTTGAGTATCAAACAAAAGAACAAAAGACAACTCTACATGGAGAAGCTTCAAGAACATTTTATGAAAGCCAAAGCATTTACCTTAAAGAAGTAAGTGGTTGTATGTAAATGCTGGGCCATGGGTTTTAGTTTAGGGCTAGTAACTGGTCTCAACTCCACAAAAATCAGAAGTGAAGAAAAGAGAAGTGACTTCTCATGTTACAAACATCCACTTATAGCAGAATAAAATGACCCATTACTGTATTGTTTTTAAAATCTTGTGTTTCTGTTTTCATAGCTGTAACTTTTATACACATATTATTTCTATTTAAACAGAATACAGTACTTTCAAAGATGCACAAAACGTAATTTCAAGTATTATCGCAGTAAATTCTAACTGAAGAAAGAAGAGTTGAGGCTTGAGAATATTTTGTGACAGAGCACATGCTTCACATGTATGAGACCCTGGGTTAATGCCCCAGTACCAAATTTTTTTGGTATAGATATATTAATAAAAATAACTTACAGAGGAATTTTATTTCTAAGCTAGGAGGTCCTTAGAGCTATACTCACTCTAGATAGGGGAAACTGAGGCTTAGGACGGAATATGATTTGCCCACTCTCATACAATATTTCCAGCAAAATGCACAGGTTCACCCCTCCCAAGTATCTTGGATTTAGAGAGCAGGTAAGAAATGAGAATAGAAGATACAGCAGTATTAGGCCTAAATTCAGACCCTGAGATAGTTGGAGATTTCCATAACTGAATGTGGCCTTAAACTGAAGGGTGAACTTAGTACACAGTGGAGAGAGGGGAAGTGCTGAGCAGACACGCTGAGCCAGGAGAACAAGGTAATAAAAGGCACAGTGAAATCAGTTCATTAGTTCAGGGCATGACCTCACAGCAGAATGCCCACTTATTCTCACTTGCAGCTCATATAATTTACCACCCACATTTATTTATAACTAAATGCAGAGTTAAGAAGGATATTCAAGATCTGACAATCAGAGTAATTTTATCCAGTTGCAAACTTAGCCCTCAACTTCTAGGGCTGATACCACTTTAGAGCACCATCTAAGTAAATGGTCCCTTTCGAAGAATGGACCATAAAACTTTCTTTACCATGAATGTCAAACTTTCCACTAGAGCAGAAACTTCTCCCTATAAGGGCTGAGGCTGACTGCTTCATTCAGGGCACCCCGGAGTGGGGTGGGTGAGACCCCTCCCTGCCCCAAGGGACCCAGCCCTGGCAGCCGAAAACCTCCAGAGGTTTTCACCCACTACCATGCTCACAGCTGCTCTAAACATGCTCGGACCAAGCCTCACCCATTAGTGAACCTATTCCTGGACCATATGGCTGCATTTGCGGCTGTGTGAGACTTCATACCACACACTTTACCCATACCACAAGAGTACAGCACCACATTTGGTGGAGTTCAAAGTAGGCGGCAACCAACCTTAGAGGGAAAGATTTTTAAAGATATATGTGTACATATATATATGTGTGTGTGTGTGTGTGTGTGTGTGTGTGTGTATGCATACACACACACACACAAGGCTCAACCTTTAACAACATGTTAGTGATCTCTTATAGAAGGGCTTAATGGCCCCTTGGTGAAATCCAAAAATTTTCACACTCTTTAGAGAAACTTTTTGTAGCATTTTTTCCATGACAAACAATACAAAATATATTATTTCAGTTCTATTTTGGGGCAGGGGTTGGGGTTTGGGATGGAAACATCCAAAATATGGTTGTGGGAAGGTGTAATGGTGGTGGAATTGGTGTTTGAATATTTAATGTAATCAAATATTGTGAACTACTTTATAAAATAAACAAAATAAAAATAAAATAAAAAGGAGGTCTGAGGTTGAGAAAGGGGTGTGGCCTGGGGAGGAATGCAGAAGAAAATGATTTCTCTATCTGTTCAGCCCTCCTATCTTCCCCTCCTGAAGCAAACTGGTGGGTTGCTCTCTGTCTTGCAGGACCCTACATATATATGTGCCCATCAGACAGTTCTTTTACAACCTCATCCACCCAGACTACAGTGCTGTGACTGATGTGTATGTGCTCATGTTCCTGGCTGACACAGTTGACTTTATCATCATCGTCTTTGGCTTTTGGGCCTTTGGGGTAGGTTGGGGGCAAAGGCCACTTGACATTTAATGAATAAGGATTATGTATCTTGTGAAATGTCAATGAGGCCTGGATCTGTCCTTTCCTTCCCAGAAACACTCAGCGGCTGCAGACATCACCTCTTCGCTCTCGGAAGATCAGGTCCCTGGACCATTTTTAGTGATGGTCCTCATTCAGTTTGGAACCATGGTGGTGGACCGGGCACTCTACCTTAGAAAGACTGTCCTGGGAAAGGTCATCTTCCAGGTCATTCTTGTGTTTGGAATTCACTTCTGGATGTTCTTTATCTTGCCTATTGTGACCGAGAGGTACAATTTTTTTTGTTTGTTTGTTCCTTTTGGGGACCATACCCAGTTGTACTGAGGGCTGCTCCTAGCTCTATGCTCAGGAATCACTCCTGGCAATATCCAGGAGACCATATAGAATGCAGGGGATAAAACATACGTTGGTCATGTACAAGGCAGGTGCCTTACCCCTATTAACTCTCCACCCCAAATTATGGTTTTAGGCAGCTGAAAGCATGAACCCCCTTTAATGCAAATGTCTTTCAAAAGGTTAGCATCATATGTTCCTTGGCACAATAAAATAGCCAGGTACAGTGGAGCAGTACCACAGGTAGGACAGGTTAAAAGTTTCTATCCATACTAAATTCACTGTGAATCCTGAGCTAAAACTGCTTTCTCAAAAGTATTTAATGGCATGTTTATATGCCCTCATAGAATAAGAGGCTTTCAGAATAAGAGGTGACAACCTTAATAATCAGAGAAAATCTAGGATCATATTTCATGACTATCTCTACATCCTGCTAGACCCAGAGAGAAATTGAAACATGATCTCAGAATATCATTAAGAGGATCAGTAAACATAAGACTTATCATATGAGAAGTAGGAGGTAGGAGAAAAGAAAGTCTTCTTTAACTGGCAGAATAGCAGTGGATATGTGGGAGTAGAGAATAACCATGTCATAAAGGGAAGTAGTAAGGGTTAAAGGTACCAAATTGGAAAGTGCCTGCCTTTCAGCACTCAGGGAGGGGAGTGGGCAGACCAGTGGCATTGGTCCCTGTAGCTGTTAGTGCTGCTCTTGCTGCTGGCTAAGACAGGCAGGAAGGGATTTTAAAATATGAGCTTAAATTTTAGTAAGGAATATCCTTGTGTTACTTTTAAAACTCTGCTTGGAAGAAGATATGAGATGCAATTTTTGGACCATATATATGATAGAATTGATAATGCGCAGGCAAAGGGGTTGGGGGGCAAAAACTGTTGTTTCTGCCTGAAAACTATTCAGTTATCCCAATCCCAGATGAGACCTCCAGATGTTTCTCATGTTCTGTCAGGGGAACCCCACAGAGACCAGAAATACAGCAATGTCTAAATCATGGCAAGTCCCTTTAGCAGGGTCAACTCACCCAATCAATTTAATCTTGCTTGTAAGTAGTTTCTTATAGCTGCTACAACAAATTTTCCACAACAGGATAAATTTCTACAGGCCTTAGCTCTGTAGAAATTTATCACCTACTAGTTCTATAGATCAGTAATCTGACATAAGCCACATCAGACTGAAATCAAAGGAGTAATTCCTGAGTGCAGATCAAGGAGTAAACTCTGAGTATTTCTGGGTGTGGCCCAAAACCAAAAAAAAAAAGTGGGAGTATGGGGTGAAGGAGTAGAAGTTCATGTGGTCATGTTGCAAAGTACTTGATACTTTTATGATAATTAGTTGATTGCTAGAGCATGGTCAAATATAATAAATTCATTAATACTAATATATAAAAGCTGAGTTTTGTCTACAGGAAGACATTTATAATCAATATTTTTTGAGAGATGTCATCACTAAGGTCTATGTAGGATCCTTAGGACCTTAAAAATAACTTAAGGTATGCTCTGAATTTTAAGTATAGGGAAAATTATCTCTAGGACTTGACAAATCAAGTCTTTTTATTTCTTTTTAAGAATTATGTTGTCCATGTTTAAGACCCTTGAAGAAGTTGCATTAAATCATTAAACATTTCTAGAATCCCTTATTTTTTGAAAATGGGGGTAGCAGAGTATGAAATTCAATTCTACTGACTTTTTGCTGAAATTCATACAAGTACTCATGAGCTGTACTACATACACTATGGGTCTCTTCAATAATTATTGCCAGGAGAAATGACTGCTACCTGTACTGGTGTTAGAGACACTATGGGAGGTGGGGCAGGGGGACATAAAAGGAAGATGGATGCAATCAGGAATCTTCAAAGATAAGGAAACTTTTATGAAGATATTGCTGTTTTTAATAAATGATCACTTGAGGAACAAACATCACAGCTTTAAACTGGAAAATCCAGATGTTAAAGTACGTTAATTTGTGATCTACCTATACCAAGAGGGAAAAAAGGGGTGGGGGTTGATTCACTTCTCAGAATCTTTGACCTAGTTTCCAAATTATGGGTCTTCTAAGTAATTCATGTATATTAATTTTTTATTGATATGTTTTCATTTGGACATGGTAGCTACACCATTTACATTGTGAAAACAGTTTACTCATAAATTCACTAAATAATCCTTGTTTTAGTTTTATTCTTTTTCATTTTTAAGGAATGACTTATAACATTATAAAGATTTCTTGTGTACTTTATTATAAATTTGTTTATACTATATTATACTATATTATTGCCCCACTTCCCATAGTGTCTCTAAATATTTTATTTTATCCTTGACGATACAGTTCACCCAGTTTTATCCAATGAACTCTTCTTCATTCCTCCTTTCCTCTGGTAACAATCAGTTATTTTATATATGGCATAATCAGATTAATATTGCCCCAATATATAGGAGGCATCATTCACAGATTTTCTTTAATTGTTCAGTTCTCTTACTCCATATTTTTGTCATTAATCTTATAGAGAAAGAAGTTCTTAGATATAATTGAACTAATTTTAATTTCCAAAGGGTAAATTGAGGATTATTTTCTAAATCTTAAAATGATGTCCTTTTGTATCAGAAGAATTTTACATTCTGTCATTTTTTTGGTATTTCCACAATTTTAGGAAATTCAGTCAGAATCTGGTTGCTCAGCTTTGGTACTTTGTGAAATGTGTTTACTTTGGCTTGTCTGCTTACCAAATTCGATGTGGCTACCCAACACGGGTCCTCGGGAATTTCCTCACAAAGAGCTACAATTATGTCAATCTCTTCCTATTTCAAGGGTAAGAACACTCAATTGAAAAGCATTGTTATCCAAGCATCATTTACTGAGTGGTCCCTTCTCTATTCCAGCTGCCTTTTCCCCCATCACATAAGATGTGTGCTGAAAGTAGACTATGGGGCTGGAGCAATAGCATAGAAGGTAGGGCGTTCAATTCCCAGCATTCCATATGGTCCCCTGAGTATGACCAGGGGTAATTCCTGAGTGCAGAGCCAGGATTAACCCCTGTGCATTGCCAGGTATGACTCAAAAAAAAAAGTAGACTACGGATTATGAATCAAACATGATAGCCACTTACTACCTATATTGCAAACCATAGCACCCAAAAGGAGAGAGAATGGGCACTGGTGGAGGGATGGGTACTTGATCATTGTGTGACTGAAATGTAACCACAAAAGTTTACAAGTCTGTAACTGTATCTCATGGTGATTCATTAAAAACTAAATAAATTTTTAATTTAAAAAAATACCAAAAAATGCATTGTTTTCTACCTGGGGAGGGCAAGGAATAGGAGCAATGCTGACATGGAGCAACTGACATGTTGGTTGCTCTTTTTTGAGAAAGGAATGAGAAAAGATTAGTCCACATATTGGTATATAATGCAATGCACTTGTATCCCAGGTATTTTTCCCATAATTCCAAGGACTAAAGTAATAAAAAATCATATGAGATTCTGGTGTCAGTCAATACAGGGGACACCCCACAGTTCTCTCTCACAAGATCTGATTCCTGCCAGGTTCCGCCTCGTCCCATTTCTGACTGAGCTGAGGGCCGTGATGGACTGGGTGTGGACAGACACAACCCTGAGCCTCTCCAGCTGGATCTGTGTGGAGGACATCTATGCTCATATATTCATCCTCAAGTGTTGGCGGGAGTCAGAAAAAGTAAGCCAGTAAAAATGTCTCATCCCTATTTGTTTCTCTCAGATGCAAGTGGTTGGAGAATTAAATTGAACTTTTGCATATTTTGAGGCCCAATAAATGCAGGCTGGGGGCAAAAACTACTAGGACTTTAAAATAAATGCCCCACTGCTTTCTATGCAAGTAGAGTTTGGAGATTTGGGAGTTAGGCTGCCTTAGTCAGCAATAGGATCCAGATGTGTTCTTCTCTTGGAAACTGTACATTGTAATTATTTTAAAGAATTGAATGATATATACTGCTGGATGGCCCAATAGTTCACAAAGGCACCTTTGGGAGTAGCAGAGAATGTGTTGTGGTAGAGAACAGTGTGGTGAGGAGTGTCTGGACTTAAGCTCTGTGTGAAAAGGAGATTAAAGTGTTTTATGTTATTCTGCTAGATTGAATATAAAGATTAAAATGGGAATAAAATTGCCATTTTTAAACTTTAAGCACCTAAGATAGGAGTCTGTCATATGAAGCAAAGAAATATCTCTCCCAAAATTAGCTGCCGTACAATAAAATGTCTTTTTTCTTGTTTCTTTTATACGAGGTCTTAGGCTTTCAGACACACCTTCAGAATTACTCATAGAGCCATTGTTGCAGGGTTCATTAAGGCCTCAGGGACATCTGAGCTGACTCCCAGCCCTCTCTCCTGGTCAGTGCCTAAAGTTCAGTACCTATTGGTGGATTGTAGATTTTTTTTCCTACCAAAACTCGTAATGTATGCACTCATGTGTGCTTACACACACACACACACACACACACACACACACACACACACACACACACCCTACAGAGCAATGTCAAAACTTTATTCAGTCTTAATATCCATGGAAGAGTTTCAGCCCTTCTACCCACTTCTGTTAGGGTGTCAATCCTGAGCTCCTGAGTGTGGGAATTCTTCTGTTGCAGAGATACCCACAGCCCCGGGGGCAGAAGAAGAAGAAGGTGGTGAAGTATGGCATGGGGGGCATGATCATCGTCCTGCTCATCTGTATTGTCTGGTTTCCTCTTCTCTTCATGTCCTTGATCAAATCCGTTGCTGGGGTGATCAATCAGCCCCTGGATGTCTCTGTCACGATTACCCTGGGAGGGTATCAGGTAACTTTTGCACACAGCCTGCCAGCCCCTTCATTGCACAGCTCTTACTTCACATACCACTCTTTACTGATAACCATGCAGAGGAGACTTAGTCACATTTTGCTGAACCATATTTTTTACCAACATTTTTATGTGAGCTATGACATTTATGTGATGTGTGATATGATATGCAAGATACTGTAAAAGAACATTTGCATTCTGGTTTTAAGCACAGGGGTCATTACTTCAAATAGAGATCTCTGGGACCCATTGCCACTGGGTGAGGCTCGATAAAAAAAATTTTAAACCCAAAGTGCCGAAAAGAGCTTCAGAATATTGACAGTTCTGTGAATCCTTGTTTTCCAGCCTATTTTTACAATGAGTGCCCAGCAAAGCCAGTTGAAAGTGATGGACCAGCAAGAGTTTAATAAATTTATGAAAGCCTTTGCTTCTGACACAGTAAGTAAATGAAAAATAAAGACCTTTCTTCTAGGTGAGATTACTGGTTGGCATAGTTTACACTACTTCACCATGGCCTACAGAGGTGCTAATGTAGTTTCATTTTCAGGGATTAGCCATCACACATAGCAGAATCCTAGCCACTGTCCACTAATAATCAAGACCATTATGTCTATAAAATTAGATGTGTGTAAGCAAACATAGTTTTAATTAGACTATGTTAATGTAAGCTCAAGGAATGCTAATTATTCTCAATTTTAAAACTCTGGTAGAAGGACTGAAAAGATAGTACAGTGGGTAAGGAGCTTACGTTGTATGCAGCTGACTCAGTTTTGATTCCCTGCACCATATATGGTCCTCTGAGCCCTACCAGGAGTGATCTCTGACAACAAAGCTAAGCGCAAGCCTTGAGCACTACTAGGTATGATCCCAAAATATAGATTTTGGTAGATGTGAATCCCTTTCATTGTTAGGGCTACCCTGAGAATGTGTCCTAAGGCAATAGAGGAAATTCTATGCAGGCTTCTGCTTTTTTTAATTATATTTTCTTTTATTACATTTCTTTTTTTTTTTTTTAGTGAAACACCATGAGGTACAGTTATAGACTTACAAATTTTTGTGCTTGGGTTTCAGTTATACAATGATCAAGTACCCATCCCTCCACCAGTGCCCATCCTCCACCACCACGGGTCCCAGCATCCCTCCCACTTCCCATCCCCCCATCCCACCCTGTCTCTGTGGCAGGGCATTCTCTCTTGTTCTCTCTCTCTTCTTTTGGGTCCTGTATTTTGCAAGAGAGGCTTCTGCTTTTGATCGCAATCTCTACATTAGGGAAGACTGGAAACAACTTGAAGTTTCAACAATCTGTGGGACTTGTTGAATAAATTATGCAAATATACTAAGCACATTTACTTAGCACTGGCTTTCTGAGAATGCTCATCATGGGAGAAGGGGGCTTCTACATTTTATATTATTTACATGCTATATTGTCTAAATATTCCCCAAAGCAACTTCTGTAGTAGATTTTAAAATGCTCATTACAGAAATTCTACATACAGTGTAAAAATTTCTTAGGATAAAATATAAGTGATAAAGAGTAAAGGCTAGGGGTTGGAGCAATAGCACAATGGGAAGGGCATTTGTCTTGCACGCAGCTGACCTGGGTTCCCAGCATCTCATATGGTCCCCTGAGCACTGACAGGAGTAATTCCTGAGTGCATGACCCAGGAGTAACCCCTGTGCAATGGGTGTGACCCAAAAAGTAAAAAGAAAAAAAAGAAAGAGTAAAGAATATTATTTTAATTATAAAAACAATTCAAACATGGGGACAAAAAGATAGTAGGTAGGGTGCTTGCTTGCCTTACAAGCAATCAACCCAGGCTTCATCCCTGACACTCCATATGGTCTCCTGAGTCTGCCAGTAGTGATTTATGAAATCAGAGCAAGAAGCCCTGAGTACCATTGGGTGTGACCCAAAAACTTCCCAAAATCAAACAAAGAATAAGACATGAATTCCCTACTGCATAAATGTTAACATGATGATGTTCTGGGGCAGAGATATGTTTAATACTATTCTTTTTCCTACATCCAAACTTTATATACCATAACAACATAGTTTTGCATAATCAAAATTTTCTCTACTAAAATGATTTTCAGTTAAGCAAACAAATGCTTTACTTTTTACAAACGTATCACCTATAATATATAATATCAAAATGAACCTTGAGGGCTGCAGAGTGAATACAGTTGATAAATCATTTGCCTTGCACACAACCAACACCAATTCAATCCCTGGTACCATATATAATCCCTCAAGCATTGCCAGGAGTTACCCATGAGCTCAAAATTAGGAGTAAACTCTGAGTATCATTGGGTATGACCCTCTGCAAAACTAGGTTTAGCCCAAAGAAAGAAAGAAAGAAAGAAAGAAAGAAAGAAAGAAAGAAAGAAAGAAAGAAAGAAAGAAAGAAAGAGGGAGGGAGGGAGGGAGGGAGGGAGGGAGGGAAGGAGGGAAGAAAGGAAGGAAGGAAGGAAGGAAGGAAGGAAGGAAGGAAGGAAGGAAGGAAGGAAGGAAGGAAGGAAGGGAAAGAATCTGGAGGTATAACAACATGAGGAGTCAGGGTGTCCTGAATAGATTAAATTTGCTTCCCAAAGGTTGGAGAGATAGTACACCAGGAAAATAAGGCACTTGCATTACACACAGTAGACCTGGGTTCAATACTTTTCAATCGCATATGATCCCCTAAATCCAGCATAATTCCTGAGTGCAGAGCCAGGAGTAACCCCTGAGCATCACTGATGTGACCCCAAAACAAAAAAAAAGTTTTTTTTTAATTTCCAAGAGGGAGGGAGGTGTTTTCTAGTAGATTTACATTTATTTCTCTTTCGGAGAAAAATTCACACTAAAACATCTGATTTTTCATTCTCACTTAATTGGAATGATTCCTGAGCTGCACTAAGCCTGGGAAATGTGACTGGGAACTACCTTTCCATACGGGCAGGGGACAAAGTTAGTACCAGGCAAATACTACGGCAATCCATGACAGAAATTTACCTTTCTTCAGAAAATTCTCTGAAGAAAGGAAATTCTCTGGCTTGGCACAGTCAGTTGAAAGAAAGGAGCATCACGAACTTCATAGATCATCATGTATATGGTCCACTTATACATGTATATTTGTGCACATACAGGGTGCTATGCAATTTCTGGAAAATTATGAAAAAGAAGACATAACAGTAGCAGAACTGGAAGGAAACTCAAATTCTTTGTGGACCATCAGCCCTCCCAGTAAGCAGAAAATGATAAGCGAACTCCTGGACCCCAGTAGTAGCTTCTCTGTTGTTTTTTCATGGAGTATTCAGAGGTAGTTACTGTATTTCCATGCATGATTTCCCTCCTTTTCCCCAATATAAGCTGGGGGGGGGGGGGTGTGGGGAGGGTTTGAAAAATTCAAAGTGGATTTTAATTCTCTTTCTTTCCTTCAATGGCATTTATTCAATGCTAGAGCTAACATGTTGGTTTATTAAATAATGATTGGCTTGAGTCACTGACAAACCTGTTTCTTAATTTTCCATTTTTCTAACTGGTTTCTACAGAAGATAACAAAGAGTTCTGTAAACAAGAGACAGAGGTAAAGGGGAAAGAGTTTATTAGATGAACATCCATATGTCTTATAAGATTTCTCTGGAAGCTGGAGTTCTCAGCAATAAAGAGTCCAGCTTTGGAACTCCCAGTCCTCGCTTGCTCACATCCAACTTTGGGAACACACTTACAGATATTTTCTTCCATGTCTAAAGGAGTTTCTTTTTGCTTACCTGAGCAATAGCCAGCAGGCAATTACTACTTTGCTTATTTATAAAAAGCATGTCTTAAGAAAATTCTTGAATTCAAAAGTACAACTGATGAGGAGGGAAAGAATTCAACAGGCTAAAATGCATACTTTGAATGGTGAGGCTGGGATTCAAGCCTGGTCACCTCATTGGTCCCCCTAGTATTGCTGGGAGCAACCTCAAGTACAGAGCCAGGAATAGACCCCTGAACACTGTGAGATTTTTTTTTTAAAGAATGAAAACAAAAATAAGATCAAGGACCAAAGTGACAGGACAGCGGGTAGGGCACTTACCTTGCACATGTCCTACCTGGGTTCAATCCCCAGCATCCTATGTGGTCCCCTGAGCACCACGAGGAGTAATTCCTAAGTGCTGAGCCAGGAATAACCCCTCAGCATTGCTGGGTGTAACTCTCCCCCTTCTCTAGAAAAAAAATAATAAGTTCAACCTGCTATAAGCAGCTTGAAGACCTGGACACAACACTCTAGTTCAGGAGCTTAGTGTCTTTCATCACAGTCTTGTCTCAGCCAGATTATTGGTCAAGTGATATGTTCATTTATATTCATGACACCAGTTTCTTGGCTGGAATTAAGAAAGAATCATAATAGACATGAAAGATACCTTTTATGATCCAAAATAAATTGACAAATATTTCAAAGTGGGGACTAAAGCTATAGTACAGTGGGTAAAGCATCTGCCAGCTGACCTGGGTTTGATCCTGGCATCCCATATTGTCCTCTGAGCACAGATACAGGAGTAACCTACTTCTATGTGTAGCCCCAAAACAAAACAAAAGCTATTTCAAAGAGAGTTGTTCCAAACTTTAAAAATTGCAAATTCCTTCTTTAATCTTATTTTCTCCTTTTAAATGCCATGAGTACCTCCCACTTAATACCATATTGGTGAAAATATACTTCTTAATCTCTTCTATGAAGAGCTACCCCAAAGAGAGACAGATTAAAAATCAACTTCTAATTGAAATTCTTTTTACAATGAGGATTCTTTCACCTCAAAGAAAAACATCCAAAAATATTTCAGAAAATCCTAATAGTGCATCAGAACATTTCCACTGGGCAGCCAAATTTGTTTTGAAGGTGTTTTTGGCCTGCCTGGGTTTTATTAACCAGTTGTCTAGGAAGCTGGACATAAAGGTGAGGAGGACAGAAAAGGTGAGGGTTGACAGTCGTGGACCCAATAAAATCTTGGTAAGAATAATAAAATGAAGAATCAAGTGGGTTTTAAAATCTCTCTTCCAGTTCTGAATCATTACTGATGACTAACTTTTCCTTCTCCTCAGAAACATGAGTCTGGGTGCAAAAGCAGAAATAGCAACAGATAAGCTTTCATTTACTCTTACAAATAACACTCGGGAGAATATAGCTAAGATGATATCTGGCAATGACACAGAAAGTTCAAAAACACCAGTGTAAGTTGATTTTTCCTGTTAATACGTCTTTATGAGGCTTGTGTGCTTTAAAAATGCATATTTATTCATACTTTGGTGACATGGTGATTTTTAATGAGTGATTTGGCAGTTCTTGTTTGAATATTTTGCCTATATTAAAACTGTTCTGTTCTCTCCCCCTGCTCTCTGCCCACCTAGCCACGACAGTACCACATTTGAGTAGTTGGCCTTGCTCTCCTCCCTGCCCCAGGCTCCACAGACCTCTGTGGACCCCTCTCCCACTGTCACCTCTGCCCCCCCGCTAGATCCCTGATAAGAAATTTCTGAGATCAGTGGAAAGAAACAGTGTCTTTACCATGTTCTGCCGCAGAAGTATTCCACTACAAATATATCCCAGCTGTGATATTTAGATTCTAATATGAAAATCAGCAGGAGAAAAACAAATGCTTTTGATCCTAAAAGCAAAAGAAGTTATATTAGGTATCACTCATTTCTTGTCCAGTTCTTCCTGGTCCCATTTTATGGCACTGACTATAAGAACCACTGTGATGGACATGTATACCCTAAGACATCCTGTGTTAATCATTGCATTGAAGAGCCCTTGAAAAACTCAGATTCAGTTCCATCAGTTCCAGTCTGGAGAGAGGAAACACCCTTCTGATGTCATTGAGCTCATCCACAGCAGAGGAAGAAGTCAAAATCAGCAATCTTCCAGGCCCTGAAAATATCCATGCAGGGACTCAGCAGTAGGGCACTTTCCTTGCATCTGTGAAGTCCTGGAATTGATCCTTAGCATGTGGAAAATATTTCATTTAGTCCATGCCTAAAGATTGTTGATACTTAGTCTGAACCATGGTTATTCACCCACTAGCATAGAGCCTTTCCTAATATCTTATGAATTATTTTATCTGAGTTGGATTTTAATCAGTTATAGTAGGTAGAATCAACCCAATGCTCATTGGTAGGTAAGTGTAAGACCTTCTAAACCCCGGTCAAACCAAACAATGGCAATAAACTTTTGTATAAGAAACAAAAGTTTATCAGGTGTACTTGATGGTAGACATTTTTGAAATCCTAAAAATTTAAGTTAGAAGATTACTCAAAGTTATCAACATGAGTGAGTGATAGGAGTATAACAAGAACATGGAAAATCTCTGCTGCAGATTTTTTGGTTTCTTGGGGGTTTTTTTTTTGTTTGGAGGAGTGTTTGAGAGAGTGCCTCCTAAACAGTATCCAGGTATCCTGGGGCCATTTTAAATACTCAATCAGCCAGGCCAGGAGGTCAATATTAGGACCTGGGAATATGGTGCCTGGGATCACCAGCCCCAACTTGGCAGTAGTCAGCAGGCCATGTAGTGAAGAAAAATAAACAGGGGTTGGTCCCGTGACCCCTGCACCATCTTTTCGGTCCCTCTGCAGAAATCTTTAAATCATTAACTAGTTTGTTAATGACATTTACATGAATATTCAGAGAGGACCTGTGAATGTAAGTGGCTTCAGAGAATTCCATTTAGACTGGGAACCTGTTAATTATGACTATATCATATGTATATAATTAGTGTGTTATATCATCTAATTTACACATTGTATAATTTTGTGATTAGAAAATTCATCTATACATTACTTAGGTGCATGAATACTCACTATTATTTAATTTAAAGTCAATAATAGCAACCGCATCAACAAAATGTTTATTTTACATCGACTAAACAACTAAAACTGTATAACTTCTTATTTTTCCTCTCAATGCACAGAACTATTGAGAGAATCTACCCATATTACGTGAAAGCACCGAGTGATTCTAACTCAAAACCAATAAGACAACTTTTATCTGGTAAGGAAGAAGGAATTATTTCAGACCATTTCAAGTCCTTCGGTTCTTACAGCTTGCATTTTCAGGCTTCACTAAACTACTTCCTAATTCTTCTCCTTCATAGCACAGTTTACCAGAGCTTGAGACTTCCTACTGGCTTTACTAACAGCAGAAATCATTGACTTAACCTGAGAACTTAGTCTTTTTCCTTTTTTTTATGCTATAAAACCCAATACATTAAATCCACAGTTGGTGACATATTTTAGTGATTAAATAGTCTTACTTATTTCTATTAACCACTATATCTTTAGCAGAAAACTGCCTCCTAAAAATGTTAAATACCAAGATACTCCAAGTGAATGCAGGAAGAAGACAGCAAGAAATGTGCTTGATATTGAAGGGTAATTGAGTCTCAAAAATAATATTCCAAAGACTTTATTTTTCCCCAGTACAAGTAATAGTAGTGAGTTGATATTTTTGGACTCCTTTAATATCGTGATTTGTTTGACTTAATCAATAACCCAGACCAAAGCAGGCATATAACAATTCCATGTGGTAAAGATAGAATGATTCCATTCATGACCATTCATTCACCAATATGGAGCACTTATGATCCCTTATCTTCCACAGATGATGTGCAGGATACTAGAGATCAGGTTTTGTGTGACTCACATTTAGCTGCACGACAGGGCTGTAAAGAAAGAAATTGGAGATTTCCAGAAAGAGAAACAGAGATAAAGCCCAGAGCATGAGCCCAGCATGGATCCACATCGACATGGCTTCCCCAATAGAAGATAGTTGCCAGGTCACACAAGATGCACTGAGAACCTTGTTACTTTTCTTCCCATCCAGAATACGTCTAGTAATGTTAGTCGTGGAGTACACCTTGCTGAACCATTAATCATTCCCTGGAAATGACCTGCCCCTCAGCAGGCTCTTCACAGCTGCTGTAGCTCAGCAGATAACTCCTCTTGTTTTCCAGGGTGGATCTAAGCTGCCAGGAGCTCCTTCCTCCGCTTCCTTTCTCTACCATGGCCAAAAAAAATGGCCTTATATTTTCACAGATCCTATCCTCCTTCCCTTCAGCCTCAAAAAAAAAGATGTCCTCTCCCTTCTGAGGCCAGCCTCTCCCTGCGTCCATGTCCCTCCAATGTGTTTTCATTTGCACAGCTCTTTTATACTCCATTTTTTCTAGATTCTGTTCCATCCCCTGCACTGGCTTGCTCTCCTGTGAGTGATTTGAAGCCTCAAAACAATTGCCTTCCAGACCACCACCATTTCTCTGACATCCTGACCACAGTTACAGCATTACAGAGATCTTACTTATATTTATGACAAGGTATATTTAGCACAGGTATATGAGATTTAAGGTGTGAGTTACTTATCTAACACTGTAAAACCATGATGTGAAAGAGCTGTAAGCAGTTGAGTTCTGTGTAGTCCAGGACCTTACTTTAGCCAGTCCCTGACCATTCCTCACCCTGTTTCAACACCCCATCCAAACATACATTTGAGTCTCCATCCAAACCAATAACTATTTATTTCGAGTCTGCTCTAGATTCCCCTGATTGGGATTCTATTATTAAATAGTCAGATTTCCTGCTGTCACAAAGATTATAGCTCACCATTATGATTGTGGAGGCTCTATTATAATTATTAGGGAGTCCTCTTCTTAGGAAGATCTATGCCTTGTAACTCTAAGCTATTGCTTGTTCTCTATTACTATTCTATTGCATTCATCTTGTGCTCTAACAAAGATAATAACTGTTCATGCCAAACCTTCTGGGTTCTCAGAGCTTTGCAGAGTTTCCCAATTTTCTTCCTGAAAAGGTTCCTACCTCTTGACTTTCCACCCATTCAAGTGCTGACACAGCAAAATTCAGCTGAGATGTCATCTTTTCTGTGAAGCCTTCCTGATTTGTATCACCCGAAAGTGATCTCTTTAAACTAAGGCTTTGTGCAAAACATATGGTGATTTCCATAATGTGTTTGTGGCCTTTTCTCATTGAGATTAGGAACCACATTATCAGCAATTTTGCAATCCCTTAGCACCAAAAATCATGCTTTCTTCCCAAAAGATATCCTGTAAATGTTCGAAATGTCAACAAATCAGTCAGTTCAACAAAATAATGGTAACTTAGGTTCTAATAGCTAATTGGTGACTTGGGTTGTAAGCAAAAATACTCAGTTGATGAGTAAGTGTGCAATTATGCCCTTGTGATTATATTTTCATATACATATTGTGACTATAAGTGATTTCTTTGTTTAAAAAAAATCCCTATATGTGCCTGTAGCCAACTTCCTTCTCTCACATACTGATAACATTTCTTTTGTTGAAAACACATTTTATAAATAGTAGCTAAAAATTCTAGAATTATCAAGCTAACTTTATTTCATTTTTCTCCTCTTTTAGATAATAATTTTATGAATATCACCATCATTTTGTCCAGAGACAATGCAACTGAATCTAATAGTGAGTGGTGGGTTCTCAATCTGACTGGAAACAGAATATACAATAAGCATGCTCAGTCTTTGGAACTGGTGGTCTTCAATGACAAAGTCAGTCCCCCTAGTCTAGGGTTCCTGGCTGGCTACGGGTAAGCACTCACTTAACAATGAACAGTTATGAATCTATATCTATATCACATAAGGTCGAAGATGAAGACTTTTATTTAGAAGTCTCAAATTTCATAGACACTATTTTTCAAACCTCTCAAATATTGTGAAATAATTCAGTGCAACTCAAGGCAAAACTTATAAGTTGGCATAAGATTGTCTCTTTTCTACTTAGAAATCCTTTAGACCCTTACAGATGTAGAATCAATTAGAATTCAGCTTTAGAAATGTTCACTGTTACTGTTTTACCATTTGCTGATGCTTAACCCTCTGCTTGCACATATCCTGTATAAGACATGAGTAGAAAGGGTGATAGTCCTGAAGGAATAATCCACTCAAACTTTTAATAGATAAATAAAGCTCTGAAAAATATGCTGTAGTGAGAATGAAGAGTCCAGTGTCATGTAGAGAAGTGGTATAGCTAATGTTCCAGACCAAGCAGGCATCAGGTGTGAAATCATGAGATCCCAACTTCAACAATCAAACTTAAAAATAGGGACAATGGGTTTGGGGGGAACCTGCGTACAATGGTGGATAGAAGTTGACACACTGGTGGGGGGATTGGTGCTGGACCACAGGATGCTTAATATTCAACTATGAGTCAACTATGAACAGCTTTGTAAATCACAGTGCTTTAATAAAATTAAGATAATTAATACCAAGTATTATACCAGCAGTAAAACTGGAACTCATATATGAAACTTCTATTATTTGTACTTCTAAAATGTTAAATTTGAAAGTACTTTTCATGTTCAAGTCTTATGATTTATTGCGTAAGACATTTTCATAAACAGTATAAAGTTCTTTGGGTCAGGTGGGGCTCTCAAGCAGTGTCCAAGAAGCCCAGGGTCCTTCCTGTATTTCTTAACCAACAGACAAAGGCTTGATTTGAGGTCTGAGAATGTGGGATTGCTTTGCTGAGGTTACTCAGGCCACCTCCATGATGCTCCAGGGCCAACAGGCCTACATGTGGTGATATTTGGTGAACCAGGATTTGAACATGGGTTATCTACACGCAAAGTATGACTCTAAACCCTGTACTGTTTTCCAACCCATGAATTTCTTTGCTAATTATAGAATAATTAATTTTCTCTGAGAAGAGAAAATAATTTTACCCAATTAGAAAACCAGACTTTGATAAATTTACCATATCTTCCATGGAGCGATAGCACAGCGATAGGACGTTTGCCTTGCACGCAGCCAATATGGCCGACCCAAGTTCGATTCCTCCGTCCCTCTCAGAGAGCTACTGAGAGTATCTCGCCTGCACGGCAAAGCCTGGCAAGCTGCCCTGATGTATTTGATATGACAAACACAGTAACAACAAAGTCTCCAATGGAGAAGTTACTAGGCCCATTCGAGCAAATCAATGAACAATGGGAGGACAGTGACAGTGACTTTAAGTAAACAAATTATTACTTTTTTTTTATTTCTCTTGATTTAATTTGTTTTATGGGTCACACCCAACTGAGCTCAGAGCTTACTCCTGTAGGGCTGGGGCCAGGGGTGGAACCATATGAGATATCATGGATCAAATCCGGGTCAGCTGCATGCAAGGCAAGTGCCTTACCCACTGTACTATCACTCCAGCCTACTTTTTCTTTCAGAGGTTCTTTCAACCATGCTTAACTACCTAAGACAATTTCTACTTTTTTCTTTTTCAGTATCATGGGACTGTATGCTTCAGTGGTCCTTGTAATTGGAAAGTTTGTCCGTGAATTCTTCAGTGGAATTTCTCACTCCATCATGTTTGAAGAGCTTCCAAACGTAGATCGAATTTTGAAATTATGCACAGATATTTTTTTAGTTCGAGAGACGGGAGAACTGGAATTAGAGGAAGACCTCTATGCCAAATTAATATTCCTGTACCGTTCACCAGAAACCATGATCAAATGGACTAGAGAAAAGACAAATTGATACTTTTTGACACAGAGACTGCAAGTCAAGTTAACATTTTTCAACAAAAGAAGAAAAGAGAAAAAGCACAATATTCTCCTCAGAGCTGAGCAGTTTTTGTTCAATGGAAATGATTTCTTCTCTGGAAGGTGGCCCAAAGGAGTTGACAGCTTTTGGTAGCCAGTTAACTTTGAACATTGGAAGCACTGTTAAAAAATTATTTGTAATTCCATTTCTCTGAAATCAGGGCTACTTGCTTTATGTTTTAGTCAACAGTGTGTTTTGCATTCTGGTTGACTCTGTGAAGTTGTTCCTCAGAGAGACAGAGGAAAAGGAGAAGTAACTTCCTGTGTGACTGTGAGCCCTTTCTGTAAAGATGATATCGTTCGAATTACAGATCTCTGTCACTGGTGGGGAAGCTGCTATTGAGAACAGACGGGCCCTCAGCACACCCCAAATATGCAACAGCAATCGGAGGCTGCAAACTCCTACACATATTTCTGGGGGAAGAGAGGGAGCTAATATTCCTGGGGAAGCGAGTGGAAGGATATAAGCCTCATTCTAAGCAAAAAGATAACTTTAGTGACACTCTTACTGCCTTATCTTAACTGAAAACTAACAAAAAAATCTTTCCATTAAACACCAGTGACTTCTCAGGAAAAACAAACAAAAAAGCAGCAAAACAAATCTGTGGACACCTGCTTTGTTGAGACCCAGTGAGTAACTCACGTCAATGGAGGTGGCTGCGGAGCCAGAGTTACTGTCCCTTAAGAAACAAGCACTAGGTCAAGAACTGAAGATGCACCCGCTGACTGTGGAATACTTTGACTTTGTAACTCTTTCATTGGTCTTGGTCATAGTCCCTCTTTGACCTTTTCCTATCCCCAACAGCTTTTCCCATTTCAATGATTTAAGGCAATGGTTTTTTCCAAGTATGTGACATTTTCCTTCCTGTTTTTCAGGTATATCAAAGAGTTTACATATTCCAATTCACATTTTTACATCTGAGACGGGTTTTTTAAGTTCATAATTATGGAAGAAATATGTATATTGAGCTTGGGGAAATAAAACTGGCCTTTCTTAAATTATTATTATTATTGGTAATACAACCTCTTCATTAAATACCAATGTAGCATGAAAATTTATGATTGAAATGTAGTTTTCATTCCATATAAAATACCATTTCTGAGCAGAATTACTGAATGGACTAGATGTCAAAACATGATCCTGTGTAGTTTGAGTCCAGGATGGACTTAAAATAAAGCACATCTTGCAAAGTCATTGTAAGAATGCTCTTCATTTCTGCCCTTTGTTGCATGAAATAAGAAAAATGATTGTTTTTCAATGACTTGACAAGGAATTTAAAAAATCAATTAAAATATATGTTTCTTGGCTTTATTATATTTTATTTTTCACGTGAATGCTCTGTAGAAATGACATAAGCTGGAAATGTGCTAAAAAATTAATTTCCAAAAAGGAAAACTATGATAGTAGAGATCACCATCAAAAGACCACCAGAAACCAAAGGTAGAATTTGGAGGAGTCTTTGACACCAGGTGGTGGGCTGTCCTGCAAGGCAAGAGCAGCAGCCTCACAGCAGAAACACTCGCCTTTCCTGAGGAAAACTCTCATCCTGATGCCCTAAGCATTTTTGCAATCATCTAAACAACTTATTTTGCCCCAGGATCTGTAACTTGGCACCCTATAAGTTCATGCAAGCACATCAAAGCAAGCTTTGTTACAGAAGTTAGAAAAAGTGATTAGATCATGAGTCCATGAAGCAAACAATTAGACATCTTTAACCATACCCCTTTAGGACCCTAGCCCAGTGTTCCTGTTTGCAATTCGGGATGGGGTTTGGGGGATCTGCAGGAAGTTCAGTGGATTTATGAAATGACACAGTTAAATCAGCTAAAAAATAAACTTCCTCCCTTTAGAAGTCAGTGGGACCTCACAGGTGGTTTGTGTGAGGGGGAGAGATGAGAGATGGTCACTTTCTTCCAATCCATTTCTGCCACCTGGGACCAGCTCAGAAGGCTAGGCCTGATAAAGTCTGCCATGGGCCCCTGCATGTCTGGGGCCAGAGCCTAACCAGCCCTACCAGGTTCATCAAGTCACACCTGATGTTTGCTTAATCTTCTTAGCATGGGAACTGATCCCTATCACCCAATTTCTAGAGGAGCCACTGATTCAGGCTGTTGTGAGGATTTGATCTTTGCAGGAAAGTCAGTCCTGGACCTTACCCTGGGTTTCCAGGTACTTTGTCTTGTTTCTCAGAAAAGAATTTCAGGAGTAGACAAGCAGTGAAGGAAAAACAGATTTTATTTGGAGGCTTTTAGAAAGGGGAAGGGAGAGAAAAGCAGGAGTAATGCACATTCAAGAGAACGCAAGCTTCTCAAAGGCACAGAGAGCCCCAGTGCACATCTCAAGAAGGGAGATGCAGGTGACACATGTGCTTGGCCATGTGGGCACAAGCCACTCATGGGTTCAGCAGCACATGCATGCTTCCTTTGTTCAAGTTGGCTTTTATAAGGTTTTTCCCTAGCATCCCCATGTGGGGCTTCCACCTAGGTAAGAGTCCATTGTTAGAGTAGTTGCCAAGGGGGTAGAGTTGAGAATGGTCCAGAGTCTTCTTAGAAATTCCTTTCGTGGCCTTTGTTCCTGCTGGTGCTTCTCTGGGTGGGGGTCCAGACTTCTCTAGCCTGTTGGCACCAGGTGAGGGTTTTATCAGGCCTTAGGCCCTGTGCTCACAGGTGAGATTTTTTGCAGCTCCAGGGCTATTGGGTTTATTATGTACCAGGAATTCCATCACCATTGAGGCCCTTCCCTGTCTAACTGCCTACATCACTTTCAGTCTCTCCTTTACAAATCAAGCTTTATAAAAATGATTGTATCTACTGGAGAATGAGTGCATATTTGTTCTTCAACTGTGAAAGCCAAAATTCTTCCACTTTACCACCAGAAATGCTTTAATTGTAACAATAATCGGGGGGGGGGGGGACACTTTTGGAAGCTCTTTGAACCACATTCTCATTTTCAAACAATAGGAAGAATCATGGTGCATATTTCTGGTGGCAAATTCTTTCTTTTAAAAAAAAATCCACAAACTCTTTCCAGAAAGCATGTAATAATACATTTAACGTTTTACATGCTCCTGAGAAGGAAGTAGGAAGGTCAGAGTTACCAGAGTTGTAAAGCTCCTCAAGAAAACAATTTCCAGGGTTCAAGAACAAACCTTCCCAGTGTAAAAGGGGACAAGGACAGAATATAGAAGGAAATAGATGAAATGAAGAAGGAAAACACTTTTCAGAGATATGGGCTAGACTGGACTCAGGGAAAGTGAGAGGACCCGGTTTCTAGTTCTTCCACCAGCAAGCTCGTTTATCTGGAGTGGACACCAAACACTTATGGAAACTTATCCGGTCAGGAAGCCTTCCCAAACCCCACAGGAGCCACTGGAAATAGTCTGTCACCTTCAGTCAGAATCTCCGGATGTCATCTCTGATACTGAGAGCACTTGGGTGCTGGTCCCAGGAATGACACTGGTCAATGAGAAAGGCATTGAACAAGCTACCAAGTTGCACAGCTACAACTGAGTTTCCTCTCTCCCCTGCCTGGTGCTAGGATCTGGGCCGCCCTTCTTGGCACCCATGAAGGTGTGGCACCTAGATACTTGTGTTAGCGGGGCATTGTCCCAGTTTCTTGAGGCAGGTACTTGTGGCTTTGAGCACAGTGGCTGTGGGTATGTAGAGGCAGATTAAAGAAAAGAAGTGTTTGACACTTTCTATTTCTTCCCCTGGGCCTCTTAGACACACTGTCTTCTTAAAATAATAAGCTTTGTAAACTCTAATTTCCCTTATCAGAAAGGAATATAATGAAGAGATTAGGGGCCGGAGCAATAGCAGTTGCCTTGCATGCAGCCAACCTGGGTTTGACCTTGGCATCCCATATGGTTCTCTGAGCACACCAGGAGTAATCCCTGAGTTCAGAACCAGGAGCAACTGCTGAGCATTGCTGAGTGTGGCCCCAAATCACAAGGAAGTGAGGAAGGAAGGAAGGAAGGAAGGAAGGAAGGAAGGAAGGAAGGAAGGAAGGAAGGAAGGAAGGAAGGAAGGAAATGAAGATACTAGCTTAAAGCTCCTCTCCAACTGACCCACCCAATCTTCCCCCCTTATACACACACACACACACACACACACACACACACACACACACACACACTGCAGTGGTTTGGAGGCCATTTGTGATATTCATCTTCAATCTCTTTTTTTGACCTTTCACCCTTACCTAACAGCTCTGTTGATTGGGTATGGAATCTGATGGGGTGAGTTTGACCCTTCCCCAGGAGACTGGTATTCAGGCTTCTTTGTCATGGCTGGGGCAGAAATGCACACTTTCCTTTAAAAAGTTTTTAAGTGCTGGTTCAATCTTGTTCTTTAATCTTGTCTAATTTTTTTGTTTGTTTGTTTATATAGTCTACCCATTTTGTAATCAGATCTTTCAGGCAAGTTTTCATCTTCTTTAAAGACTTGATTTCTTCCATATGTTACCCCTACCTGCTGGTAAGAATTCCCTATGTTGAGCATATGCAAAGTTCTTTTCTGTTATTTTCTGAGGCTCCTTTGCCTGTGGCATTAGTTTGGAGGCAAAGTGCTGAGTCTGGGGACAGAGCTCCAGCATCTCAGTGTCTCTGGACCTCCCTTGGAAGTGCTCACAGCTGCTTCCCTCTACTCTAGCAACTCCCTTCCAGGTGTCAGCTTTGACTCCATCTCTGGTCCCAGAAGCTTCTCCACTTTGGGTCTGTCCCTGAAATGGAGCTGACATCTGTTGGTTTTAAAGTTCTCAGCCCATGTGTCATGTCGCTTTCAACCTGTGTTCCTCTTCCCCGACCTCTCCGTTGAAAGGGTTATGCAGACTTATATGGGAATGCCCATGTGTGACTCCTGTCTCAGCTCACCTGGGCGCTCATTGGTTTCCCCTTCTTCCCATCCACAAGTTGGGACCCTGATGTCTGTTGCCATCACAGACTCTGCCAAGTTTATCTACTGACCTGCTCCTTTTGGGCTCACTAAGGGATGGGGAACTAATAGAAGGCAACGCCAGTTTCCCTGAACTTTACCTGCCCTCCATCCTCAAGCACAGTCTTCAGAAAGTCTAACAAGGGAAGAATACATTTAATCTGACACAGAAAATTTAGAGGTATAGATTTCATTTCTGCTTAAGTAAATGATTTGGCATGAAGATGCTTAGAATAATCAAGAGGACATGAATGATAGGCTCTGCATTATTTGAAATGGAACTTTTTTAGGTTTTTTTTTTGGTTGGTTTGGTTTTGGGTCACACCCAGAGGTGCAGTGTTGCTCGGGGTCTACTCCCAACTAACAAGGGAATGCCCTGCCACAGGGGTGGGGTGGGATGGGAGGGATGGTGGGGTGGGAGGAATGCTGGGAGCA